TAATTTCACACTCGCTTAATTTATTCATGACGGATAATGCGACGATGAACATTCTGATGACCGTCGTAGGGTCTCTAAACGGTTTCGCATTGATACTGATACGTACGAAATCAGGCGATAATCAGTGGAAAATATATCGCTATCATTGCCAGGCATCTTCAGGTCTTGTCGGTTTTCCAAATAATCCTGAGGTCCCGAAACGACTGGAACAGAACCCATCGGTAAATATATTCAAAGGTGCATGTTCTAAACATAATCCTGCATACATTTTTCCACTCTGTACATTTTTAATACAGACATTTACCCACCATGTATTTAGATTCTGAAGAATGTATTGATTATTTTACAATAATGTTTTTTTTTTGTTTTTGTAAACAAATTTTCTATCATATATTTTGCTCTGATTTAAGAAAACTTCTGAGAAAATCAAAAAAAAGCATTGAAAATCGGAGCAAAATTGTAGATAGAAAAGATATTCACAAATAAAAGAAAAAAAATAAACAAGCATCATTGTAAAATCAAGAAGATACTGAGAAAGAAGATATCTTACTACTCCAACAATTACCGGGCGGATGAAATGCCCGAAGGAAAATTGTTTGTTTATCTCTTCACATCATTCTACAGCAAAGCGCTAATTTTAAAACCATTATACTTATTGCTTATTATGAATTATTTTAAAAATAGAATCGAACTTCCTCATATATTTATTTTTTTTTAACCACTTAATCAAAATTGGCGCTGATCCACTATATCCTAACGAGCTAATCTTATCTTCTACGACTGAATTCAAACTCATAGGTGTACCGAGGAATATTCTCGTATTTTTCGTACTATTGGTTTATGAATATCCATATCGTTTTCATTCAGAAATAATTTTCACGATTTGCAATAATATATTTAAACATATTTTTCAGAACGCACTCACTGTTCTGTTTACTGACAAAAAACTAAGAAACGGAATTTTCGTTAGTATCAGCCTGTTTGTTTTTCGTGATTTTTGCGGAACTCACCTGCTCACGAAGTGCATTCGATGGGCATTCAACGAAATCTATGGCCCCATATCGTACGGACAATGCACCTTGTTGGTAACCTTGTTTCAAGTGAGAACACTAAGAGAGTCTAAAATGCAGATATTACAGAGGCGAAAATGTAAACTTATATGAAATACATTGATGAGTAACCAGTGAACAGTGTGATCAACCTATGAAAAAGTGATTTACGGTGTTCCACATAAGATAATAAAGCAATTAGTTTTTTAATTGTATTATCATTTTAATTTTAGCAAGTTTCAAATTTACCCAAAAGATTGTCTACCGTCAAATCATTAAATAAGTTTAATAATTAACACCTAGCAAATACCTAATAATAAAATCAATAACCAACAACATTATTTATTTGTTTATAAAAAGTATAGAGTGGTAGCCCAGTGATTACAATTACAATAACTATATAACAGAAAACAATTTAACGATAGAATATAATAATAAGACAATATTATTATATCTTATTTTGGCAATATGGTATTACAATAATATAACAATAACAATTAAGAGTAAGAAAATGAGGGATCAATATTAGCAATCCACATCATCCATTGGCAGCATGGTTTACTATATACACTGAGACAGTGAAAAAAAAAAAATTACGTGAGGAAAAAGATTGTACTTTAAAATTAACGCATCTGAGGAGTGGAGAATCTACTATATCTGAGAGTAGCTTGTTTATAAAACATAAATTTGCTTGAACTCTCCCGTCAGCTAGCGGAGACAATTGTAGGGAATCAAGAACATGAAAATAATCATTGCTCATGAGGTATGTGACTTATTTTCAACTTAAATCCACCAAAGGACAAGAATGTACACTGCACTCTCTCCAAAGCATAACTCAAACTAATAGTATGCGGATCCCACAATATAGACGCATATTCTACAATACAGAGCGAACTAGAGTACACTATAGAGACTTAATTTATGCAAGACACACACACTCTTAACCACACCAAGAATTTTTAGCGGCTTAAAACAAGATGATTACTACCTATATGTGAATGAAATGTTAACTTTGTATCAAAACCTACGCCTAAGTCTTTGACCGTGTTTTCTGCGTGACTAAGTTTAGACCCACAGATATTACGAATATAATCAGAGACGAATAGATGACGAGACTTGGAGTATGACATAGATGTACATTTTTAAATGTTGAGAGATAAACCCAAGGTAGAACCCCAAAGAACAATTGCATTAAGATATTCATTTATCAGCTTACAGTCATCAATAGAATTTATTCTTATGAAAAGCTTCAGGTCATCAGCAAGCAATACAAATTTGCTGTGCCTTACTACATCTTTAACGCTGTTTATAAATAGCGAAAATAACAAGCGAGATTGACCCATTGTAGCACTCGAGAAGGGACAGTATATAATTAAATTTATTTTTCTGATAAAACAAATTTAATTATGATACCAACTACAGTAGCAGCCTTTCCGTAATACAAGTACCTATATTATACATATATAAATGTATTATACATATATAAATGTATTTTCATTTGTCATTCGACTTACATCTATCGTCCGAGTTTTAGCTCTCTATTTCATCGGAAAGTACCTTAATTTTTAAATACAAGATTAGACCCTAACAAACAAACAAGTAAAGCTGAACACAATTTTGTAATAAATTAAAATGATAGTCATCAAAGTAAAAACTAAATAATTACCTTCTTATATATTGCGGTCCACCGTAAATATATTTCTTTATGATGAACACACTGTTCTCTGGACGTTCGGCTTGGTCTAAAATATACTCGAATTACTTATTTGTATGCATTTTCAAATGTAAAATCAAATCAACTGCAATATTATAATCTACATGTTAATATGTCCCCAAAATACCGTTTTATAATCGTCCGCTGTTTCCAATAGATTATTTAATGTTTATTGCTTCTTTATATTATAATAATATTTTGCTTTCCAGTTAATATTTACAATAGCTACCGTGATAATGGTAGAAATATATGGCAAGAGGAAGCTCATGTTAATTTCGAGTCTCGGTATGCTGTTATCGGTTACGTCTCTTGAAATTATTATTTGGAATACAAATTTGATCAATACCACAAGTTTCTCCTCGTATGTATGTTTTTTAATCGTGTTTTTTGCATACATTTTATTTGTCGCACATGGTCTATCTTCGATACCTTGGGCTATAGCATTGGATATCAATCATCAAAAAGTAAATTATTTACTAATTACCTAACTATTATTAATAAAATTTGTTTTGTCGAATTCCCCCCGAAGGAAAATACTAAAGACATGTAGAAGTAAAATAGAGTATAATGAGTTAGAGTTTGAAAGAAGAAGTGAAGAGGTTGAAGAAACAAGACAAGTGATGACTATAAGCGGTGGAGTAATAGGCGAGATTGGGAGTTTGAAATGAAAAAATGTGTCTGGTGTTTTATATAACAAGATTATTCCAATGAAACTTAAAGGTAAGTTCTTCCAGAGTGTGATGAGACTGATTATATAACATGATTCGGAGTTTTGGGTGGTAGATACAAAAATAGAACAGCGAATAAGTGAAGTGGAGATGAGAATGCTAGGTGGATGAATGGCATGACGAGAGAAGGTATAATAAAGAACAAGTACATAAAACGTAACATTGGCTTCGATCAGTGCTCGAAATGTCGAAATGGAAAATGTTATGAACCGAAACGCTTACAAAACTAATATGCCATATTATGGTGATGGCTAATAATATTATATAGCTAATACATAGATATAGCGAACGCCTTTTTTTTTATTTTAGTGATACACAAAGGAAGTAGTTATTTTTTAATAAACTGAATAAAAGACTTGTATGGATATTATTTTATTTATTACAAAGTTTACAAAATTACAATAATTTCCACAACGCTTCGTATTTTTTATCAATTTTTTTTTCGCATTTTGCGGCTTGTAATGTCACCTTTGATTAACCATGAGTGAACTTATTATTCAGAGTGAAATTCGGAGTATAGAGGGCCAACACAATTAATAAATAAAAGCGCAGATACTGTATTGATATTTAATGACGATCTTAAGAATGTTATAATTGCATAAAATAGGTATTATGAACCCCATAGAAAACTTGTATTTATCCATTCTCTTAGTTCTAGATATTTATATTCTGACATAATTTTTATTTACAACATCTTAAATGGCACTATTGTGGACAGTTTTCTTCTTAGTCAAATTAATTTATCTGTTCCCACTTTTAACTCTAGAAACCGGACAACATTTCACATTACTAATCACAGAACACTTTACGGTTATTTTTCCCCTATCAATAGAACACTAATTTCCTATAATAACTTTCAAAATTATTTTGATATTTTTCATTCCTCTCATAGTATGCTACAAATCAATATATTCTCTTTTAACTATTTTTTCAACTTTTATACTGTATACCAGTTTTATACCTAAAACACTTACAGATTTACTGAACATTGTTTTTTTTTTCACTATTTATGTACATTATATTTTTTCATATTTTTATTATTATATATTTTCTGTACTGATAATGTCTTTGAGCGTGTATTTCAAAATAAATAAATAAATAATTTCATTAATTGAACTGAAATTTCGTTCGCACTCACTTGTGGAAATAGGAATAGTAGGTATGATTTTAAAATGCAGCTTTAAGTCTTTCGACACACCTTCTTTTCTTCCTTCCATTTTATGTGTTTGAAAACCCCTAAAAATATCATTTTCATTATTTAATATAAACTGGGGACACAAGTGACGTATTTTTTCATCTCCAAATTTTATATTTTCTACTTCACCATTTTCGGAAACAGGCCTTTTTTTGGATTTAGTAGATTAAGACTGTCGAGTAATTCTGTATAATTATTTATATTCTCATATTAATATTTTTCATTATGACTACTTACATGTGTGTATAATTGGTTGTTATCATCCTATTTCTTAAATTATTTGCTAAACCTTTATATAGTTGGCTTGATTTGATTTATTTTGCCTGCCCATTTTGATTAGGAACATTTTTATAAATATTTAATTCAATTGCTTGTAAAGCGCCATATAGTTTATGTCCAGGTTTGTTTACCATCGAATCAAATACTCTAATTGTTGTTCTAATAGCTTTGTCAACTTCTACTAGAGTAATAATACAGCTTTGCAAATACTCCGATAATTCTCCTAGTTCATCTAAAGTGTCTGCCATTGCATTAAGATTACTAACATATTCGACACTGGAGATCATTAATTTTAACCCATTGTATTTGCTTCTTTCTTTTAAATCCCTTGTTACATCTGTTGAAGCAAATTTAAAATGTTTATATAAAGCTGAACAATTATTTATGATATATAGTCCGTTTACTTGATGCAACCCAATGAACAAATACAATTCTTCCTATTTTTAAAATTTATTTTTTTAAAGAACTTGTTACTTGTCTTAACTCGTTTTGATTTTTTGGTGATTGGTGATATAAAGAATACAATTTATCCATAGATACTTTATAATGGTTTATTCCAGCAACTTCATTTACAACGTTGTTAACAACAAGCTCTAAACGGTGATTACAACAATGCCAAATAATTAAATTTGGACAAATTTTTTGAAGTTAAGTTGCTACCCAGAGTTTTTCCCAATCATTATGGAAGCTCCATCGCACGCAAAACAAACAAAATATTCTTTTAAAAATTGTTGATCAATCCATATTTATTCAAACAATCGAGTAATTCGATAATAATTTGTTCAACAAAAATGCTATTTAAAGTTCAATTAAATTGAGATTAAATATGTATGGTTCACCAGGAAAGGATTCAAAAGATTCGCAAAACAACCATTAATGTAGTTTTTCTACTAAGGGTTGTTGACTCGTCCACCAAAATTGATTGTTTTTTTATCTGAAATTATATCTTTACAAATCATTTCCGTCACTAGATCGATAGCTAGATCTGCAGAGATTTTATCTGAGTGTAATATGTTCCCCATGTCAATCCCATTTAAAACTTGTAAATTAACAAATGGTCTTTGATTTTTAATTATTTCATAAACCGTTCTAAAGACTTTCAGTAGTTAAAATTTTTTCCTCTTCTATATTTTTTTTTATTAGACGATAACAAATAATGTACGTTGAGCATAATATATAATTTGTCCGTATTTCTGTCCATGAAAAAAAATTTTGTTTAGTATTATGGGTTTTTGTATGAAAAAGGCACCAGTTGGCATTTTGGTCTGAAACGTCATTTAGTATTGCACCATCCCTGACAACCGCAAAGCTAATATTACTTGAACGCCGTTTGTGGATGAAATGAGAAAAAATATTATATAATATAATATTTATAGTTCTTATCTCTATGAGCTGTACTTCAAAAAAAAAAATCAGAATTTGATTATCTTTATTATCTCCGGAGATATAACTCCGGAGGTATATCTTTGTTGGACACTCTGCAGTATTTATACAAATATTTTTCTTCTTCCAGCTCTTTCCGAACACTTTAAGAAACTTTAGAATTTAAATCAAATTAAAAATGTTTATGCCTAACTTTTTCATTGAAAATATATCAATGCTATGATTGAAATTTCAATATTACTTGTTAAATCTGACTATAATTAAAACAGCTAAACAATTTTGCCTTTTTATTTTTATATTTTTATCCAACAAACTATATACCTTATATTTTATACTACAATGGTTTCCGAAATGTAGCACTCATAAATTGTTCTGCCCAAGCATCCCTGCACCCTAAATACTTCTGTGATTATTACTATTATTTTCATGAATTTGATTCATATTTGTTAACTATGTTAATATTATATATTAATCTAACTCAATTTATTAATAATGATTTTCTTTTTAAATCTTAAATTAATTTCCAGGTTAGGAACATCGCTACAGGGACGATAATCAGTGTTCATTTTTTGTTTTTGTATATCGTGGAATTTTCAGACATTAACGAAAAGGATGTTTATACCGAAGACTCTATCGTTGTATATTGGTTTATTTTCGTTCGTATTTTACAAATTTTGTTCGTGTATAATTGTATTTTCGAAAATAAACAATATTAAACTTGAACTTAAACTTGTTAGTATAATAATTATATTTATAGATAATAATCATGGTATAAACCACAATATTTTATTATTCGATTAATTGGTTATTTGAATATTCGATTATTTGATTTTCGGTTATTCGAATAATAATGGTCCACTTTCTTATATTCGATTAGTCGATAATAATCGAATATTAACAGAATAATCGATTATTGTGGGAAAAAAATTAATCTTACAGCCCTACTCATAAGTAGGTCCTAAAATTAGTAATATTAATAATACTACTTATGTAAATATTTTTTAGTATAATTCACTATAATTACTAGGTAGTCTCGTAAATTGTTCGTAATTTTAAAAGTAAACCACTTATAATTGTAAAATTTACTACGATAAATCATAAATTTTATATGATGCCAAAATATATTGTGTAACGAAAATGTATTTTAGAAGTAATTGGTAATTTTCGATTGAGTTATAGGTACCTACTATCTACCTATGAAAATATGCAACGAAAATACGACGGAAATATGTTCAAATTTAAAATGTGACATTATGAGTCGTTTTAATATAAAATATAAATTATTGATACCGAACAAAAATGATTAACAGTGATAATAATTCTACACGGATATAGTGATAATAATTCACTATAGGCGAATATTAAAATTTAAATGGAAAAAAAAACATAATATAAAGTGTAATACCTAATAATAATATCATAACTCATGATATGTTGTTATGATTTACAGGTCATAATATTTAACGCGATAAACCCAATAAACGTGTATTATTACATAATTTTAAATAATAACAGTTACATTACACAAAACAAATACATAACGGTTGGCTATTGACACGGGGTAAACTCGCATTGGGTTCGACGGGATCAAGAACCGCCGGACACATTTCCGTGAAATATGCGCCAATAACTAAATCTAATTTCAGAGACTATTATATTCGCGATTGTTTAATATTATATTCTACAAACTGAAACGGCAAAATGCAAAATATAATAGGTGTAATAGGTATACTAGAAAGGTATCTTGGAAAACCGAAACGTAGTGAATCCGCCCGTCGGTGACGACGAGGTCCTTCAAGGGTTTCCGGCGTATATTATGTAATATTAATCGGGGACATAAATTCGCGGGTCGTTATCGTGGTGGCGGCATAATATCAATAATTACCAGTCGTGCGAATATCTGATTGATCGTCTGAAAATAGAATTCTCGAAAAATAAGTGTTCAGCGATACAACTTTGAATCGATGAACTTTAAGCGATGGCCGCGCGTTTATTGGAGAACGTTTTACAAATGATATTTATTTTTTTATTTTTTTTTACTGTGACAAAAATTTTTACTAGATATCTTGATTTGATATGTAAGTGTGGCACCTTTTCTGAAAGGAAACTTTGTCTAAATGGTACTTTAGGCTAGTCAATTTTTGATATTCCGAGCGGATTTTATGATAATATCTGGGAAACCCTGGGATAAAAACGTATGAAAAACGGAAAAATCCAAATGTGACATATATATATATATTATTGAAGAAGCAATATTATTAACCAAATTCCGCTCAGAATCGTTAGCAATGGTTTATCGTTGCATATATATATATATAAATTATATTCCTCTATATAATAATGTCCCTTCCAAAACAATGGCACACCCATCAGAAATATCAGACTTTTTTTTATTTATAACTTATCTGCAGTGCTGGATAACGGGAGTATCATGTTAAATAGATACTTTAAACAATTTATTAATCACAAAAACCGGAAGATACGGCAGAAGCTGTCTATGTATTCGCTATTCTTTTTCTCGCTAACAATATCTAGTCGTAGAACTCTATTGGTATAATATCGTTTCCAAAACCTTATCCCGTATACAATAATTGCGGAACTAGAAAACGTCACGATGTCCCGACTGTTATCTCGCGGGAATATACCTCGCGTTACGGGCAAACGAGGTTCGAATTTATATGACTGCATTTACAATATTCTGTACTAATAATATTATAAAGATAGAAAAACGTTCATACGAGGTTGACCCGGAAACTATATACGAAGTGTAACACGAAGATCTGCAATTTGAAATAACATTTGTTCTATTCAATATTTTTAATGTATAATTTTTTCTAAATAATAAGAATGTGCTACAGTTTATATGTGAATATTTTTTTCTAAAGGGGGGGGACTTAAAATCAACAATTTAAAATTTTACTATAGTTTTTTTAAAAAAATTAAAAATATTAATTTCGTAAAATAAATTTTTAGAAAGTTGAAAGTTTTATATAGGTATGATTTTTTATTTTCTACAATTTTTCGAAGTTTTTGCAACTGTGAATATTATTGTTTTTATGATATATTATAATATTTAATCAGTAATTAGTAGTATTATTGTATGATATTACCTCATGAAAAAGAAATTCCTAGTCATTTGATGTGCTCTAACTACCTACTTTGACCGATTTCAATGAGATTTTTTATTTCCCCTTAAGAAAAGGTGGAGGAACTACGAATGATTTCCTGGGAAAAAAAGGAAGAGGAAACAACTGTAAGTAGCAAAACTCTGTTATTTAGAAGGAAATTTTCTCTCAGTTGACTTGTTGTCACTACAATATTTCGTATACTTTTTTTTTTTATAATTCATCTAAAATAACTATTGTTACCAGAGTTTTATTACATTTTAGTCTGCACATGTATTATTTAAACCCTGGTATTTCCTATGAAAACATGTCACTTGAGTATACATTTAATTGTGGAAGGAATTAAATGTTAAAAACCCCAAAAGACACATTCACCATATACCATGCATATACAAAATTGTGCTTCTTGGCTTCATTTGAAGGCGTGTAAAAGGCTTAAAACACCTTTCCCCCACCCCCAAACAACATAGTAATATTCATAATTACTACTCTAATTCCCGAATTTGAGCTCATTTCGTCCAGAAAATGTTGAAAAAAAACGATAAAAAGATATTTGTATAACAGAATATAAGACAATAGTCATTATTTTTGGAGAAAATTTGACAAAACGAATTTAATTATAAGCACGTTGCAATTTTTTAATTGAAGGAAGAATTAAAAATGGTAACAATTAATGGTTTCATAAAGAGCCAAAGAATTACAATGGCTGGGACGTGTAATGAGGCGTACTAAATTGGCAGCCGGAAGGGAAAATGCTGTGGGGTCGTCCTCGAAAGAGATGAATGGATGTTGTAGAAAAAAATTCAGAAAACCTTGGAGCACAGATTTGGAAGGAGATAGTACTGGACCGAGGCAAGTGGAGTGATTTGGTGATAGCGGCGAAAACTCTTGGAGAGTTATAAAGACCAGAAGAAGAAGAAAAAGAATACTTTTAACAACCATCAATCATAATAATAATCATCAACAAATATTATAATCAGCATTTTAATAAAATAACCAACAATAATCATAATCTTAAGTTTAACAATGGTATTTTTTAATGATTATTATTATTATTGTTAGTTGTTATAAGTATACTAATTATTATTATTGTTGATTAATATTATTAAAAGTATTGATGATTTTCATGTTACTGATTTGATATTGATTATTAAAACGATCATTATACTTATAATTACCTTTATTTTTTTTTTATTTTTTGTGAGTTTATCACGGTTTATGAGGGAGTTATTACCGGCAGTCCTCTTTGTATCCGCATCGCATCATTTATTAAGAGCAGAACAAACAATTTATTAGAATTGGTTTACAGCAGATAAAGAGCTCTATCCTTCTTAGTTTCGCCTTGGGGCGCATAAAATAATGGAAAATACTTTGTAGGAACCGTATTTTATTGGAAACGTACTTTGTCAGAACCGTATTTAGTCGAAAAAGAATTCGTCGGAAAGTATTTTGTCGGAATTTTTTTCAGAAAAATAATTAGTCAGAAAATATTTTGTAAGAAACGTATTTTGTCGGAAAAAAATTTTTCCCAACAACGATCACATGAAGTCACAGAGTGCTTATGATGAAATTATATTGAACAGTTCCGACAAAATACTTTGCGATGAATTATTTTTTCAACAAATTACGGTTCCGTTAAAATAAGTTTCAAATAAATTATAGCCCTCCATTTTGCCTTTGACACACATTGATTAACCCCTAATATTTTGTCTTTTGCATTCTTCTTCCTCTCGCTTTAAAAGCACTTAACGAACATACCACTTTAATGCTTCCCAGTTGTTTTGGACTTGGGAATGTATTCGACCATTGTATGCGACTCGAAATCGCCTCCAATACGTCCCTCAAGCTTCCTTTAATGCCACCACCAGTGATCGCATCAGAATATAGCGTGTTCCGTATCGCCAATGTCTGTTTGGCGGTCTATGCACATCGGGTCTTCCCGATTCCTGAACCTATGGAGATAATGAGTATGAGTTCAGGCAAATTGAGTCTTTAGGCAAATATGCTGCAGTTGAAAGAGAAGTTGTCTACAGACAAATATAGATAAAAATCATAATCTGTTAGGACAAAATTAAAATATTGGCCGATTATTCAATTATGCAAATATTATGCTACGCACAATATTCGTGCCATCGTCGTTGAGGTACTGTTATCGCGGTCCACCGGTCAACTTTTCTTACCCGCGCGCCTTTGCGGCCGTAATGACAACGTCGTCATGTATTTATGTATTTGTTATCGTTTGATAATATACCGACCATTGATTGTCATTTTTTTCTATTATTATTTTGTATTTTCATTATCAAACGTGCACTATTTATTTGAATAAGTGTACAATACATATTTATTATTTATTCTGTATACCCTTTACATTCGGTGTTGATTATTCTTATCCTTTTCGTGTAGGTAATCTTTTCCTTTTCTCACGATAAGAGTCGCCACGGCTAACCACCTCCATTAAAGAAGCTGTCGTCTCGAAACAAAATCATATAGTTAAACCATTGCATTTCTCGTTGTGCTCAGAGTTTAAGATAACTCGAGAGATTCAACACCACACTATATTATGCTAAATATTTGTATTTTATAAAAAAAATCACACGTCAACAACTCTCTAGAATTCCGACTTCAATCAGAGGCATCATTAAGAAAATGTAACATAATATTGTTCTTACCTTATGTCATGATGTTAAACAAAATAATGAAATAAAGTTATTAATATATTTTAATACAGTCTACAGTAAAATGGGATTTGTCTTGAGTACATTCAACTGTTCAAATTATTATTTATTACGCTTCGTAATGTTTACAGAAAATAAAGTACTTCCGTCTAATTTAATATTACACTGAACCTAACAAATAAAACAACAAATAATAAACTTCTGTTATTTGCTACAGTTTTCATTTGACAAACAACAGCGTGTAGGTAAATTAATATAATTTTGGATTCTAGGGGCCTATTCTCAAATCAATTGAAAAGATTGGTCGAATAACTCTTCTCGATCCTTGATTTTCGATCAAAAAAGTCTATCGATTGCTAGTTTTTGATTGAGTTTATTTTCAGACAATGATGGAATATTTTAAATCGTAAATTTTATTTTTGATCGATTTTTGGATTGTCGAATCGTTTATCACTAAATAGAGTTTTTATTCTATTATTTAATACTTAGATCATATACTAGTATACATATTATATGATCTAAGATTTAATAATTAACACCTACAGTCTACATACATTGATTTTGATTATAGAATAGTCTATTCTATAATCAATGATACATGCTACGACATTTAGTATTATCAGTTGTTAAATTATACCTTTAATGAAAGTTTAATACATAACTTGTACAAATTATTAGTAGATAGTACCTATCTAACAAATATATAACTATCAGAAATCTCTTAACTATAAAAGTATAGTTGAATAATATCCTTTTAATAAACTTTTCTTTGCCCAATTAATGCGTTTGAAGCTTTCATAAAAGGCGTTACAGTGTCGGTCAGTTCATTAACAAGAACTATGCTCAATCGATACGTCCCCATAATTAAATGTCTTTCAGATAAAATTGAAATTATAAAACCATATTTAAATAAGAAATAAAACCCTTTATAATTTACTACAATAAGTAATTATTATTCAGTTATCTCTTACCATCAAATACAATTTCTTGCAACATATTATATCTTCAAAGCTCGATGAACCATATTCACCAAATATATTATTTTACAATGTATTAAATTGCAATATCGCATCATCATAAGCCATTTTTAAATTCGATAACAGAAAGTTATACTCAAAAAATGTTAGAAACCAATAGAAATTCTTAAATCTAAATTTTCATAAGAAAATTAATATCAATTTTAATATTAAAAATTAGTTTATTAATAAATAAATTGATAAAGCAATCGAAAATAAGATTTTTCGACAACACATATTAGTCGAAACGAATGATCGAATAGTACGACCGAAAACTGTTTGAGAATATAGATCTTTTAATTAATCGAAAATAATTCCGATCATATTAAAATCAAAATACCCTTTTCGATTGATTTGATAGACCCCCAGAGAAATGTATTGCTTTTAATATGATGTATTTTTGAGCAACTTTTCTCTCAAAAAATCTTATTCCGATTACCAAGTGTAGCATCTTTTCAAAAAAAAATGTTGATAATTTGTTACCTTGGGAAGGTCGTTTTTGGATAATGGATTTTGGATTAAACTTTGGTAATATAAATTTCAATGTTGATCACAATGATCACATATACGTCTATATTTTGTGTCTTCTTATTTATTTAGAAGAAGTATATATAAATAGCTGATACCATAGACGTAGCAGGGGGGCAGAGGTTAAGAGAGATATAGATGAACTCCCCCATTGAACTTTTTTATTTTAACCTACAGTCGTAAATACTTAATAATTTATATTATATATAATATCATACAACACATTTATATTATATCTACATATAAAATTTATATGTATAGTGTTATAAATACGAAAGTTTGTTTGGGTAAATGGATAGATCAATGGATGTTTGATCTTAAAACCATTATAAAAACTATTTCGGGCGTATTTCCTTACTCAGATTCATATTATAATCAGAAATTTAAAGACAGTAATTTTAGATTCTAAGTGGAGCAAAGAAGCTTATGGTTTTAGAAAGATGTTTATTTTTTTTTTTATTTGTGCGCTACTTTTCTACCAGAAGTCATACTCGGATTTCTACGTGTAACACGTTTTCTGAAAGGAAATCGGCGTGGAGAGGTACTATATGGAGGTAATTTTTGATTTTCTTAAGAGTTTTCTCATCAAATGCGAAAAACCAGGAAAATATAAAAGAAATGTACAAGAATAAAATATATAAGAAATAGGTACCTATTAGTTAAAATATATTACAGCCTCCTTTTTTTCTATGCACAACTTTTCTATCAGCAATTTTGCTCCAACTTTTAATTATAGCAATTTTTCTAAAAGGAAATTTCACTAGTGAAGTGCTTTAAAGAGGTAATTTTTTGATTTTCCCATGAGTTTTTCCAGCAAATATGAAAAACTGGGATAAAACATGGAAAAACTTGGGAAAACTTAGGAAAATTGGGTAAAATCGGTTCAACATTAATCAAATATTATTAAAGAAAATATATAAAGCCTATTTAATTATTTTACTACAAAATGACATATATTGTTGACAAAGTATCACTATCAACTGAACTCCGCTCAGAATCTAATAATAATAGTAATAATATTTATTCAACAAAATCTGATAATTACATAATATACTTGAATATTTACATTACATTACAAGTGTTGATATCTACTCTTTATAAGCAAAGCTTGTGACGTAAGAAGAGAATCTATTAAAAAAAATTATATTAATTCAAATTGCAATATTATATGCATTATAAATTTAATGGTTAGAGACAGTAGTAAGAAACAGTAATAACAACAATCACAATAGCAACTTCAATAATAAAAATAGAATGAGACATCAATCAAACAATCTAATATATAACTTGTTTACCCTTAATTTGAATTTAATATTACTTTCAATTAGCTTAATATCCGTAGAAAGTTGATTAAATACTTTAATACCTCTTTTTTGATGATCAAATTTAAAAAAACAAAACTTAAGTACAGAAATATTTTACGAGTATCATAAAATCTTTAAGTAGATATGATATACATTGTAATAATTGTAGTCATGGGCTCATTGGCGGATTTACGAGGGGGGTCCAGGGGGTCTTGACCCCTCCCCAGATAAAGATATAATTTCAATAAAATGTCGTCCAAAAAAAGTACCTATTAATAGAGAAACCTTTTAAATACCTATGAGTTTTCATGACTCCTCCCAGAAAAATGTTGACAATTCGTTACTGCATGGCCTGCCTACTCGTGCCCATACCTATATAAGTAGTCGACCACAATTTTATAATGTATATATTATTATGTAAAAAGTTCGCATATGATTATAATTTACAATTTTATTATACAAATTTAATAAAATGTTTCTCGACATTTTTAAAAACGAAATCACTAAACATTTCGTATATAATAAAATTTGTGTTTGACATTTTATTCGATAAACTTATATGGATGTAAAATATAAATTTATTTAAAGGACCTCGTTACTTATATTTTTTTTTCTCCGTCTGCCTCATTCATAATACAGCAAGAAAACCATTCCGCGTTTTCACAATTACAACTTTATGGTAGAGTTTAGAGTAAAATGAAACCGATTATAAATTTTATAAAGAAGAGTGTTTTCTATAACATATCCCACTAATGATTTTTAATATTTTCATATCCTTTTTTTTTTAATAAATTATTAATGATTCGAATTAAAAGAGATTAAACTGGATCAAAATACTCATATCTTCATAAAAATGAAAATATTTTTAAAAAAAATCATTTGCAGAATCAATATTAAATACTTTTATTTATAAATGTAAGTCCCTTTGCCCAAAACTCAAACAGAGAGTTAAAATCGTAGAAACACAAAATGCGTTTGCTGCTTTTGCGTGCGACACAAATGGAAAAAACAAATGTTAATGAGTGTAATGACACTTAGATGTTAGTCATTAGACTGGGAACTATTGTGGCCACTGTTTTAGGTGGATAGTTGGTAAGTGAAATACATAAAGTTATTTATATTATACCTATAGACCTATAGACGATAAACCATTGCTAATGAAAAATAATTTGGAGCGAAGTTCGGTTAAATATGTTTTGAAAGGTTGTAATATTTACGACTGTTGTCAGAATTTGATTTTAAAACTCGTATAAAAAAAAATATGACATAACATTCAGTTTATTTTTTTATTTTTTTTTTACCATTATGCATGACTCATAATTATTTACGCCGTAAATATTTGCCATTTTACCAACAACTTTCTTTAAAAGAAGAAGCACGCATCATAGAAAAACCAATAGATCTATCGCTATATTCCGAATCTAAAAACTATATCCTCATACAATTAACTTACCGACCAAATTTTGCCAAACAATTACCGTAAAATATGTATAATTAAATAACGGCACACCTGTTAATTAAATTAATCTATTATAATAATATCAAACAAACTTTGTAAAATATTCATATTGTTTTAAAGTAAAAGTAAGTATATAATATAAAAGAGTAATAAAATAAGATGGTAAATTACAAAAATATTTTAATTTTTTTTTAAAAAACTTCTAAAAGATTTAGAGAATTTGAAATAAATGAAGACGGACATACATCACACGGTGGATGAGCCACTGTTGAAGATGAGATGTTGAAAAGATAGGATATAAAGAGGAATTGAATGTACATTTTTATTCATTAATAAATCGCTGCTAACGAAAAACGATTCTGAGCCAAGTTCAGTTGATAATATTGCTTTGTCCACTATACAATATATTGTATTATGTCATATTATGATAAAATGATTAAAACAATGTGCGTTTCCATGACAACAATGATTGTTTAAAAAAAATGTAAACAAAAATTTAATTATAATAAAAATAAATAAAAACGACTGCCAATGATAACCTTATTTTTAATCTTTCGATCTTCTTTAACCTTAAGACCGAGGTTTTCCTTATTATCTCGAATATTAATGAGAATTTCAAAAAATGACCTTTCTAAAGTACCACCCAGAGAAAATTCCCTTTCAGAAAAGTTGCTATAATTAATAATCGAAGTATGCTTTTTGGTGGAAAAAGTAATCACATAAAAAAACAAATTAAAAATTAAACATCATTATAAAACCAATACATTCCTCGTTCCACTCAGAATCTAAAAATACTATACTAAACTCAACTATTTCTTGTTAACCACTAAGTACGACTTAAATTAACCTCCTCTCAAATTTTTTGTTTAATCTAATAATTTTATCCATAAAGTACTTACCGAATAAATATTACGTAAAATACTCTCAATATTAAAAAGTCTATAAATAGCTCAAAAATGACTAAAATATTGAACTAATATAAAAAATATTTTAAAATATTTTACTACGTCTAAAAAAGGCATGCATCAGATATTAAGTCTTCACAAATAGTTTTAGTTAAATTACAACAAAAAAATGAAATTGAAAATAATGAAAGTATTATTTTCGTAAATTTTTCCGGCTTTTCCCAATTATCATGAAAACTGCTTGAAAAAACCAAAATATTATTTCCCCAAAGTATCACCCAAATAAAATTTTGCTCAGAATCTAAAATAGTTATCTACCCAAATATCGAATAATTAAGGAAATATCATCTCTTGCAGGTTTTGGAATAATAATTACTATATATGTAATACTATTATTAAGTACAATGTACATAAGAAAAGAGTTAAAGAAAGAAAAAAAAACATTGGTGTGTGGAAAACTATGTAGTTAATCATAACTATATAATAGCATCACGGCAAACTTCTTTATTTTTATTTTAAAATATTATATTTCTATTTAAGAAAATCTGTTTAAAACGTACAATTAAATGCCATATTTTAACATACGTACACATAAATACGTGGGTCATATACCTATATAGTATTACAGGATTAGAACACGAAAAGGCAATTTACAGTTATTACCCAAAACCTCTAGACATATTTAAACGAATAAATCTCAACACGCGCTAATTGCGCTTATGTCTACATGGTTAGTTATTTGCATTGGTAGGTATAGGTATATAGATTATAACAGTGGTGTGTAAGTTAACATTTGAGATTTTAGTGGGGTTCCGTGTGTACCACAAACACCATTAGGGCCTTTTTTATTTTTTTTTTAAGCTATATGATGAATACTTCAAAGGTTGTTTTAATATTGACGACTTGACATAGAAAATTGGTATTTAATAATAATGATAATACAGCCTATTTGATACTTTTTTTTAGATTCGAGCGTAGCCAGTTCTAGTCTGTGGACACATTTTTTCCTAATAGACTTGCTCCGATTTGTAAGTATAGCACTTTTTCTGAAAGCTCAAGTTGTCTAGATGGTAGTTTAGAGCAGTCTTTTTTTAATTTTTGATGCCATTTTTAAAAAAAAAAAAAGCACTTTAGTAAGAAAAAACATTGGAAAACCTACAATTTCATGATTTCATTATTTTTTAAAAACACAGACAACGTTTTCTACCAGAAAAAATGATTAATCGAAAAATCTCAAAAACCTTTTTGATTTAATTTCTTACGGTATCATCGGCAATACTTTTAAGCCATTTTTAAGCTTTTAAGGAATATTAATTTTTGAGAGTTTTTTGTTGTAATTCGGCTATAAAATACACGTAGAGACTTGAAACTTGGCAATAATACTTATATTGGACTTACCTAGACATGGTGCATTAATAGTAGTTTCGGAACATTAACTGAAAGTCCCCCCCCCAAATTAACAGTCCATATAGTATAGTATTGTTTGATATAAACTTAAGTATACTGTACGAATTACTTGCATCGATAACACCTTGCGTAATTTATAAAAACTACAACTTAAAATACGAAGACGCATTTCTAAGTTATCCACATGTAAATTCCATCAAAAATGTTTATCAATGGTTAATCCCTAATAACGTATACTTGAGACTCTGCATAAAGTTTTACATTTTATAGCGTTGCGCAAATTATTTTTATCACAAAAATGTATAGTTAAATCGTCAAAATTGTCTTCTTTATTATTTATCATAAAGCTTATAAACATTTTTTTATTATAATTTAATGATAACTTTCTATTGTTTAAAAACTTTACTACTTTTTTAAATTTTTTTGTTGCTTTCAAACATACTTTTTTATTTCAGGTGTCTCCTGAGTAAAGTAGATACGTGTCATCGGCATAGGTGACGATAAGTTCTTCAATATCTTAACTACAAATACTATCTATGTACAGAATAAATAAAATTAGACCCAAAACACTACCTTGCGAAATACCGTAGTTTATTTATCTCCAGTAATTCCATAAATTAATGAACCTTTTACGTGCTGTTATTCAAATAGCTCCTAAACCAATCCAAACTTGATGAAACAACACCAAAATTTGGTAAAATGTTTAAAAGCTCCGAATGATCTACAGTATCAAACGCTTTCACCAAACGCTAAATACTTAAACACTGAATCGGTCTAATATTAGTAATATTATTATGACTCAAAACAAACCGCATAATAAGTATACTAGTAATATACTGTATAAGTATATGTATGTATTTCTATTATAGATATTACGATTGTTTTATTATTTAAACGGTGCACGCACTTTCGAAAAAAACAATTTCAGACGGTATCTTAACTACTACTAGTGAAAACTAGTCTAAGGCAGTGAGGTGTTCCTTTGGCTCTGGTGATCACATAGCTTCTACGTGGCCTCTGTGAACGAGGATGAAAATTTTCACCATTCAGCAGTTTCGGTCGCACGTCGAGAGGTTTGATCAAGATGACAGTTAAAACAGACTCAGCGAGAGGTAACTACGGAGGGAGTTGTCGTATGTGGTGCAAGTTAAGCAACTCGCAACACTTCGTGCACCACACTCGCTAACGCAACTGGATTATTTATTTATTAAAGTACAAAAAAACTTACAAGTTAGATTACAATTAAGTGTATAATAACATAAGTAAATTAATTACACAGTGTTCATTAAACAGAAATGACGAAAATGACCTCGCTGGCTATGCGCATCATCCCATAAACATCGGTTGGGTACGTGAGTAGTAAGTGGTGCTGTGTTTATAATGGTGAAAGGATAAAATGATCGGGACGGGCAAGACATTAGAAAACAAACTTGGCTAAATAATGTGGGACAGTCTATTACTCCATCTATAAGCTTCCTTAAGAATAGTTGGTTAGCAATCCTTCGTTTATCTACCAGGGATTACAAACCTAGTGTATTCAACGCTGAGTTAGGTTAGGTTCATGAATCATACTCATGCGGCTGGTGGTCAATATTTAGCAAATAAGCAACAAAGCTCAACAATTTTCGCTAAATCTTTTCTACCTGGTTTCTATCTGGTTTTTATCTGTGTATGAGTCCCAAATCACACTAAACTCTAGAATTGACCTAACAAATGCATAGTAAAAAGCTTTTAGGAGAGTTAAACATTTTAATTCGTAGCAAGTTCGCTTTAAAAACCCGACAAATTACAGGGCCTTGCAGCACGATGCTTCAATGTAGGCCTAGAAATTCAAATTCCGATCAAATGAAATCCCTTGTTCATTAACTAGATCACCTAAAATAGTTAGAACAGTGCCAGACAGAGAGTAAGAGAATTTCGGAGAAACAAGATTTCTATGAAAGAACATAGAGAGAACAAGAGTGGCGTTTGGTGATATTAAACTCTAATCTGACACTATCAGCCCAAAGCATTTAAATCACTTTGTAAATAAAAATATTTCAACCAATAATTTTCCATACCATTTCAGAATGATATCAAAAAACTTTACTCAAAGCAACCGCGTTAGAAAATGTAATTATCATAATCGAAAAATGAAAAATTATTTTACTAATTTTATGTAACTAGTTTTGCATTTTATATTTATTTAAAGAAAATTAAAAATAAAAATTATGTTATTATGTACTATAATAAATACATTTTAAATATTTGTATATTTTTGTGTTATAAATTAGTGACTCAATCTAAGTCTACCCTTTAAAAATATATACTTCATTTATGGCCCAATACTAAAAAAATATTAATAGGTAGATAAAATGTGTCCCGAAAACCAGGCGCCGGAAAATTCAACTCTAGTGATGGATATCTGCTGCTCATTAATAGGTGTTTTTATTTCAAATGAATTGTTCAACACTATGATGTTTTCGTTGTTTCCGATTATTTACAGCAGAAAAAAAATCGTTTTTTCTGCAATAATTGATTTCTATGACAATACGTTATGGTATAGTAATACGTAATACGTTATCCGATTTCAGATCGGAAATTGTCAGCAGTGGCAGGCTCTCGATAGTCACCATTTTAGCGCCGACGCATTTATTTAAAAGATTAAACAGAATAATATTCTACCATCGGCACACAACAGCTGCTATAACATAGCACACCAAACGGTTTCTGTTTCATCTGCTATATTATTATGGTTGTTCGAAATTTACTACTTGATTAGCTATAGAGATCAGCGCCACGCATATAAATTATTTCATACTCTCGCAATCGCTTTGCCGTGAAAAACACATGTATATAATATACATGACATTTTTTAAAAAATAAAAATAAAAATCGTATTTGTTAATTTACTATATTATTAAAATATCTATTCAATGTTCATTAAGGAGTATTATGAGTTTTAAACGAAAATAAATTAATCTCATTAAAATGTACTCCTGCTCATCATTTTGCTGTCCCTACATACCTAACGTTCTGCACTAGGTCGTGCACAACATTCCAATATTCGAAGACTTTTTTTTTTGTAAAGTCTGGTCACATTTCAAAAAAAAACTCTCTTGAGCAGCAAATACTATACATATAGAGTAGAATTTCTTTCAACCTATTTTATAATATAAAAATACTTTTTTGAAAACAATAAAACAACTGAATACTATAATAATACTATAATTACCTACTAGTATTATACTATAACCTACAATTAGGCGTATATCGATTCCACCGAAATAATCTTTTTAACTATGAAAATTGTAATAATTGCGCCGGCTATCGATTCGCTGGACATTTGTATCTTTACAGTTTAGCTGTGTGTAAAAAACCTATAAAACCCGTGTTTAGGGACACGTATTAACACAATCATTAAAAACGTAAAAAAAAAAGACGAACATACTTAGTTGTATATGTTTTAAAAGGCCGAAATATTTACGATTTTTTTCAAAATTTGATATTTAAATTCTTACGAAAAAAAGCAATAATAAAATCATTCACGTTTTTCCAACGTTTTTTTTCCAATTATTATGAAAAATACTTGAAAAATCAAAAAATGACCTTTCTAAAGTACTGACTAGATAAAATTCCCTTTCAGAAAAGATGTTACACTGGATAACTCGGAACAATATAGGTAGAATTTTTGTACACAGTATAAAATAAATAATAATAAACATCATTGTATAACGGTTATACAATTATTGGTTACAATATTGGTTATACTATAACCAATAGATGCATTCCTTGCTCCGCTCAGAATCTGAAATAACGAATAAAGTTCAGTAATAATTAAATTATAAAAATCATAGGAATCGTATATTAATAATTATTTCTTGACCTAACAACTGTGGTTAAAATTAATTCTAATTCTGATTCCAAATAAAGAAACACAACGTTTGTAACAGATGCAGTATACGTAAAACAGACATCGAAAGTTGTTACCTATTGAATTTTTTTTTTAATTAAGTTTTTAAAGTTATGTATAAGTAAGTTAAACTATTCGGAACTTGGTGATGACGAGAATAACTTTAAACGAGCTTAATGAACTTGTAAGTTGTATAAATAAATTAAATTAGACGAACAACATACCTAAATGTATAATATAAAATATTCGTTTTATGTAACACCTTCCTTACCTACCCCTTATTATAACGTAAAATATGAATATTTCATGAATAAACAATACCTGTAGTAAATTAATAAGTATACCTAGTAACTCTGTATCGTTCATATCTGTAAATGTACAAATACTATAGTATGATAAAATCGACAAAGTGAAATGTTAAAAAAGATGTAAATACTTTACACATGGGTGCAGCCACTGTTGTGAGTGAAAAGTTGAGAAGGTAATAGAGGGGAAATTTAATGTATATCTGCAAACAACGATAAACTATTGCTAACGAAAAAACGATTCTGAGCTGAGTTCAGTTAATAGTGTTGATTTTATTTTTTTGTTTTGTTTTAATTCAGTTTAAAATGTTCCTAAAGGCTTGAAATTTGGACAGCAATTTTATATTTATCTTTTATATAGGTTATACAATTTTCAAAATATTATAGTCTTTTTTGTGCTATTTATGGACATTTTAGTTTTACGGGGTCTTTTTACGTCAATTTTGTTTGGTAAGTACTCTGTGAATAAAATTGTTCGACCAAACAGAAATGCTAGATAATTTAACCGAAGGATCATAAGTTGTACTTTGTGGTCAAAAAAGAAATTGAGTGATTTTAACGCGAAACACCCTCAATGGAGTTATCGTGTCGAAAATACTCGTGGACGTATGTTCCAAAATATTTTACGAACCAAAAAACATACATTCATTTCCCCACAAGGACTAAAATACTGGCCATCACATCAAAACAGACAGCTATATATATTAGATTTATTCTTATCCATAATTCCCAGACATATAAACTTTACTATAAAAAACTTGGATGACCTGGCGTGTGGTCACAGTACAGTTCTTTTACAAATACACGGTCAAATATCTCTAAATTCTTCACGACCTTCCCTAGCAAAAGGACCAGTCAACTAGAACCAATTTTCTGAAAACCTAGAAAACTTAACAAACTTGAAAATTTCACTGAAAACCAATGACCCAATAGAGGAGGCAGTCCAAGACTTCACAATCATAATTCAAACCGCTATTTATAACTCGTCATTCAAAATAAACAAACCGACAAATAATTCAATATTTGAAAATTTCCTTCCCTACTACACACATAAATTAATAATAATTAAGTGCAGAGCTCAGTCACGTTGGTAACACCACAATCTCCCTTCTGACAAACATATACTAAATAATTTAATCAACCTAATAAAAAAACAGATACAAAAACATAAATCAAATTTTTTTCAAGAAAAATATTAATTACTTAACATTAAAGACGGCTCCTTGTGTAGAAGCACTAAAAACGTTCTCAAAATTAAGGAACAAACTACTCATCTGTATGGACCGTATGGCCAATTAGCAATCACAGATAAAACTGACCTTTTTAGAAGCCACCTTTCGAAAACATTTACTCCCCACCCAAACATAAACCTCGAGCCCAAGCACCTAGATTTAGTAACAACCTTTCTCAGCAGCCCACCTATGTCCCTCCCTGCAAAGTATACAACTCCAAATAAACTAAAATCTATAATAGATTAAAAACAAGAAAATCACCTGGATGTGAACTAATTACAAACAAAATATTAAAACACCTACCAAAGAAAACACTAATACTCCTTATATTTATCTATAATTCGATGCTAAAGCTCTCCTACTTTCCCATAACATGGAAATTTTCTACAATTGACCTTATACATAAACTACAAAAACCCAAGTATCTAACATCTTCAAATAGGCCGATAAGTCTTCTTTCTACCTTGGCAAAATTATTTGAGAAAATTATCCTAAAAAAAATACGACCTATAATGAACTCTCAAAATATTAAACCACATTCGCAATTCGGATTTAGATCTCAACACCCTACAATACACTAAATCCACAGAATCACAGACAAAATAGCAACCTCACAGGTAAAATACTTAGGAATTATACTTGACAAACGATTAAATTGGGGCCCACACTTAAAGGCAAAACGTAAAACACTAAATACTCGTCTACACATGCTTCGTCCTATATTGAAATGAAAATTATCAATCCACACAAAATCTACCTTATACAAATTCCTACTAAGGCCTATATGGTGTTCAAATCTGGGGCTGGGCAAAACCACCTCTAACTCGGACCATCCAAGCGTTCCAATCGACAGCTTTACGTCTCATAGCATCAGCCCCTTGACACGTAACAAACAAAGCGCTACATAAAGACTTACAAATTTATACAGTTGACCAACTAGCCAAAAAATACTACACCAAATTTCATACCAAACTACAGAACTATTCAAATCTTTTCTACCAACATTTATCCTTAATCACACTCCCCGAAAACCTCCACATCTGAAAAGACGTTGGTATCGAGATCTATTGAACTAATTTAACTATCGCGATCTGCAGTATCCTATTACTGAATAGCCTCCCTCATCAAGCAACCATGTTATTGTTATTTATTTTATGTTATTTTATTTTAAAGTCATTATATTTACTTAAAAGTAAAAGGAAAAAAAAATGCAAAACATTTTTTTTTTTTTCAGAAACACGAGTTCAAACCCCTGAACTTAATATAAAATTAGATATTCAGTACCATTCAATTACAACAAACGTATAGTAGAGTAGATAATATAGAGTTATTTAACATAAACATGTAATATCAGCATAATATCTTAATTTCAAAAAGCTATAATTTCAAAACTGAGTCAGTCCGCTCAATTCTGACTTTACCATCCTTCTTAAATCGGCAATACACATATGTTAGAAGAAAAAAAATTATAAATTAGATTTGTTCAACATAATTTTTTACTCAACGATTTTCGTCAAAATTTGATATTAAAATTCCTTTATAAAAAAAAAAATACTACATTAAACTCAAATTTTCTTCTTTTTTTTTAATACAAACTAAAACTCTTAATGAACCTCCTAATAAATTTTCAAGCATTTCTTTTAAGTCTAACAATTTTACCACAGAATACCTACCGAATAAAAATTACGTACAAAATTCGCAAAATTAAAATGTCTATAAATATCTCAAAAATCGCTCAAACATTTTTAAAATTTTACCACGTCTATAAAAGGCAAATATAAATTGTTTGTCTAAATTTCAAGTCTCTATGAATATTTTTAACTGAATTACAACAAATAACAAAATTGAAAAATAATAAAAGCATTATTTTCGTGATTTTCCCGTTTTTCTTAAGTTTTATCCTGGTTTTTTCAGATATTATAAAAACCGCATGGAAAATAAAAAAATTACCTCCTAAAAGTACCATCTGGACAATATTCCCGTTCAGAATTGGAGCCGCGCGTAAATATCTAAGCAAGATTTCTGGTAGAAATTTTGTACACAGTATAAAAAAAAACATCTTAGTAAAACCAATACATTCTCTACACTCAGAATCTAAAATTTAAGATTAAATTCAGATGATTTAAGAGAACTTAAAATATTAATAATATTATGTAAGGAAAGACATCACCGCCACGAAAAACAACTACTACGAGCATCCACTACTCCGTCATAACAATAGCATTTCACAGTGGCGGTTTTCAGGAAGGCATGATAGGGGGAACTTCTTATTACCATGGTTAGCAATCTAATGTAAAAGAATAAACGTAATGAAAGAATATGATATTGGTATAAACCTGCTTCGAATAAGTACACATCAGAATCGTTAGACCTCATTCACCACGTAACTCTACAAAAGAATACCTATGTTGCACATTGCATATTGTATAGTACATGTATTAATTTTGCAAAAAAATTAATTATTAATTATTAATTAGAATACTATTTTAGAATACATTCTATTAGTGGCATACTCAGATTTTTCCTAGGGGGAGGGGGGGGGGGGGGAATGAACTATATTTTTNGGGGGGGGGGGGGGGGGGTGAATGAACTATATTTTTCTGTTGATAGTCATATATACAAATTTACAAAATATACTTAATGGTATATACATTGATATTTTAGAAGTAGGTAGATAAGTACAAAATGCAATGTTAATAAGTATAATATATACTTACCTATTTTGTATACTCTTATGTTAAACCTCTTTTTTCATTTTTTTGGTTTAAAGGAAACGTAAACGTTAGCAATGATATCCATATTTTTTTAAGTACCTAAACAGTAAAAAACAAAAGTTAAGTACATTAGGTAGTAAAAACTGATTATTTTTTACCTGAAATAAAGTCTAAACTTACAGTCAATATATTAGCATCTGATAATCAACAGTTCTCAAATAAGCTTACATCATTTACATGCATACAATCAATCTTAAAAGGCTGTCCTAAGATATTGGGAACGGGTGCAGCCACAGGTAGTTGGAAAGATAGGATACAGAAGGGTGTTTAATGTTTATCTGTAAGCAGCAATAAACTATTGCTTACGAAAAACGATTCTGAGCAGAGTTCAGTTAATAGTGATGCTTTGTCAACAATATACGTATACGTATATGTCACATTATAGTAAAATATTAAATAATTAAATAGGCATATATATATATATATATTTTCTTTAATAATATTTGAATAATGTAAAGAAAAAAATAAGGACATTCAACAAATATCATAATTAGTTATATAAGATAAATTTACTGTCATTGTTATATATTTTAGATTCCGAACGTAGCGAGAGGAGCTATTGGTTTTACAATACTGTTTATCTTTTTTTCTTCGTTGTTCTAGTCTGTGGACACGTTTTTTCCTAATAAAATTGCTCCGATTTTTATGTGGAACAACTTTTCTAAAAAGTCAAATTGTCTATATTGTATTTTAAAGAGGTCATTTTTTGATTTTTGACACCATTCTTTAAATGAAAGCACTTAAGTGGGAAAAACATAAAAACGCACAATTTTACGATTTCATTATTTTATAAAAACTCGGATGACCTTTTTTTACCAAAAAAATGATTTAATTAAAGACACCTTTTTTGTTGTCTTTTTGATTTACTTTCTTACGGTGTCGTCGTCAAAACTTTTGAGCTTTTAAAGAATTTTAATTTTTGTGAGTTTATTTGCTGATTCGGTAATAAATACACGTAGAAACTTGAAACTTAATAATAATACTTACATTTGACTTACCTAGACGTGGTAAAATTTCCGAAATCATCGGACTTTTTTTTTTAATAAGCGTTTCGAAATCAAATTTAAACGAAAATCGCAACTAAAATTACGGCACTTCAAATTATGCGTTTCCAAACTGTTCGAAATCGTCTTTCGTCAATCAATGGTTTATCGTTCCTTACATATATAAATGAAATAACCTTATGTGTCCTACCTTCCCAACTTCTCACAACAGTTGCCGCTCCTATCCCCAGTATCAGCTCTGTTTTTTTATTTTTATTTATTTTTTTTTCTCTATATGCATCAATTTTTTTTTGTAAATTAAATTATAACTTATTGTATTTTTACATGCACATTCTATTACCCTTATTTGGCGTAAATAAATATTATTATACCGATTTTCCTACGTTTATCCCATGTTTTTTCCCGGTTTTTCACATTTACTAGGAAAAATCTTGGGAAAATCGAAAAATGACCTCCATAAAGTACCACCCCAAGAAAATTTCCTTTCAGAAAAGAGTCTACATTGTATACACCGGAGAAAGATTTCTGGTAGAATTTGTGTGCAGTATATAATAAAAATAAACATTGTATAACCAATATATTTTTCGCTACACCTAGAATCTAAAATTTAAAATTATTAAAAATATTTAGTTTAGCTAAAAACTGCATGACTATAAATACTATTGATTATATATTAATATGCCGATGGTCGCGTTTATAACATAGATATGCTTGGTACCTTTTTTTTATAATATTTATGCATTATAAGTAGATAACTACTATTACTATAGTATCTACTAAACATATTTTATATATATATGACATGTTTAGTAGATACTACATTATTATAGATACATTATTTTATACACATGATAATATAATAATGTGCACAATCATCAATTAGTCAATAACACAGTAATTCATATTAGATCATACAAAAAACATTCTATATTAATCAAACCTTAATATGTTATTCAGTTAATTGTCAATGTCATTTTTTGAAATTCTCATTAATATTCGAGATAATGAGGAAAACCTCAGTCTTTAGGTTAAATAAGATTAAAAGATTAGAAATAAAGTTGTCACTGGCAACCGTTTTTATTTATTTATTGTTATTATTAAGTTTTTCTTATTTAAATCTTTTTTAAACAATCATCGTTATCATGGAAACGCACATTGTTTTAATCATTTTACCATAATATTACATAATAGCATATATTGTATTGTGGACAGAGCAACATTATCAACTGAACTTGGCTCAGAATCGTTTTTTCGTTAGCAATGTTTATCGTTGCTTACAGAATTGGATAGGTTAAGTTAGATTTACTTATAACCAGTAAGCTGTCCTTTACGAAGCACATCGGCATGGCATCACGAAAAGCGACAGAGACAGCCCAAGCTATATCTTGGCTCATGCCCAATGTAAGGGGACCATACAAGTGTAAAAGGACCCTACTGGCAAATGTGGTGAGCAGTAAGCTATTATACGTGTCTTCTACCTGAGCCACAATGAGCGCTAAGACTGCCAAAAACCGAGGGGCAAAATCTAGGGCTCAGAGAACTGTCGCATTATGCTGTATTCGTACCTACCGAACCGTTTCAACCAGAGAATCCCTAGTCCTCTCAGGGATGTAACCGGGAGACCTTGTGGCTCTCGAGAGGGCTAGAGTAAGACAACGTATCAATGATGGTCTCCCAAATATCCCTGCCCAACTAATAGTGAGGGATGAAAGGGAAGCAATCAGCGACACCTGGCAGGCCAGGTGGGATGAAGACACCAAGGGAAGATGGACCCAGAGACTGATGCCCAACATCAAGCGCTGGACGAGCAAACCACCAATGGCTACTTCATCTCATATAACGCAGGCGCTTACTGGTCATGGATGTTTTCGCAGCTATCTAAAGAGAATGAAACGAGCCGAAGACAATACCTGTTGCTACTGCCTAAACCCGGACACCATGAAGTACACCATTTCTGAATTCGCTAAATGGAACACCGAAAGAGATCCAATGGCTCTATTACTGAGGCATCCTGTTCGTGCTGAAGACGCGAAAGATCTTCTGTGCGGTCCTCCAACTGCCGATTTGCCAGACGATCCCGCTGCTAGAGCAGCGATCCAGAAATAGGCCGCGCTAAACCGGTAAGAGTTCGCCAAGACGGTAGGATGCAAATTAGCGACAAAAGAACAAGATGAACACGATTCCCAAGCGAGGAATTAATGTGTCGCAGGTAATCCACCCATTAATGCACAGCACGCATATAGACGGTACCTCTTCTCTTCGACCATCGAAGACGTCGGAGATGCCACCGACACCGACCGTATTCATTGTGGCACCGGGCGGCGCGCAAGCGCAATTGTCAGTTACTGCCAGGCAAAATTCAAGACCCAGAGGCAAAAGGACGCTTACGGGATGTTCAGGGCGGCACTGACCGGCTCGAGAAGCTTAAACGTGAAGTGCAAGGTGTCTGGCTACGTAGTATTGTAATATTGTTAATATTGTCGTATTATTGTATTGTAATTATTATAAGATTGTGAGAATGTAATGTAATGATGTCAAATAAACGATAGCGACGCAATGGCAGTATGGGAAACTAATTTCCACTACGTCGTCGGTTCAAACAGTAAAAAAAAAAAGGTTAGATAAATTTACATTAAATTCCCGTCTGTAGCCTATCCTTTCAACTTCCCACCTACAACAGTGTCTGCACCGACGTGCGAAGTATGTCCGTCCTTCTTCCTTTTTTTTCATCTGTATTCCCAAAGTAACCCAACAATTTTATCTTTGTACCAAAATTACATAAAATCGATTTTTGTGAGGCATAGTAAGGTTATCGAAGAATTGCATAGATGTATTATGCCAGAAATCTTCACGGGAATGTATTCAACAACTTCTCAAAGTTTCATGGTGATCAGATGAATGGTGTAGTAATGCCTAAAGGACAAACACACATACAATCATTTTTATATACACAGAATAGATCATTTATGTACTAAAAACACATTCATTTTAAAGACAAATATCAATAATATAGTAAAATCTATGATTTATACTATATACAGTTCAGTATGTATTATGTACATTTTGCTCAAAACAAACATATATAGAAAAAGGTTCAAACTGAATGATGTGATGTTAATAGTTCGTAACAAAATTAAAGTAAACATAAGTACCGAAAAATAATGTGGTATTTTTTAAAAACGATCAATAGGATAACAGAAATAGTATATGATCTAAAGGTAATGCCATGACACCATAAAGGAGTTAAGTCACTACAGATAAATCAATTCTGAGTTATTGTCTTTTGTAGAAGTTTTTATTAAGTTTTAATACATTTTTAATTTAATTTTGAAGAATACTTTCGAAACAGTAAGTTGTATTCGGAAGAGTTTATGTTCGATGTAGTATTTGATAGTAGTAGTTGATCTTCAAAGCAGTTATAACAAACCATTATGTAATATGATTATGCATTATATTTGAACTATTAGGAATTTCGAAAATATTTTAAATTTAATAACAACGGATGAAAAATTATGAATCTTTTAAAGTAATGAACTAAAAGAATAAATTAAAATTGTTTGCTACCTAACCAAAAAAATAAAATAAACTTAAGTTTGCATTTAACATTTAAAACTCTAAAACGAGACTAAAAATTATTCTTTTAAAGGAATAAAATACTTAAAGTATTCGGAATACTACCCATGTCTGTGTATAATTTATATTTATACCAGCCATACCGTGTGATCTTTAATAATTTTAACTAATCCCTCCCCTGACAAAAAATTCCTTTATTTTTTTTTTAAATTATTTTATGAAAGTTAAGATATTTACTAGTTATTTTAGTTTCTACAGTTTTCTAAACTCAAAAAAAATCATAGAAATACCAAATAAACTAGTTTTACCAGAAGGAACGATAATTAAAAAAAAAATTTACTATTCATAACAAAAAATTACTATAATATATAATATATAAAATTACTGTAATATATAAATTTTTAGCTTAATACCTAGGATATGTTTTGTTTGGATAATAACAGACTACAAAACTGTTAGATAAAGTGCACAAAATGATAAAATACTACCAGAACTAGCAAAAAAAAATATATTACAAATTGAATATTGTTTACGTATCTGTCTCTGTAATCAAATATTACAATGAAATAGAATTTTAACGTTTAGACTTGTTTTGACGGAACAATCAAAATATCTCAGAATATTTATACAGACAAAAAAGAACTGATACTGGGGATGGGAGCGGTCAGTTTTAGGTGAGAAGTTGGGAAAGTAGGATACATAAGGTTATTTGATTTATATCTGTAAACAACGATAAACCATTGATTGACGAAAAACGATTTCGAACAGTTTGGAAACACATAATTTGAAGTGCCGTAATTTTTTTTGCGATTTTCGTTTAAATTTGATTTCAAAACGCTTATCAAAAAAAAGTCGTCGGATGATTTTTAAAATTTTACCACGTCTAGATAAATGTAAGTATTATTATTAAGTTTCAAGTTTCTACGTGTATTAATAACCGAATCAGCAAATAAACTCACAAAAATTAAAATTCTTTAAAAGCTCAAAAGTTTTGACGACGACACCGTAAGAAAGTAAATCAAAAAGACAACAAAAATGGTGACTTTAATTAAATCATTTTTTCTGGTAAAAAAAGGTCATCCGTGTTTTTATAAAATAATGAAATCGTAAAATTGAGCGTTTTTATGTTTTTCCCACTTTCATTTAAAAAATGACCTCTCTAAAGTACAATCTAGACAACTTGAGCTTTCATAAAAGTTGTTACACATAAAAATCGGAGTGAGTTTACTAGGAAAAAACGTGTCCACAGACTAGAACAAAGAAGAAGAAGAAATAAACAGTATTGTAAAACCAATAGCTCCCTCACTACGCTTGGAATCTAAAACACAGAAATTCAAAAAACCTCATGGAAGTAGTAAAATATTAATAACATGTTTTTACTGCAATCACCAATGGCAATCCACATGTTTGGTAGTATATATATATATATATAATAATATAGAAAACCTTTTCATATTGAACTTCATCATTAATACATTATATTATTACTAAATCATTATATTTTATACAATGATAAGTATTTTCATACAAATTAATATATTATACATTACAACGTATTATTACAAGGATTAAAAAGTTATAAACAATATGAACACCTATAACTATTGAATTAAAATAATAATAATAAAAACATAAAGATATATTCAACTTTATTCTTTCTAGCGTCGAGTGCTAAATTTAAATTTTAACCGACTAGAGTAACATCTTAATAACTGTTTGTTTAACAGTCTGTTATCTATATTATTATAATTGTTCACTCCTTATAAATAGTATTTGATTAAAATTTGAACAAAAATAAATAAATACAATTAATCTATTTCATACACTAATTTATGCATGATTAGTGATGGAATAAACACTAGTTATGTGACCTTTCTCTAGGCTACAATTTATTCCACTAACTCAATCCTGTAATTTAATTAACTATTATATATATTTATACATACATTTATTATTATAGACATATTTACTAATAACATAAACAATAAATATACAGATTAGTTATGGCTATATCAACACTACATAGGGTTTTATTGTGATTTTTTTTTTTCGGTTACATATTTTTGCATAACAAATCGGTGTTTATTTTCGATTAAAATTCTGACATGAGCTAATGAAAAAATATTAATAGAGGTGGCTAAAGGTCCAAAGATAAAATAATTTTACAATGAAATATGGCAAGGTGTATTTAATATTCAAATATTAAAAACTGAAATTTTAAAATATGTACTGGATAGATGGACCAGAATAGTCACATTCACAACTCTATAGAAATTTAGAAATTACAGCTCCCTCTTGGGGGGGCTATTAATTTGATTTTATTATATTTCCACTTGCTATAAGCTCCAATAACCTACCTATTCATTTATTATCTATGAACAATAATTATTATTAATAATCTGTATATTATAAAAAAAATTACTATAATAAACATACCACAAACTGTTTCGTAAGTTAATGATTCACCAGCATCATGTAAACACAATCAAATCAATCAAAAATTGTATGAAATTATTAATAAAACAAATTCACTAGCACATGAAATTTGTCCAATTACATAATTGATTTATGTAAAAGGCACAAATTAAGATAATTCATAATACAAGGTATAGCTATGAAATAACTGAGATCATCAAATTAGTGATAAGGGCATAATGTTTGGTATATTTATAAATAATAAATATCATATTATCACTGCATCAAAAATACAGTAAATACCAGTTTAGTTAGTTTTGGTTCTTTAGTTTACTTATTAATATCATTTAAACTTTTAAAGGATCTTAATTTTCTAGATCTCACACCATGTGACTAATGGCTCTTAACAAAATTAAAAGCACATTGAAAAGAGCACAATAAGTCAGTTAAAGACATAAATTCAAAATCAACAAAAGTATTAAAGGCATTACAAGAAAATGATTTCAAACACAGTTTAACCAATTTACAAAATAAATAAACGAAAAAAAAAAAGATTTTTAAATGAAAACCTTGTTATTTAATAGCTATACCTCACAAATATACAGAATTGTTTATTAACATGCCACCCAATTTTTATGGTTAAATTTTGCATATATTCAAATTCCGATTTTTTTACGTTTATTCATAACTATTATTTTTGAATACTTACAACATTTAAAGAGTACCCTGTGGTGATACCAACTTTAGTATTCCACTGAAAATCTATATTAAAAATTCCATAAATAGATAAAGTATTGATTTAAATAAATTTTGGTATTATAATTCAACTTTTAAGTTTAAGTAGGGTGAGAGTAATGGAGCACAAATAAAATTATACGTACTGTGCCGCCATACAAATAATATTCTACTACTCTCCCCCTACCTAAACTTTAGAAAGGAATCTCATCAACAGGTTGGTGGAAATCAAAAATGTTAACACCAAAAATCTAAGTATTCGAAAATATCGGCTTTAACTACACTTAAAAATTCCCAAATTAAAATTTTTATATAAGCAAAATTTACCATAAAAATAAAGTGAACATGCTTAATGAATTACCCTGTATATTTGTTTTATTATTATTCAAAAATAGGTACAATAAAATGCTATAAGTACAATAAAAATTTAAACAAGAATCAGAAAATGTGCTAAGTGCAACAAACTTCATACATATTAAATTAGTTGTTCTATATCAATTCAATAATAGCAGCAATATTTATATATCATACTTAAAATCAGCCCTTATAGGTATTATAATTTTATTATATCTGAAAATAAAAAAGTTATTATTTAAATTGATTTACTATAAACCAATACCACAATCTGAATTTCTCCTTACTAACAGCAGTTCCAACCATAAAAACCCCATCATAAATTTAATTTAATGAAACAATATTAAAAATTCTGAAAATAAATAAGAATAATTTCTTTTGAATATTAAATTTAAATATTTTAGAAAAATAATTATTTGCAATAAAACATAATAACTTCCAAAAACAAATTATACAATTTACAAACTAATTACAAATAATCAATACATACAGGAAGATCGATTTTCCATAAATATACATTATTTAAAAAAGTATTAACTGTTTTTAATTTTCTTTTGGGGAAATAAATTATTCTTTAATATAAACTCAGTTCTTTAATACTCTATTGCCATTCTTTTTTTGACGTTTATATTTAATGGGGAAACCACTATTAATTATGTTTTTCAAATAAAAACCTATATTCAAAATTCTATGCATTGATGAAATTTTAGTGAAGTAAAAAACAATTAAATCCACATAAACCAAATAAAAAGAATTAAAGAATTTCAAATGGCTATAAATAACTAAAAAAATAGACAGAGTATTTTGAACATTTCACTGCATCCAGAAAATTCTTATATAAATATTCAGTAAATATTTCAAGCCTCTAAAATTATTTTTAACTTGATTTAACAGACACTGTTATTTTGTAAATTTTCTCAGTTTTCTTGTTTATTAAAAAAACTACTAGAAAAATCAAAAATTACCTTCCTAGTACACCAACTACACTAAATTTTCTGCCAGAAACCACCCCTGAAATTGATGATTGATTTTATTAGATAATTTAACACACTCAAAAAGAAAAAAACATAATAGTAAAACCATTAAATTTCTTACTGATTAGAATATAATAAAAAAATAAATACACTGTAATATATTTTAAAAATAATTCAAAACATAAACATCATTTTCTAGGATGAGTGTAAAATATTAAAATCATTAAATGAAATACTTTTTAGTTATAACTTGAAAGTAAAAACATTTGTTCACAAATATAATTTTTAATTAACTTGAAATTAATTAGGCAAATTAATTTGTGTTAATACTTTATACTGTTATATTGATGTTATGTGTTGTTAATTGTTCCTATAATTTATTTACTGTGTATTATTGTATTATACAAGACCAATAAACAATACATTGTTACTTAATTTAAAATATAATTATTTTAAATATTTATATACCTATAATTTATTAGTAAAATGCCAATTGTGCAAAGCATACAGTATAATCATAAAATATGTGAGTATATAACCAAGTTTTACACTTTAAAAAGGTTGAAAACCACTGCTGTAAAGAGACAAATGTGTTTAATATTAAAATAAACATTATGAAAATGTGAGATACAATTTTGATGTTTGATTTATAGATAAAACTTCATATTTATCGGTAACTAAATTGGGAATAATCATTTTAAAATTTACAAAACACATTAGTCCGTACATATTTATTTTATTCAATAAAGAATAAAACATTTACAAGGAAATATAAAATAATTAAAAAGTGATAATCATAAAATTTGAGTGTTCTGCGATTTATTAACTTACATAACGTAAAACCACTGTTTCAGTTGTGATTAAACAGATGGTGATCATTACATGGTTATATGGTTGGTAATCAATCAATTTTGACAGTAGTGTAAATTTTACGTACAAATGCATGAGCTCCTATATAACCCACAGTACCACACATAATTCCTAAAGCAATGCTAAATAATGCCATGTAACCAAAATAGAATGCTGTTTGAAAAAGTCCATACATTCTGAAACATAAAAAATAACAAATATATCATAAAATTATAACACATTAGATTTCAATTTATATTATAAAAGGTTCTAAAAAATATATAATTGTTAAATTACTTAACTTCAAATAAAAGAAAAAAATCATATTACATTTTTAATGAGTAATGTGTATGTCTATCCTAATAAAAAAAAAACATAAGACAAGGTGGTTTTTAAAAAGCCTCTATCTACCATGTTTCAAATAGAAGTGTAGTAATTATTAAAGTATATATAAATACACATAAACACAAGCCAAAGGAAAGAGGGTTATTCAACTATCACCCCTTTACTAGAGCCACCAGACATAAATCAGTTAAAACATAAATCATAAATAATATTTTTAAATTAAAAATAACTTACTTTGTTTTAAACATAAAATAATAAAACGAATACAAATAAACATAAAATGAAGTGGAAGCTGCTGCTGCAAAACTTGTCCATTGCCTACAATAAAAATAAATAAAGTTAAAACTAATAAAATTCCATCATATTTTTATTATTATTATTAAACTTACCATCTGTAATCTTCAGCATTAAGTAGAAAATATGTACACACAATTGTAACACAAACTGTAACTACCATAAGAATCAAAACAACTAGCAGCATAAATCCATAAACATAGTAAATTTTATAAGCCCAAAAAGAAGTAAATATAAAATACCTAAAATTAGATATACCATAGTTAGTTTTTTATCAATAAATATTTTATACTGTATTTTAACATACATCTCAATAAATATTGACCCAAAAGGCAATATTCCACCAAGCATTGTGATTATTAAAGGTTCCATAAACCACTTTTTTTCTGGAATAGGTCTTGGCACAGCATTTACTCGGCAAGGATAATCTGGTTGACCAGATAAATTGCGACCAAGTAAAGTTCCGACCAATGTAAGAGGTAATATCACAAAAACACATATACATGCCACAGCAATCTAAAATGTAGTTATTAGAAAAATGATATATAATCTACAAAAATCATTACTCACCATAGAACCAAATGGAATAGCACGAGAAGCGTGATAGTAGATTGCAATAAAATTAATAAGGAAGGCCATACCACACACCATTGATGGTAATAAAAATGCAGATAATAACATTTGTCTAATCCAAATACGTCCACCCATTTTCGCATATAAAGCTCCACCGAAATAACCATTAACAGGAGAAGTAACTGCATATACAAATATTGATGTGCCTAATAATGATCCTCGTCTATAAATTAAAAAATATTTTTAACCAAATTTAAATACAAAATATTACTAAATTATTTACTCAGTGTACAAATCTCCAATTATTGTAATATTTATGACTACAAGAGTAACTAGAGTAATGTGGTGCCCACATCCAATTATGGCAGAGAATAACATTGGATAAGATGCTGGACGGAAAACATCGCCATGAACTTGTTTCCAGCCATATTCATCACCCAAATCTTTTTCCTATTATTTAATATTAGTTACAATATTTGAAAGTGTTTAATTAAATAAAACAAATTGTATACCATAGCATCAACTTCTTCATCTTGACTATAACGAGCATAATCCTTACGTACAGTACGCAACAAAATCATAGATACTAATCCAACTAAAAATATAACCATCATAAAACTGTTGAAAATACTGAACCAATGAATCTAAAATAATTAATAAATACACTTATATAAATTACCAAAAAATGAATATAATTAATAAATTTACTCTATGTTGGAAGAATTTAGGATCCAAATATTTATTGAAACGATCTTTGTAAGTAATAGAAGAAGGTTTCCAGTTGATTTCATATGTGAATTCAATATTAGTGTTAACTTTAAGTTCAACTTTTGTTTCGGAAGTCAAATTTACATCAACAATATGGTGGTCATTGTAACCAATATCAAATTTTTTATGTGTCCAAATATAATATTTGTTATTGGTTTCATCAATTTCCCCAACAATACCTAAAATTCAACCATAATTATAAATAAAAAAACAAATCAGTTAGGTATAATAAAAATGTTCACCCCAAATAGGAAGATCATCAATATACATTTGATACCAGTAATGATTACGTACAGCATACACAAATGCTTTTAATTTGTCATCATTCAAATTTACTTGACAGAAAGCAATTTTAGAAATGTCATCTAAATAAAAATAGTAATGAACAAAGTATTACTTAATCTACAAACCATTTAAGTAATTATGATTAGATAACTACACTTATAAGTACCTTTAAAGTGCATATCCAAACCACTGTATACAAGTTCAACTCCTTGTAAAGCTTCACCGAGTGTTTCATGATAATGGCTAATTGAATCTTTTATACCAGCACAAAATGGTAAACTAAAATAAGTATATGTTTCTTGTCGATTATGATATGGACCAACAGTATTCATCCACAATACCACTTCTTCGTTGTCTTTATACTAAACATAACAAATAATAACATATAGATAAAAAATAAAAGTATGTATTATATGTCAATTATCATTCATTGGCCTATTTATAATATAGGTAATAGAATTGGTTATTATAAATATAAAATACTAAGAAATATTGTTATAGAATAAATCCTATACACAAACGTATGAATTTGAAAATATAAAATATACTGATATCTTAGTACTTCATAATTAGCCACATCAGCAATTTTTTTTTTATCATTAAGTTAAATTTTACAAGACACAATTTATAGTCAAATTATCCAAAACAAAAAGTTATTATAAATTAAAATAATTATTGTTCTTACCACATGATTATGTTCGTCGCATTGTACGAAACACAAATGTATCACTAAAACTGAGACAAAAATTTTTAGGTGATTCATGACGAATCGCGGTTTGGTAGACATCTCAGAGAATCATTTTTGCTATACATTCATATTTTTAAGCAAAGAAAATAAACTTAAAAAATAACAATAATATAATTCGATTTAAAACACTAAACTTATCAAATAAACCAGACTTCTTGACAATACAATTTTCACTAGTGTTTGGAATTAGAATACTTTTTCTTTTATCTCAAATTCTCAACCGCAACTACTTCATGTTATTAATGACACTCCTGATAGTAAATAGGTATTGGATACCTATTATCCTACCATACCTACTGAATATTATCGTACTCTAGAAGTTTAAACAAAACGAACATAACCTACAAAATTTGTTGTAACGAACCAAAGAGCTCGTTCTAGATAAACCTTACCGCGGTTACGGTTTACTAATTTCCTAGACAGAAACTTTCCTAGAACCTAACCTAACTTTACTAACCTTACTATTGTTTAGTTTTTTACCGCGCTTAGTGATACCTATTTTCCATGAACACTGATCACTCGAAAACGGAATATTACCTTGAATTTTCAATTCACTTCAACCTAAAAATACTTCCACTCTACCACAGATTTATCAAATTTCTACAGTCTAAAATTATTTTAATAACTTGTTTTGTAAAAACGTAATAATTTTTGTTATATTTCTGAATATCGATAAGCACCCAAAACCCAGTTCCACCAGTTTTTTTTAATTTCATGATTCAAATATACCTCTTTCGCGCCTTCACTGCTGGAACAAACACACTTTTCTGCTACTTATGAACACTAATGTGCATGTTTATATGTTTTATAGATCTATGATCTGTTGGTCTGCTTAGTATTTACATTATTGGTGAAATAACTATCATAATAAATAGACTATACCTAACATAAAATAGATCTTTCTTTGTCATGGACTAAATTATAGCATTTTATCATAAAATGAATGACTTGTGTCCGTTTTCGAGCAGTACTAGACCTAGATAGGGCACTATTCGAGGCACTTACCGCTGGAGATAACCATAGAAAACGTAAATTAAACCAAAAGAGTTTAATTATTGAATTAATAATTATTATCAGGACGTCTATGGTAACAAAATAAATAGAAAAATAACCTCAAAAATAATGACTGGCTCAATTTTTGTTGTAACATAATTTTTTTTTTGGCCGTAGAAACACTGTATTTACCTCACAGTCTCTTTTCTTTTTTTAACAATCCCGTTCCATAGAATAGTGCTCTTGCTTCATGTCTTTAAGTCTTACTCTTGGCTCGTCCTCGTGCTTCTCTCTCTAAGCACAATCCATATATTATCAAGTCTAGTTAGGTATAAGATAATAGTTATCATATCTCGATGATAATACTGTGCTCATAGAGTATACTAGTATCTATTTGGCTACCACTTACCATGCGTTAACCATTATAGAAAAATTCTGATATAATCAGTCTTATCAATTTTATTATATCGCGGTGACGCCGTCTTAATCAGCAATCTCATACCTATCTTCATACGCATACTCAAACGCTGTTGCTGTTGGTACAATTTCCGTTAGTTTTTATTTGAATCATATTGTTAAATTGTTTCAATCAATTAATATGGCTGAGACGGATTGGAGCTCCTTAACGATGACGGCAGAGAAGTTGCAAGCAAACGCCATTACGGATACGGGTATGCCGAGTGTTACCCGTAATATCCGACAACTGTTGGACGCTGCCGAGAACTTATGGACTAAAGTCGGTGTCCCGGGCATAGAAGCCCAGGGTAACGTGTTTTTGTGCAGCCGTGGCGTAGATGCTCCGCAAGTACCCAAACAATTAGAGAAACTGAACTCTACGGTCACGCTTGATACGTTGGACCCAAAGCCCGACATGGATGTTGACAGTTTCGTGAAGAACGAAGTTCAAAACGCCATACTCAGTTTAATCGAATCCGTGAAGAAAAGTAATGAGGACTTCCTTGACGAAAGACAAAAAGACACTGTAAATAAGAACTGGAAAAACAAAAAAATCAACATCATCAACTCGTTTCCTGGTTATATGCCAAATTCGTCTATTTCTGGTTCAAACCATACAATGCCTTCTATTACCAAGTTTAATAGCACCAATTTTGGTCTGAACGCTCACTTAGACCAAACTGAATTGGTTTATGCAAAACATCTTTGTGAATACAACCAGCACGTGGAAAACCATGGAGTACAAACTGATATTTTACAATCTTTCACAACGGCAGCAGAAATTGCCCATGATGACCGTGTTAACGAAATGTGGAAAATAGTCAAATGCATGAGTCAGATTGTTCCTGAACATGGTTCCAATCGCACTAGGAATTCTGTAACCAATCAAAACTCAATGATTAGTAATGCAAGGTCCTATCTAGAACAAAGATATATTGTGTTTATGAAAAGTTATGTGAAGAGCCATTTGTCCAAGGCAAAACTAGGCGGTATTCCAGGAACTTATCCACTTGTACGTAGTTTTGTCAGTGTTTATATTAATCAGTACAGTAATCCTAGTCAACTATTTTATGATGGTCTTCCCTTTTGGCCTTTATTATACTATTTGATTCGCTGTGGCGATTTGGAGTCTGTTGTACGTGTTTTAGAAAAAAATAACCAGGATCCAGAGTTATTAAATGTTTTTATTTGTATAAAAAACAATCATCAATATGCAAACTTAAACAATCATGGATTCACTTCTTCAATGGCTTGGGACTCTAATGACCCATTCAAACGAGTTATTTATTCATTAGTGGCTGCTATTGATGTGACGAGTAAACATTCAGACGTTGTCAAAACTACAGACGATTACCTGTGGTTGAAATTGTGTCAAGTAAGAAACGATAAAGATAAATTCACATATCCAGTACTTCAATCAACAATTCTTGAAGAATATAAGGATCAGTTTAGTGAGGTCCAACCTATGTCGTATTTCCAATTGCTTTTCTTGACTGGTCAATTTGAATCTGCAATTCAGTTTATATTCCGTCATCCAAAACTCCGTTCTCATGCTATACATGTAGCTATTGTGCTAAATGAAATGGGTCTGTTGCATTTACCTGATGATTTTGATGAACCAATTTTATCCAAAGACAACAATGAAATAACTAGACTTAATTTAGTGAGAATGATGAAAATATACTGTGCCAATTTTGAAAATCAAGATCTTAAAATGGCCTTTAACTATTATTATTGTTTGAGAAACACTGAATCCGAAGGTATAACACTTTTTATTTCGTGTGTTGCTGATCTAGTAATAGAAACTGAAGAGTATGATAAAATGTTTGGATACCTTAAACCAGATGGCAAAAAACAAAATGGCATTTTAGATTCATTTACAGTATCAGATACAGTAAAAATGGATATAATTAGAACAACAGCTACACTCGCGGAACAAAAATGTGATCTTGAGGTGGCTGCTAAATTATATGAATTGGTTGGTAAATACGATAAAGTAATAGAACTGGCAAACATTATGTTGAGCAGGATCATCCAGCCAGACACATACTCCTCATTAGATAAGACTCCCAACATGAAGAACAAAGTATTTGACTATGTAGAATTATTAAGTCAACGATTGATTGGAATCGAAATAAATGTTTCTGATGAAGCCATTTTCACATTTAATCTATTGAAAAGTGTTTTTGTGTTTTTTGAACAGTATTACAATCACAAATACACTAAAGCATTTGATGTTCTACAGACTATTGGACTGGTTCCTTTGTCAGTTGATCAGGTCGAGGAGAGACTTATAGCATTTAAAAAGTACAATGAACTAATATTAAGAATTGTACCTGGAGTTTTAACAGCCACAATGAATATGTTGTACTCACAATATAGTGACATTAAAAAAGAAGAAACAAAAAAGCATATCAGGGACCCGGAACAAAGACAGGCGCAGTTAGAATATATCAGGGAAAAAGCAAGAGCTATAACATCTTTTACTGGTCGTGTTCCTTTCCAAATAAATTCTGAAGTCATAAACCATTTAGTACAAACAGAAATATTACTTTACTAGATTATAAAAAATTTAATTTAATAGTTTTGGAATATTTTTTTGTGTATTCATACAAGAGTTATTTAAAAAGTTTAGATGATTAAAAATAATAAAAATAATGCTGTATGATAATTAGTTTTATTTCTCAACTGTGTAAATCCAATAAAAAATGCATTTGGTAATATATTATAATAACTATGGACAAATACAATAAAACAAATCTTAATAGTAAATGAAAATAAAATAATTAAAACAGCTCAAATATCTACACACTAGATAGTTTTCATAATATAATATAATTTGTGAAAAAAAAAATGCATTGAAGTAGTTTTTTTTTTTTTAATACAAAAGATTTTAATACTAATCATATAAAAATATGTAAAATTATTTTATATATATATATTTAAAAAAAATTATCCATAAAATCACATTAATTTTTGTATTAAAATGAGATATGTGGATAAAAATGTATGTATGTATATAAATGAATATAATAAGCTAACAATTATTATAAAATAGTATATAAAAATGAAAATACCATTTGATGGTTTACTTAAATGCCATATAAAATATATAATACGTAATGTCTTTTAGTTACTATGCGACAAAAATTATAATGAATTTTAAAAATAAAAATACACCTATCAATACATGAACTAGATGGGAGAGATCAATAAATCACAATACAAAGTACTGCTTTTATTATAAAGCGAGTATAGTATTCATCAGCCCAAATTAAATTTAAAAAAAAAGTCAGTTTTACAATTGCCTATTATTTTTTAATAATATAATTGCATTTTATCAGAATTAATACAACAAAAGACTATAATAAAATAAAAATGAGATTCGATTTATGAAAAATTGTAATAATAACAACTGAAAGACAAAAAATACTATAAGTAGTACAACATGTAATAATAAAAGTAATACTAGTGCTAATTTGAAAGCAACAATATATTAAAAATTATGAACAAAAAAATTTGTTTTACTTAAATATTAACTAAAAAATATCTTTATCCAAAGTTAAAATAAAATAATTACAAAATACTTAACATAAAGTTGTTGAAAGACATATGTAATAATAGGCACCTTCAATATACAATAACAGTAATAACTAAAATGTTTAAACTTAAAAATTATATAGCTGAGCGCCTGAGCAAATAATTTTGTTCTGTAAATTATTATATTATTAAATATTTGTACATAAAGAAAGAGACATAATATAGGTTCGACCAAAATATTTTTGAGTAAATTAAAATTAAAATAATAATTTATTTAGTTGTAAGAAATTCAACAAAGATAATCATTATGTAGATCAGATATCAATCAATAAATTCAAATTATTTAATTTCACAAATTTATTAAATCATTGAAGCTAAAAGTAAAAAAGAAATCATAAATATTAATTTATGTAACAATTAAAATAATACCAAACATTATAAGGATTATAATTTTGTTTTAAAAATTGTCCACCAAAAATAGTGTAGTAGAAATAGTTCAGTCTCTACTTTTTTTTATCACAAATTTAGAACTCTATTTTAATTAAATTATTTTTATGAACACTTATGGGTAATAATTAAGTTATATTATTATTGTACACTACTTTATTGTGAACACTATTTTCATTGGCCGAAAATTTGATTTTCATAATTTTATTCATCTGCATTTCTTGTTGGCTTTGAATACAATAGACACTTACAAATAGATGGCTGAAAAAAAAAATTATACATCATTAGTAAAATGTCATTAATATTATTATGAATTTTTTGGTTTTATAAACTTTTATCTTTAAAATAGTTAAAATTAAAACAAATATTAACTTAACCATATTTTACTTTACCGAGTATGCTCAGTAGGGTCCATTATTCTTTTCTGAAAAAAAAAAACATAAAATAAATAAATGTTTCTAGGAGTGATATAGACTTAAAACCTACAAAGTCTAAAGTCTTTGAATAGCATAGGAAATTTATTTAGCAAAAATATCTAATAGTAACAATACAACACTGTTAATACTCAAATGTCTTTGCACAAAAACAATGAAATATATTCAATCATTATAAAATAATCTTATTTTTAATTGTATCTAAGGTGAAACAGACAAAACTCTGATGATGAGCATAACCATATTATAGTTTACAATGTTCCTAAGGGTGAAATAGACTTAAAACCTATGAAGTCTAAAGTCTTTGAATAGCATAGGAAATTTATTTAGCAAAAATATCTAATACTAACAATAAAATACTGTCAATACTTAAATGTTTTTGCACATAAACAATGAAATATATTCAATCATTATAAAATAATCTTGTTGTTAATTGTAGCTAAGGTTAAATAGACTAAACTTTGATGATGCCTTTGGATAACAAAGAAATAATTTCTTTTATATAAATTATTTTTTAAAGTGTACGTAAGTTTTTAACATGTTGTTAAAAACACAATTTTTATATTTTCCATTTTGCACGAAAAGAAAAATAATTAGGATAAAATATTATAATGTTGTTAAAATAACTTATTGATAATAATAATATCAACAGTTAGAAGATTAAAGAACGTAAGCGACACTTTTTTTCATATAGTCGCAAAAGCCATAATTTGACATAAATTGATCCAACTTAAATATATATATAATATTTTTTTATAATCAGCAATTTTTGATTTACTTAAGGTTATAAAAACCATAGAATTGAAACTATTGAAAAATTAGGTATAAACGGCCAATTAAAAGATGTAAACTGCATTCAGTAAAGGCCATTGTTGGCGGTTACATAAATTTATCATTTTATCATTTATCATTGGTTAGTAATCACTACAGAGATTGTTTTTTTAATATTTTTATTTTGACTTAAAAAGAAACAAGTAAATAGTAATTTACATTAAATTTGTATGATTTAATAGTACTTCAAAACTACAGAAAAATAGTTTTTGTGTATATAAAAAAGTCAAATTATTTTCTACTTAAGAAAACAAGTTGTGTTAATAGTTTAATGGTTTTAATATCAATTAATACCTAAAAAATAAAGGAGTCTTTAAAAATATTTATAACGTAGAATGCTTAATTTACTTAACTAACCTACCAGAACTCAGTGCAGTGTATTTATTATTATTGTTATTATCATTATCACAAGTAGGTACAAGAAATCTTTAAAAAAAAAGTAGTGATTGGAGTTTGGTAAATTGGTTATACAATGTTCTAAAGCTGTAAAACAATTTATGTAGAATATAATTTTTTCGGCTCTCGCCCTTTTAATTGCTAACCATTAATATGTCTATCTAAGATGAAATAAACAACAAAATGCATATAATGAGTTTTTGGATAACAAAGAAATTTATACAGCAAATAATTTTTGTGTACTTAAATAATAACACAGTACACAAAAATATTTTACATAAAATAATATTGAGCACACATATTTTAATAGTCATAATAAGCTATGGTCCACTGTATCTAAGGTGAAATAGACAAAACTCAGATTGTGAGTATGTCTTTGGATAACAAAGAAATTTATATAGCAAAAGTTTATTTAAGTTCTTAACAAATTGTTAAAAACATAACTATTATATTGTCAATTTTGCATAAAATAAAAATGGAATAAATATACTTTTGTTATTATAACCTATGTTTAATAATAATTTGTTTACCTAAGGTAAAATAGACGAAAAAATGAAATTTATTTAGCAAACAATTTCTTGTACTTAAAACATAACACTAAAAGTACACAGCTGTATTTCACATTTCATACTTTTACTATAAAAATAAATATTATATCATAATACATACCAGTAAACATGTTTACGACTTGTGGTTCAGGAGGTGGTTTCTTCTTAGGTTTGAAATACACATCCCTAATGAGCATCGAGTGAATAGTAGGTATTTGTTTTTGTTGGTGGAGCCAAGGACAATCTGGATTATAAGATTCGTGGTCCAAAGCAACTCGTCTAGACACACGAGTCATAATTCGCAATATGTCTATAGCACTAAGATCATGATTATTAATTTCAGTGCACAAACTCTGAATGAACCAAGTCCCATCTTCAGGGTGTCTAAATGAATAATAACCTAAAATGAAAATGAATTATTAATACTTATTGAACAAATAAAATACATCGAAGAGATAATCCAAATATACCATCATAAGTACTAAAAGCAATTAAGAAATCTGCATGTTTAGGGATTCTGTAAGAAGTATTACAAGAATCAACTTCGGTTCTTGCTTCTCTGTTCAGTACTACACCAGCATCAAGTTTCTCACCACGACAGGCCTTAAATAACAATTATCAAAATGTTTAAAAAAAAATTCACAATTTTATTATAAATTTGGGGTTAACTATTACCTGTATGAAAAATAATTTAGGTTTTCCAGCTAGTGAAGGGCAAATATCAGCAGTGAATGAATTCCATAATGTTTCTACAGGATATAATGAATCTTGAGCATAAATATATGAAGAATTAACACCATGAGACAACACAACCAAAGCAAGACAATCATTATTTGTATGATCAAATTTAACCACTGTAAAATAAATATTATATATTATAAAAATTACATAATTGAATTTTAACAAGTTTAATTATACATACATTCGCCTACACGAGCAATCAATTGATTATGAGACAAGTTATTCCAAACCACAACTCTAAAATGTAACCGATAGAACATTGTTTTCAACTCTTCAACATCTTTCCAAGAACCACTTCTTTCAGATAAACTTGTATGAGGGTCAAAAATATCATTATTGATGATAACAGCAAAACCTCGATTTTCATGATCCATATTGTAGCATAAAGCATCTTGAGCAACAGGCATAGATGCTGCATCACTCAATTTCTTGGACTCTGGGCTCAACTCACTATAAAATATTATCAAAATTAATTCATACCAACAATATCCAAATTAACTTTAGTTGGCATTTTACTTGTTACTATTGGAAGGATTAAGTATTTTTTGTCCAGCTGTGATAACACTAAAAGGAATAGCATCAACAGAATCCGCATCATTACTGGTACTAAATCTAAACCATGTTGTCCCTTTAAAAGATCTGCTAGAAGACTGTGCTCCAGGACTACTATAACCTTGATCGAGTGTTTCAGTGGTCAACTCAGTACGCCTAGATGTATTAAGCTCTCTGATATTGGTAGCCTTCGATGTAGCAGAATATACAAGATCACCAGACAAAGAAGTAAAACTATGGCGTTTATTATGTGCAGATGATATTGCTCCACCATGGCAATCAATAACATCTGAAGTTCTCCTAGGGCGAGGTGGAATGTCAGATGATCTATCCATATCGGTAATTTGAGAATCGACCAGAAAAACTTCGTCGTCTTCAAATTCTTCATAAAAACCAGTAGACTCTGTAAGTAAAAACTCTTCTTCCTTTGTTGTATTACAAAAGTTTAATTGAACATTTTCTTCTTGTGGAGATGCCATAATGACCTGTACAAATTTATATTTATATAGTTCATATCTTGAATAAAACATATCTAACAGGTTAATTTTAAAATTAAGATAAATCTGAGTAAGAAAATCATTTTAAAATACTTGTAGATTATTAATATATTACAAGAACAGAGTAGCTTAAAATTTAATTTATAGGTACCTATTAATTAAAAATATGAATTTAAATACTTGCTTTAGACATAAAGTTTATATTGATATCACAGGAACAATATTATTATTATTATTATTATTATTATGATTTCATTCACAATGGATATTTTCAAGTTATAAATTTAATAAAAATGTGTAGATAATGATTCAATGATTCAGTATCATAAAACCCCATAGATAATATATTATCTATGTTAAACCCCTAAACATGAATAATTATAAATATTGTATTTTCATACTAATGTATCATCATTCTGAATCATGATAATAATAATAAAAATGAGATTACTCGTGGCCAATGTTAACCTTTTTCTAAAATGTTGATTTAATTAATGCATAATTTAATATATTTAGGTAGTATTATAAACAAATTAATAATAGAATGTCATTTGTATATTAGGTATAATTAAAATAACTATTTAAGAAGTAAATCAAAATTATTAAATTATACCTCCTGTTTTCTGTTATAGGAATACAATTATTAAATAATAGTTAATGAGATAATACACTAATGAGTTAAATAACCAAAAATGTAGGTAAACAGTTAACTATTATATAGATATAAAAATATTGTAATAACACACCCAACTTACTTAGCAAATATATTACATTATAACTTCAAACTATGAAAATAAATAAACAGTAACGTTTTCTTTAATAAATAGCCAATTATGAGTACATATATATAATATAAAAATAAAACAATTTATGTTGATTAATAATTTTTAATATTAATAGCGGTATAATAGACAGGAATCAGAAAAACTACAACAATAAATAAGATGATTGGCAAGCAGACCTAACCACTGAACATTAACATTTAAACCAGAAGGTAGGTTGTAAAAAAAAATATATATATATACATATTCATATGTAACATATTACAATTAACACGTGAAAAGAGTGGGAGGAGGGTCGAACAGAAACGTAGGAAAAGGACGTGCAGTGTTTACCAGTAAGTACCAATAAGCAAGCTGCAACATGCATCCACAAGTGGTTCCCAGACTAAGGATGTTGTGACGACGTTAAACATAATAACTATATTATTATGCATTTCTGAGACGCAAATACCAATATTGCAATGTTTATATTATTATTATGTCCCCCCCCCCCCCACTAGATACTATTATATCTATAAATTTAATTATAAATATTTTATAAATTATTAATTAATTTATAATAATAATATACAAACATGTGTGTGCAAATAATAAATACTTACCTATGTCACTTAACCAATTTTAAAAACGAATAAAACAATATATATATATAACACCAAAGTTAATGTTTTTAATCTACGCTGCGAGAACTCGAACGAAAACAAACAATAGGTACCTACGATTTTTATTTATCAGCTATATTATTATAATAAAGATTCAAAATGGCACTGAACACGAAGAGGTTGAAACACTGTTTTAATACTACAACGTAAATATTGTAAAGAGACCTGAACAAAATCGACCACATGTGTCATGTGATCGCTAGAGCAGCCCGTGACGAAATATCGTGTTCGTTTTATACTTAACGCAACGTTTGTGTGTGCCCGTGAACGCAGGCAGACACAGGTGCACGGGGTTACAGTGACGGCAGCGAAGGCGGTGGTGGGTGTGGTGGGGAACCCTGAGGCTGTTGTTGGAGATAAAAACCATTAAATTAAAACGCACATAGGACATAAAATACTTTATTATTATAAAAATATCCAACGCACGGAGACATCCCATTATACAGAGTGATCAATCTATCGTAGGACACTTGTTATCTCGGAAAAAGTAAATTTTTTTTCCGAAATTTGTTTTAAGGAGCATTTATAAAACAAGCAGCTTTACAATTTTACATTTATATTATTTTTAGGGGTAAAATCACTATCTACTTTTGATATTCAAATGACAAATTATATTACAAAATCCATAAATACGGAGTATTAGTTAAAATAAATTCGGTGTTGAAATTCTTAATGTCCGTTAATCCGCTAATTGAACTAATATGGATTATGCACAAAATTTTAATATAGGTTGTCATATAAAAACGAAAGTAGGTAGTGAGATTTTACCCTCAATTAAGAACAAAAAATTACATTAATGTTAATTTGTAGAGCTGCTTGATTCATAAATGTTCTTCTATACAACTAGTTCCGAAAAAAATTAATACTTTCCGAGATATGTATGTCTTACAATAGTTTCATCACCCTGTATTAACGTATCGGGTACCTACTCAGTACTCGGTCAAGTTCTTTAGTTATGGTGTGTACCTACCTACTGCGTAGCGTGTCTATAATCTCAAATAATAAACAATTTATTTTATTTTACAAAACATTTTTAATGATAAACAATAATCAGGACAATAGTTAGGATTACATACACGACGACCTCAGATTACTAAAGAAGTATTCATTGGACGAAACCATTCCGATGGAAGGCAATTTAGAAAAAAAAAATCATTAGTGTTAATACTAATAATAATGTACGTGAAAAACATTAAACAAAATGGATCACGACGACCAGGTCTCGTCGGTACTACACGAATTCGTACCTAAGACTCGCACACGACGTGACTATAAGACACGACGATAACGTACCGACAACGATTTTTTAATAGACACTTGATTTTTTCACAAAAAACTTACACATAGTAATATTTTTTGGAATACTTTCGAAACGTCCATTTAAATCCGTTTTCAAATTACTGACGCCGGCTTAACGCCACGTGTGTAATGAATCGAATATATAGGTACCTATTCGGAATGCCATACATTCAGCATTTTGATATTTATGTTTATTGTTCACAGTATAATGTCCCTTCGGCCTTACAACTGATGTCTAATACTTTTAAACACCTGTCAAGATTACAAAGGGCTGCACTTTCCATCGGTATGCAAGGTTTCTAACATTTTAGTTCTCATCAAAACGTTATCATCATTGGTCATGAAATTTCACCAAGTAAAAACTTTAAATAAAACAACACAGAAACTACCTAAACTGTTAGATTTAGATATTTGTAACATTTGAAACTTGCGTAAAATTTGTGGGGCTTTATTATTTTTCAGTTGCAATGCTTATTAACGCATTGGTATCATAAATGCTAAAAAAGTTACAAAATCTATTTTCTTTGTTCATAGTTAATCACACATAATACACAGACAATCATAATTCATGAAACTGTCAGTTAGGAAATAAACGAAAACGAATAAAACACGGAAAATAGTTTTAATTTACATGCCTGCAATTCAAATTTTGTAATACATCTAATATAATGAATATTTGATTACATATATATACAGAGGATGACATGAAAATTTGACATTTGAAATATAACTTTCATTTTAGTCAATGTATTGTTTTTTTTCTTGTAATAAATCTTGTAACTTGAGCCTTCACTACAATTTCTCTATATTTAATTTTTTAAACTAAAAAAAATTATTTTCACAAAAATCCAAGGAAGCCATTTTTTAAATACATTTATAAACAAAATTTTGACATTACAAATATTTAATAATGATAAATCCTCATTTTCTACAATTTTCTTCAACCTCACTTTCTTTTTTGAAATTAACAATTGTTTTTATTGCCACTACTAAATAATATTTAGCGATTTACCTATTTATCCATAAAAAATATTTCTGTAAATGATTTTTGTAAAAATTCAAAAAATTGTAGAAATTGAATTATAAGTAAATATTTATAGCACTAAAACACCATAAAAAAGATAAAATTATATATAATTTTACCATTGTCTAATTGTACACTGCACAACTACCAGCCATTTTAAGTCAATTTCATATTATCTACTTTCATCATTATTTTATCTAAACATAAAAGTAGTAAAATTAAAACTTGTTTAAGTTCTTTATTTAAATTTACAATAATGATATTAATTTTTAAATTACAAATAATAATTAAAAGTAAAACAGAGTATGTAATATTTTAATTAAATTTAGTCAAAATAAATTGTATAGATAATTAATATAGTCAATCATATTTGTCAATATTATTAACATACTCAATGATAAATAGTTCATTTTACTCTAAAGGTTAACTCTTATACTAAAGTAAATGATATGATGATCTTAACCAAATAAATTTACTATTTTATTTTTATTTATAATATATTACTGAATTGATTCATCGTAAAAAAAATTTGTTTTCTTTTCATTTCCAATAGATCGAATTCTCTTTTGCTTAATATGTTTGTTAATTTTTCCTTGAGATTTCAATTCTTCATACTGTCCCACCAACTGCAAAATTTTTGATTCACGTTTCTTCAAAAATTGAGGTTTTTTACCTTCTTTTAATGCTTCTGATACTTTTTGTTTCTGAACTAATTTTATTCTATCTTTAACATTCATTTTTTGTTTTTCTCTCTCTTGATTTTCCATTCTTTGTAATAATAATTTTACTGTCTTTTTCTTATCATCAGGACCATTTTGTTTTAACTTTTTCTTTAATTTCTTTTTTTCTTTTTCTTTTATATCATTTAAAAATTTATAATTCCTTTCGAAAACTCTTTTATCAAATTCACCATATAAAGAATCAAATCTTGGATCTATTTTTTTTGTTTTTTCAACTGTAGGTTTAATTTGAGTCTTAATCACATTCTTATAAGGATTTAAAGAAGGATCTATTTTAGATGATATTTCAGATGGTCTGTTTTTGTTTTTTCGTTTAATGGTTTTAAAACCATGATTATTTGAATTTGGTTTTCCAGAAGAAACATTTTGGCATACATTATCCAATATTTTTTCTTTTAATTTACGTAGTTCTTCTAATGATAATTTCTTAAGATCCGGTTTTACTTCACCCTCAGGAATTATAGTTAAATTATTCATCATGATTTTTTAACAATCCACTGAAATAATAAAAAAAATCACTTATTTTAATTTTAACAAAAACACACCAAAAACTGGTTACACTTAATACAAATGGTATAATTTTTATCACTTCAAATTTAAATTTAAATTCAATATTTGCATTTTAATCACTTATAAGTAGTTTGGTTTAAATGCCTAAAAAACTACTGAAAAATACTCTAAGAGTAGCAAACATTTTTAGTTAGTGAAATACTATTAAAAACAAAAAACAATAATAATAAAAAGATTTCACTTTTGTAATTATCTCTTTTAACCCAATTTACACAACACAGCTGTGTATTAAAAAATAAAATCAACAAAATTAAAGTTAAGTCAATTGTTTGTTATTAATTATGTGTACATATTTTGTAACATTGAGCTATTAAAATAAAATCTAATGTCTAGTATTTAGCATAAATTATTAAAAATCACTAACTTAATAAATTACATAATTGCCACAAATAACAATTAACATACCTCATTACAATTGGGGTTTAAAAATTTAATTTCTTTTATAATTAGTGTATGTTTTAACACTTAAAATATTATATTTTTAAGTATAAAAAAATTATTATGAGTATTAAAACTTATTATAATCAACTTATATTCATTATTTGAATTTTGTTTTGATAACTGGACACTTTAGGAATTATGTTACATGGGGTGACAGTAGTGAGAGTATACTTAAAATAAAACATTTATTACATATTATGATGTAAATACATTGTATATTATTATTATGTTATATATTTTCTTTTTATTTGTTTAAAATGCCCATACTATATAAATATGACATTCTGTTAAAGAAAATACTAAAAATAAAACACTGTCGATTTTACTTTTTTTTTTTTTACAATCCATATCTATCTATAAAACTTTTGAACCTCTACGGCTAATTTAGAATACATTTTAGCTAAATAACACTGTACATAAAATGTTCCCCAGACTTAGAATAAACTTCATAATGTTCTTCTTAAAATGCATAAATTTGTATAAACCTATAAAGGTGTTTTTTCTATGACTGAAGAATATGTGCATTGCTATGTGTATACTAAAGGTTTAAAATAAATTGAAAATAGTCAAAATTGATAAATTATACACAATAGTAAATACCAATTATATCAAGATTTTTGTAATTAAATATCTAAATTATATTTGTTGTCAACAATCACAAGTATAAATAAATTGATAACTAATTGGCATAATTATCCTAATTATTTTATTGAATAAGTAAATTGATTTCTAATAACAAAAAAATAATAATATTTAACATTTAGTATTTTTTTTCTTTTGCAACTGTGAGAATTTATTACCCATGGACCAACGACTGATCAAAGAAAACAAATTGTAGTTAATTGTAATTGATATTTTCCAGAAACTGTATTTTAAAATTTTAATCGATGAGATAATTATGTTTATTATTTTATAATGGTCAATAGTGTAATAATCAACCACTTAGTATTACTGATTTATTAATAAAAATGACTGGATAGCAAACATTAATAAAACAAATTAAATACCTAACAACTAGATGGCATTGTTGGCATACCCTAAACTTCAACAATGTATGATCCACATTTCATCACAGTTATACCAATAATAACCAAGTCACTTAAAAATTATAATTTAATTCAATTTTTATTTTAATCAATAATTATCTGTTAAGTGATTTGTTAATAGGACATAAAGTCGCATTTTTAAATAATAGTTTCCAAAACATTTTGATAGCAACATAATCTTCAGAATTGGAACCCTTTTATTTAAAAGTTTTTTTTTTGTCATAATTTCTCTTCCTAGTAAATTTATCGTACAATTTTTGGACCTGCGGGTATATAAATGGTGCAGATAAATCTAGATGGATGTCTTATCCTAATATAGCCCTGCCTATAATAGTATACCTGTACACTAAAATATTATAATCAATTACTACTTTTCATGATAGTATAAAATATATCAATACAGTAATATACTAAAATCTAATAAGTCTATTATTTAGCATAAATAAGTTTATAATAAAAAAATTACTACATAAATATTTAATGATCTAGATGATAGAATAATTGCCTATCCAAATCGTTAACACTTCATAAATCATAATTAGGAAGAAATGAGGGGTGAAAAAAAATAGGACTTAACTGGTAAGATAAGATGACTAATGAGAGATTAAATTAAAAATTGACAAGCCCAGTTACACCAAAAGTTAAAGCAATTAGAAATTATCAAATTAATGAGTAAAACCACAAATAATAAACGAGAGCTTGAATGAATGAATAAGAATGGACAAATATCAGTATTATTGATTACCAAGCCAGTATACACAGATACCTACTTATAATTAAAATATATATATATTATTTATTAATTTTTATTACTCGATAATCCAAGTACTCTGACAATAACACTGGTCTCATTTAGTACCTACTGATTGTGCTTGTTGATTAGCAAGTTTTCGATCAGTAACGTAAAGTAAAATAGTCTAAGCAGTGTAAAATATGAATTAGTCAATAAAAAAATGAGGAACTTACATGTTTAAATGGACAGTGAACTGGACGTACTTGAATACGAAATAAATTTATTATTAAACAAGAATCATACTGTACTAATGTCTAATGAAGTTTTAACAAGCAAACCAAAAGGTAAAAAAAGTGCGGAGTAACGCGACACTTTTGGATACGTAAAAATGATGATTCACAAATCCGCATGAACAACTAGTCTACTTGTGTGCAGGTGATGTAAGCTGGGAATAAACCGTGTATGAGTCACACATGGCAGGCAGAAAGACAATTGTTGTTTACTTGGAAACGCAGGTAGCAATAAAAAAAAAATGGTTGTGATATGTACAGATATAAAAATTACGTGTGAAGTGCAACCGTGGCTAGTGTCCACGTCCTACACAAATTCTGACAAAATTGCATGATATCAATCAGGGTTGTTAAAAAAATTAAAATGGTTCGCATATCGCAGACTACTTGCACATTGCGTGTGATGTAAAATTACAATATAAGATATACAACAAAAAATATTCTTTAATCTTATGTAAAACCTCTCTATAATATACGCGTAAAAGAAAACGTCAAAAAATTATACGAAATGGCAAATACTATTATGCTTACCTTTTGAATCAGACCAATCTTCAGGACATACTTAAACTTGACTGTTGAATGTTGTTGTAATACTGATAGTTCATACTTGATAATTAATGTTGTTTGTATAAAATAATTCTTAAGTGATGTTCGTACTGCATAGAGCCGTAGACGCGTAGTGCAAACAAATATTATGTGCAAATGTGCAATCACAAATTCCCAACACTACAGAGTACCGTCTCTTCCATGACCGCGATGATTCGTTTTCTATGATATTGACAGTGTAGTCATATTCATAATGCATTTAATTAACGTAGTCATCCTGTACTTTCTTAATACATCGATACACGAAATTCAAACACTATAAATCTGAAATTTGAATCTCTATAGTCTATAGTGCCCGGGGCCGTATTTAACAGTGTTTTAAGGACACTTGCCCAAGGCAGCAGATGTTTTGGAGGCATCCGAATGCCGGAATACTACATGACAAATTTAAAACTCTTTGATCCTTGGCTTACAACATTTATAGAAAAAAATATCAACTTCAAAAAATTAATACTTTTCTACCAGAAAGTTACTCCAATGTATACGATGTCGACACTTTTCTGAAAGAAAATCTGATTGGGAAAGTACTTTAGGGAGGTCATTTTTCGATTTTCTTAAGTTTTCCCTGCAAATATATAAAACCAAGAAAAACTTAAGAAAAACAAAAAACTAGCTGTACAATATTAAACAAACATTATTTATTATTAAAGAAAATATATAAAGCTTATTTAATTATTTTACCACAATATGAAGTATATACTGTTGACAAAGCATCACTATCAACTGAACTCCGCTCAGAATCGTTTATAGTAAACAATAGTTAACCATTACTCACAGAAACAAATTAATTCCTGTCTATATCATACTATCCCAACTTCTCACCAAACACACCGACTACACCCATCGTGTGAAGTAGGTCCACTTTTTTTTGTTTTAAAATTATTTATATTACAGTGTGAAGATTTGATTTTCAAATTTTTATTTTATTTAAAATTGTAATAAATAAAATATTATGAGATTAATATACTTATTTATACTTTTAAAATTATGAAAGTTTAATAAAATTATTATAATATTACTATGTTTAAATAATTTTGAAATGTGTAATACATGAACAGCAGTATTTCAAACTAGAAATACACATTTTAGATAGATAGTTATAGTATACAAATTTGCAAATTTTTACTTTTTCCTTAACTATTTAGATATTGGGTATATTTTATTTTTCTACTGTTAAGAGCCTTAAAAATATTTGCCCAGGCATCTGAAAGTCTAAATCTGGCCCTGATAGTGCCCTAACATAATTAGGCAAAGCAAATTGAGAAAATTAAAATAAATATTAATAATAAAAATATTAAAATAAACCTTAAAGTGCTTTGTAAATAACGTTAGACAGTATTTTATATCAAGTGCTTCCATTGAAAATTGCACTAGTTATAACCCAGTTAAGTATTTTATTGACTTGTGGTGGGCAGCAGTTTTAATTAAATATAAATTAGTAGATTTTCTAATCTACTAATTTGCTCCAAAATTTGTAAAACATGATCAGAAATTATGAAACTTAGTAAATGTGATGAATTCTATCGTATTTTAATAACCTATTAGTTTTGAGTAGTAGTACAGTACTACCTACTATTAAGCTAAACTAGTCCATGGCTCTAGTTCAGCAAATAGACTGACACTTTAACTTGTAACTTATATAACCATCTAAATCTTGGTATTATAAGAGTTCAAGAAACGTTGCTTAAAAATAAACATTATAAATTACAGTATAATTACTTTTGTCTACAGTGATTAAGTTTGTAATAAATAGAAAAGGCTAAATGTTATTTACAAATTAGTGACGTATGTATGTAAAATAAAATTGGTGTAGCTCAAAATGAATGATTTAATTCATGAACTATTTTTATAATAAAATTTAGTTAATTAAATTAATAATTAATATGAACAAATTTATTAAACTTTAAATATTTTACTCTTTTAAAAGTATACATCTATAGATAAATCAAGTTTTCTATTCATAAGTAATAATAAATAATAATCATTATTAATTTATATTTAATTAATGTGACGGCAGTAAAGAAAAAAAATGTACATCTTTGCCTAATACATAAATGAATAAAACGAATGACGATGATTTCTAATTTTCATACATATTTTGAACACTACATCCTAACCTTGCTCAATGAGTTTATGTATCATGTCCTTTTCAACTACCAAACTAAATCAATTTGAACCAATTGTAATCATATACAAACGGTGGTTTTTGAGATAGTAGATTAAAAAAATATCCCCTACATATTCCAGTAATTCATTTATTACTATTTAACATTTATACTTGACATCTTTTGATAATGCTCATGAATAAATCATTTATATTTTTTTATTTATATATACATGTATGTTATTTCATTTTCTTTAATTTCACCAAATGATTTCTCAATGCAATCTGTAAATAAAAAACAAAAAAATTATTATTTAAAAACTATGTATTAAAAGTTTTAATTTTTATACTGTTTTTAAATAAAGTTATATTTGATTAAACAATTTTAAAACTAAAAATTGCCTAATTAATTAAATAATAGTGTAGTTAAAAATATAAAATCTTTTATAGAATGTAAAAGAATGTAAAAGATTAAATTATTCGAAATACTTTTTTTAGTATTACACTAAATAATAATAGTGGACAACGATAACAAAATAATGTAGACAATGTGTTATAATTTATACTTGTTATTAAATAAATTTTATTTTATTAAAATAAAATGTATGTCTACCAGTGGCAGCTTCAGAGGAGACAAGGGAGGCAGTGGTGCCCAAAACATTGTTAATATTATTTAAAATAAAAAGTATTATCAAATTATAGACACTATTATGAAAGGGAAATAAATAAAATGTATGTTTAATTTGTATATGAATGGGGTTAATATATGGGAGTGTACTGTGCTTACTGCTAGATCTTGGTCTATAAAGAAGACCGTGGGGAATGTGGTGCCAAGGACAAGGATTCTGTTTAGGAAAATGTGAAAAACCAGAATAAAAACATAGATAAATATAGGGAAACTGGGAAAATTGGTACATTTAACAAATTGTATTCAAAAAAAAAATACAGAAAGTCTCCTCAATTATTTTATTACTATTTGACATACAAATCGTTGACAAAGCATCACTATTAACTGAACTGCGCTCAGAATCTTTTTTTTGTAAGCAATAGTTTATCGTTGCTTACAGGGGTACATTAAATTACCTATAAGAGTGGCTACACCCGTCCCAGTTATCCTAAGAAATTTTTTTTTTCATACCTACTGTTAATTATTTTTGTTAGTTTAATATTATCCTTTTTATGTTTTTATATAATTAATTTGTTACTAGGAAGACACTAATCAATTTAGAAACTAATGTTGTTATTTTTTATTATTTTAATTCATATATTTATTTATTTGATTTTATTTTTTATGATCATTTTTCTTTTACATACATTTGTGAATATTAAATTATGTGTGTAACGTCTAATTGGAAGACACTTTATAGATTTAGGTGTTTGTTCTATTTAAATTATAGATGTGTATTGTATATTATATACCAGTAAGTGGTAGTCCAAAATTATAAATCGCAAGATACTTTAATTATTATAAATAGTGAAAGTGAAGCAGTTCTCTGACTAATTTTAAAAGACAATATGTGGATTTTAAATAAAATGAAAGAGTATTGGGGACTGGAGTCTTAAGGACATTAAAAAAAAGTCGCATTTATCAGTACTTTAGTTATCAATAGTGTTAAATAGACTGATTATTAAAATTAGGAAACCAACCAAGTAAAAAACAAAAAAATATGTGTTTAAAATTATGAATGAGACAATCCACATTGAAGAACAGATATGTTACTAATAATATAAATTGTATTAGATATACTGTAAATATGATTTTAATGCTAAGATCAACAAGAGAAAAAATTACTAATATCAGTAAACAAATAAATATTGATTGATTATATCATAAAACATGACAAAAAAATTTTGTTTTTCAAATATTTTAATTTTCATGTTTTTCTAGTTTTTTTGGAATTTTTAATTTTAAATTATAGGTTCTAAACTCGCTTATTGTAAGTTTTATTGAAAAACATAATTATTTAAATAAATGGATTATTACTTGTTTGTCCTTAAATGACTTCTTCACTTTTCCCTTGGCCTTGTGCTTAATCATCATGAAATTCTTGGTTTTCTTTTTTTCTCGATTTGTCTTACTAGAAAATGGATTCAAACGCCCGTCCTTATATCCAAACTTTTCTCTGCCCTCTTGCCCTTGCTAAAATTATTACAATATAAACAAGTGTAATTTTTTTGTGTTAATTTCTTTATACCTTAATAGAATCTATTCTTGTCTGTTTATCATGTTTTCTTTTTTTGTAAATGTTTTCAATATCTTTGAGCCGAACTAACTCTCCTCTGAAAAAAAAAATGATTTTAAAGTCTTTATCATTTAGTACAAAATTGAAAATATCCTTTACCTTGATGTGTCAGGTTCTGCTGGTCTTTTGCGATTTCTGGCAGTGGTCAACTGTTTGTTTAGTTGGGCAATTTCTATCCGCTTAAAATCTTCATCGGTTAATATTCTCATTGAACTAACTTCTACCGCTTTCTCTTTCTTTTCAGCTAATTGTTGTTGTTTAGTAACTACTTTCTTTGTTGGTGTTATTTTTTCTATTGTTAATGATTTTTGTGAATAATTACTATGATCAATATCTTCTTCATCAGAAGTACTTTCTTCATCTTTTTGACTTTCAATTTCTTCATCTTCGTGCCTTTCAATTTCTTCATCTTCCTGCTCTTCAATTTCTTCATCTACTTCATCATTGTCATTGTCATTTTCATCTTCAGATTGACTTACATTTACCCATTCTTCATCTGAGTTATCAGAATCATCATCAGCCTTTGTATTTTCAGTTTCAAGAAGTATTTCAGCACCAGGAACAAATTCCTTTGCATCCACTTCACCATATTTTTTTGCAACAATTTCTAGTGTAGCTTCAGTAGGTCTCCCCTAAATATGTATAAAATTATAATCATAATTAAACATTATCAATAATATAAATTTAAAAAAAATACTCTATCTTTTTTGTGCAATAAATGTGGCATAGTAGCTCTATAAACATGTATTAATGATTTAGCTGCCATCATCACACTACGTTCCCGATAATTTTTATACTGAGCTAGATCTCTTAATATATCTTCTGTCATTACTAAAGGTGCTCTGGAACACATTTCTCGGATTGCATTTAACCTGAAACGCATGTAATATTATGCATAGTTATAATTTCGGAGAAATAAATCTATTAACTAACCCAATAGCCATAACATCAGATGAATTTCTTTCAGAAACAAAATTATTCACTAATGTGCGTAATACAGGTTCTAATACATCTGGTGGAATAAGCTCATGTGATGCCTGAGCAATAAATTGCATCATACGTATTACCTCTAAAATAATTATAAAATTTATACTAAGTTATTTAATAGTAAGTAAGGCTTTAACTAATTGTGTTTAAGAATTTTAGAGTATCTTATGATTCAAATGAAAAAAGGTTCACAATACATGAACAAAATTCATAGTATGAAAGTTAACTACTTATAGTAAAAAGGTTAGATTAAACTATACATTACATTAAAAAATTTAAACTTTAATACTAAATACAAATTAATTTAAGAAATTTGTTTTAAATATGTATAAATTTAAGAAAAAGAAAAATATTATTTTTAACCTTTTTGATGAGGTTGTAAAAATCTTTGAATATAAGGGTAATAGTTAAAAATTATTAACTGATGTAAACCAATTAAACGTGACACTACATCTAATGTCAACATTTTCACTTCAAATCGCTCGTGTCTTTTTTCCAATTGATGGAATAGTTTCTCTGCAAACCCTTGAGGATCATGTATTAGAGTTAAAGCAGCAAAATTAGATGAGAATGATTGCTTCTTTTTTTTCTTATTTTTCTAAAAATATATAAGTTGTTTTTAAAATTATATTTTCAAAATTAACAATCAATTTATGAAATTACAATTTTATTACCTCTACTAATCGTTTAACTTTTTTCAAGTTCTTTGTCCTTTTTCTAGTTGTTTTACTAACTTTATTAGCCATAATTACTTCTCTAGTATTGGGCGTATCCTTTAATATAAAATACATAAATAATGTATTTGGTAATAACAATAATAAATTAACATTATATGATAAATTTACATCATCTGAACTTGATGAATCACTTTCGTCGGAGGAATCGTTTGTATCCACAGTTACAAAAAATTTTAATGCAGCAACCATCACTTTAGTAATTTTTGAAAAACAACCAGTTGATATCACATTGACTGTTTTAGTATCTCTCCAAATATTTTTCTTATACAAATCAACCATTATGCCCTAAAATAAATAAAATGTACAAAATGAATATTATTCTTTAAAATTATTTTATTTTATTTTACTGAATTTATTACTTTATATTATATTTAATTTACTCACTAATGACATTTTGGCTGCCTTAGCATTATTATCTTTAAGCATGGTGTACATAAAGTTTTGAAGATTCTAAAAAGACATTACAAAGTAGCAAGCTTTAAGGATAGAATATACATGTAAAATTAAACTAAAATAAATCATCGCGTACCCGATTTAACTTTGCATCTTTATGTTTGGAATTTAAGTTCTTAATGTCAGAAACAATATGAGATTCCAAAAATTTTCTGAGTTCCTTATCTTGTGATCTCAGTAAACCAAAAAATAGTGAAAGCAAATCTGTTGGAGTCAATAATCGTTTGTTACGTAACAATATTAAAGCTCGGCAAAACGTCTGAAAAAATGTACATTTTTTGTTGTACTTACACAAAAATAAAATATAATACACTTTTTGCATACCATTCGCATATCTTTATCTAAAACAGGTCCATGTGTTTGTAAAATATCTGTAAGTTCTTGTGCAAAGGAAGACAATTCACCAGGGTAGCAATGTGCTACCTGGGCCATAAACATCACTAATTCATCAAGACTTTTATTGAAATCCGTTGGGCGCAATGTGAAAACGGCCAAAAGTGATTTATAATGACGTTGTTGTTGTAGAAACTACAAATGTACTTAGTATGAAATACTAAATTAAAGATTTTTAAAATTTAAACTTAAACTTACTTCATCCTTATACGATGCCGGATCTCTTTTTATAAGATTCTGAAGTTGTGGTAAATTATTAGGCAACTGGTTGTTGTGCCGTACCATTATGCTATAGGCCTATAGGTTACAGCCTAGATACTATTGTAAATAATTATTTATTTTATAAAATATGTGCATATTATAGAGTAATGAGTACATAAACATGTGCTGACTGTAAAATGCAAATAAGAGATAATAGATAATACATCGGTAATCAAGAATAATGCATGAACCAATCAGAGCACTGGTAAATCGCGCTTTTTCAAATCGGTCGTTTGATAATTTTTTTACCCTGCCACATACAGGTACCAATATTCTTTGCGACTTTATCCTTGTTTTTGAGTTTTTGAATTTTACAGAACCTCTAATAGAAAGAGATGAAAGAATTCACAGAAAGAAAGAAGATTTGGCGTCAGAAAACGATGATGTACATCATACAAAGTGATCAATATATCATAAGACACTTACTATCTCAAAAAGTATGCACTTTTTTTTTGGAAAACTTAAAAAACAAATACATAGTTCTAAAATGTTACATTATCATTTTTTTTTCATCCTTATTTTTGGGAATGAAGCGAATACCTACTTTTTATTTTCATATATCAAATTACAAAAAAAATTCTATAAATAGATGTAGTATTATTTAAAATACATTTCGGTGTTGAAATGTTTGATTTCTGCCAATCCGTTGACAAAATATTCCACTTTTAAGTTTGGGTCAGAGGAGAGTATACACTAAACCGTATTAGGACAGACCATGGTAGAAGTAGTCACATGATATTTAAATGGGAACTGTGTGATTCTGAAGCATGAGATTATGATCATGCTCCACAAACGGTCATATCATTAACAAATTCCCACTGCGAACATTCACCAGTTGCATACATGATATTCATCAAGTTAAAAAAGAAGAGATAACGTGCATGAAAGACCAGTATGTCATATTATAACTAACACTTTTTTTTATACCATAACTACCAAATACCAAAATTAGATTCTGAGTGTAGCGTTTTACTAAAATGTTTTTTTATTTATAATTTTTTTTTTATCCAATATATACGCATGGCATAAGTTTTGAAAAGGAATACAGTCAAGATGGTGCTTTTAGAAAGTCATTTTTTGATTTTCCAAGTAGTTTTCATAATATTTGGGAAAAACCAGGATAAAACGTAAGAAAAACGGAAAATATACGAAAATAATGATTTTATAATTTTCAATTTTGTTTGTTGTTGTTATTCAGTTACAAATATTTATAGAGCCATGAAATTTGAACAGAAAACTTTTCTAGACATGGTAACATTTTACCGTAACACATCTACCGGAGACAAGAAATTCGTTTCATTGATTCATTGATACATACAATACAATACAAACAACTACTCATCCTCTTTATATTATTATATAATCATATTATATTAACGTAATATATTTTTATTAAAAAAAAAAAAATTAACTTATAAGTAAATATTATTATGTCTTTTAGATACTTTATTGTCTGAGCAAGGGTTTTTCTAGACCACGGTTGTATACTTAACAGTTTAACCTAACCTGACCCAACCTATATACTTACCTGCAGTTTTTAGATTTTGACAGTCAGTACGCATTATTATTTTAAATGAATAAAGTATAGGTATTTATATATTTTAGATTAGTTGCGTAGAAAAGAAAATGTATTAATTCAGCTAGTTTATGATGTGCACTTTATTTCTCTATACACGATTTCGACCAGAAAACTTTCTCTAATAATCAACATCAGAGACAGCTTCTACTTTCTGGTAGCAAATTTGGTTTTATTAGTGCATTAGAGGGGTCATTTTTTGATATTCCATTAAGTAAATACTTTTCTTAATAAAATTAGTGGAATCTGGAAAAAACAAATGATTTTTGCAATCGATTTTGTTTTTTATCAGGAATAATCTACTAGACGTAGTATAATTATTGATATATTTTAGGTATATACTAGTATATATTACAGTTGTTAATATGATTAACAAGGAAATAGATATTATTATTACTAATATTATTTTCTTCTAATATAATAATTTAATTTTACAATGATGCTTATTTCAAGTGCAGCGAGGTGAATAACCTGCTACCACAGGTTAGATGCCTGTCCGATACTTTTAAATTTAAATATGGTAGATTATCTATTTAATAAAAATTCATACCGGTTAATATTAAAAAACCAGCTGATATTGCTGATACTGCTGATCAATGTGCCACTGTCGTAAGTTATAAAACTTGGGAAGGTTGGATACATAGAGTTATTTAATTTATATTATTTATATCTGTACGCAACGATAAATCATGACGCGACCGTGATTGTCCAAAATATAGTTTTAATAATCAGGCGGCTGGACCGAGAATCGAATCCGATTATTCAAGTAATTTTACTTTCCGCGATTATTTCGGTGAAACACAATTGAACAATGGACATTTTATATCTTTTTAGTTACACGATGTTTGAGCATACAATATATTTTATGAGACTGTTACATTCAAACCGAAATTTTGTAATATTTACTTGTGTGTAAAATAAGTTTGCGTGCTACTACAGCTCACATACTTTCTATTTATGTGAATACAACTTTTTTGTGTATTGTACATTGTTTAATATTTTTTTATCCAGCTGTTCCATCTGTTCCAGTTGTGCACGATAGTTAAAGAGTGAATCGGCCGTTTACGCTGCAGTTATGAGTTCATTAACGCCTCAAGTAACTTATACTTATATACTTATACTGTTTGTACATATTTTTATTTATATGTATTACTATTTTACTGTTTATATTAATTATTACTATAATACAACGGAAAAGACCATTAATTTAATTGTTAAGTAAATCTGACTGGGGAGGTACTTTAAGAAGGTCATTTTTTGATTTTCCCAAGAGTTTTCCCACCAAATGTAGAAATCCGGGAAAAACATGGAAAACCCGAAAAAAACAGGAAAATCGGTACAACATTAAACAAATATTATAAAAGAAAATATGTAAAACCTATTAAATTATTTTACTATAAAATGATATGTACTGTTGACTTAGCATCACTATTAACTGAGCTCCGCTGAGAATCATTTAATATATCATGCATTTACAGGTTCTGAGGGACGAAGATTGAATCCTTAATTCTTTAGTATAAGCGCCATAGGCGGAACAACCACAAGGTATGCTAACTATACTACGGATATGTTTTAACACAGGTACCATATATGGATCTGGATTAATCAACCAACAATAATTTATAATTCCATACAATTTATATTTTTATTTTAAAAATCGAATCGATTCTAATAATAATTAACTTTTTTACTGTAGTTGGCTGCAATAAACGAGGAAAAACGTATAAAAGATAGGATAATTTACGAAAAAAATGCTTTTATTATTTTCGATTTTGTTTTTTGTTGTTATTCAGTACCGCACTCTGCTCAGAATCGTTTTTCGTTGGAAAAGATTAATCCTAGAGTAATATATTTTTAAAACAAAAACATAAGTTTCATGGCTTTTTAAATTATTGTCGTCTGTCGGTATTTTAGTTGTGTCGGTTCATTGTATATTGGTCGAATGATTGTCGGTCGATTGTCCATCTCCCATCCTAAACATATATATTGTCCAGATTGTTTTCAAATTCAGGAAAACTTATTTTTCATTTATTATATAAATTAATATCTAGCCAAATAAAAATAATGATAATAATAAAAAAACATTATTATTACGTGTATTGATAACATTTCATAAAAATAATGAACTCAAATAAAAAAGATGGACATACTTCGCACATAAGTGGACCATTGTTGCAGGTGAGAACTTGGGAAGTAAGTAGAGGAGAAATTTAATGTATAACGATAAATCATTGCTGGCGAAAAAAATAATTCTGAGCGGAGTTCAGTTGATAGTGTGCTTTGTCAACAATATATATATGTCATATTATGGTAAAATAATGAAATGGGCATTATATATTTTCTAATTTCTTTAATAATATCAGTTTAATATTTTACGTATTTTCCCGTTTCTCCTATTTATTGCAAAAACTCCTAAGAAAATCAAAAATAACCTTCTTAAGTACCTCCTCTGTCCGATTTCAATTCAGAAAAGGTGCTATACTTAAAAATTGGAGCTAGATTTCTAATAGAAAAGTTGTCCACAGAAAAAAAAAAATAAAAAAATAAACATCATTGTAAAATCATAAGCTTCTTCGCTCCACTCAGAATTTTTCAAATAAAAAAAATCACTTTATTTATTTATTTGAACAACCAAATCAATCTTTAAAATAAATCTCGTATATATTATAGCGTATAGTTAAGACTGTTAGGAACACAACCTAAAACTAAAGTATTGCTCCACCTATAACACGTGTCTGTAAATTAAGGTACCAAATAAAATAGTTTAGTAGGCTGCAGTAGATTGCATGGCATTATAAATTATTGTCGATATTTTAAATGTAATTATTCTAATTATTTTTGTAATAGGTGATGTTCAATGTAGAACCTGTGTCTCCCACATTGACACTCGGAGAAGGTCCCCATTGGCACCCGCCGACTCAGAGTTTATATTTTGTCGAACTATTTCAAGGAAAAATAAACAGATATCACCCGGAAACAAACGGTTATTTTAGTGCCTCAATAGGTATGTATGTACGAAATCTAAGTGCGTTTTTTTCGCGCATATTTATGCAATGGAGAAATCAGAAAGTGTACATCTGTTATAGTCTTGAATAAGTGTTACATTAGTTAATAAATTTTGCAGAAGGCTACAATGGAATAGTGTCTCTCGTTATACCGATCGAGTTCAAACCCGACACATTCGTGGTCGGGCTAGGTTCTTCGATAGGCACAGTCGAGTGGGACGGACGTTCGAACAAAACGAGCCGACCTAAATACATGAAACTGATTGATGACACGCCGGGCAACAATTTGAACGATGGTAAAGTTGACGCTATCGGCAGATTGTGGATCGGTAAGTGCCTATAAATTATAATTTATAATAATATTAATTACAATTCAATACAATTGTATGGTAACAAAAAACACCAAAAATCATTGGTTTTCAAAATACATTTTTTTAGATGTTCGTTATCAAATAGGTATTTTTGTTCAAAATGTCTGTAATATTAGGTAGTGTACGCTTTATTTATAGTATAAATAAACAAAATGATGAGGATAAATGCAAAAGTTAAAAAAAAATGTATGTGCCTACACGAAAATGAGTTTAAAATCACGCAATTTACCGAAGTTACAGTTTATTAGTAGTAAACACGATTATGATAGTTAAATTAATGTTCGTTAATGTAAGGGTCCATGTGGTCAGAAATGGAGGATAATCCGGGTAATTTTTAAAAGAACCGGGATCTTTGTATTCGGTGGACCTCGACGGCACCGTCACCAAACGATTGTCGAATGTTCACCTTTCTAACGGATTGACGTGGAGTTTAGACAATAAAAAGTTAACCTAACCTAACCTAACCTTACTTCGTAGACACTTACAAGTACATGGTTGAAGCGCACGATTTTGACATCGCTTCGGGAGATCTTTGTGAGTGCATTTTACAAGGACAATTTATTTAATCAAGTATCTTTTATTATCTGATGAAATAATATAATAACTATTTTTATTGTATAGCCAACCGTAAAGTGATTTTTGATCTATCGGTCACCAAAATCGAAAGCTTCCCAGACGGTATAACTATCAACAGAGATGGAAATTTATGGTTAGCTTGTTTCAACAGTAATCAAGAAAGTTTTCCGGTATACACTTATTCATTTTCTTGGGTTTTTTTAAATTCCTTATAAAAACAGAAACTATTCAAAGGTTTTTTGGGTACACAGATCCTAAAAATTGATCCCAACACTGGCACACTGTTAATGACGGTTCAATTGCCGGCATACCAGATCACTTCTGTTGCCAGCGGACCGGAACTGGACCAGCTGTACATGACCACGGGAAGTATCTGGTTAACTGAAGAGCAAAAATGCAAGCAACCATATTCTGGTGCACTGCTACGAGTCACCAATACAGGTTCGACTGGTTTCGCTGGTGTCTCAGCCAAATATAACTTGTGTCCTGTAGAAAATTGAGATTATTATTATCATCTGGTAGATTTACGCAAGCATTTAAAATAAAAACAAATTAAAAGATTATGCAATAAAATTAGTACTATTAAAAGTTTAAAAATTACCTCTTTGATACAACAATTAAATCTAAAATATAACAAAAAATGAATCTTGTTACATTTTGTTTGGAGCAAGATTTCTAGTAGCATAGTTGTTTACAAACACAAAAAAACCCATCATCTCGTGGTAAAACCAATACACTACGAAGATAGGGGGAAGTTGTTCGAAAATCATGAGGACAAATAATAATAAAGTTGAATAATATAACGTACTGCAAGCGTAATTTCAATGTATATTTTAAACTTGTAATATTTAAATTATCCTACTACATTTAATTGTAATATTATTTTTTTCTGGATCCTAACGACGAAATGAGATAGTGACCTATCGACTCTTTCTCTCTCTCTCTAATTAATAATTTTGATTTCAAAGGTATAAAAATCTTATATTCAGTTTATTTATAGTTTTCTCGTTATTTTTTAAGTTCACCAAAATTTAGTATACACAAAAATGTTAACATAAAATATAATTATCATTATGGTAATGGTTTCGTGATTTCAGGTTTAAGTGTTGGTCAATCTGATCTCATACATTTTATTTTTGTTATGAATTTTAAGAGAACTGCTATGAGATCTTGCGTAATTGTGTTCTTGCACTCGCAGGTGCATGTCGTAAACACAAATTTAAGAAAAAGCATTTAGTTATATTTCGAATAGAAACAAACCTCGGCTCTGACAAAATTATGAGACTTAGGCTGATGCGATTTTAATTTTGTAAAAATTATAAAATTTCTTAACATTTCCTCTAGAAAACAGTCGAGAAGTTTTTTAGAAACATGAATTAATTCAATGGATATGATATGAACAAAAGTATTGTAAAAACTGAAATTTGTATAATATTATTAATAGTATTGTCAAATTTCGAACATTAAAAAAGTACTCCGACCATTCTCTAGAGGAGATATTAAGAAATGTTATTAATTTTACAGGATTGAAATAGGATCATCCAAAGTCTCACAATCTTGTCAAAGCGGAAGATCTAAAAACTTTTTTATTGATCGACTAGAACCATCTTAAGATGGACAATTATAACTTCTGTTTTAGACTGTTTCGACTGTTTCGGCTACAAAGTCCACTTGTAAAAATAGTCTTTGAGTATACTCAGTTCTTTTTCTATCACATCTTCAAACATACTAATGGCCTGCTGTTAAAAATCTAGAGCTGTATCATAGGCATACTAAAATTGTCTAGCCACTGTACCAGGCATATTATGAATATAGAAGTTAAAAAGACGGACATACTTCATACGTTGGTAAGCCATTGTTGTAAGTGAGAAATTGGAAAAGTAGAGGGGGAATTCAATGTATATCTGTATGCAACGATTGCTAACGAAAAACGGTTATGAGTGGAGTTTGGTATTAAGTGTTGCTTTGTCAACAATATATATGTTACATTATGGTAAAATAATTATACATTATTTTCTTTAATAATATATGTTTAATATTATATTAATTTTCCCATTTTCCTGGAATTGGTGAAAAGAATGATTGAATATTTGTATTTAGACCATACAATTATTATTCTTCATCAGTTTATCACGTCAAATTAATCTATAACTGTGTAAATAATAATCATTTTCATGGCGAAATAAAATTCAAAAATATTTTATCCATGATTGCTCCTAATTATCGCTATCCTTCTAGTTCAATATTGTTCACGAACACCATAGACGGGAGGTGAGGAAAGCGCAGTCCTTTATTAATATGTTTATAATTAATTCTTATCAGTATCCGGATTATGATAAAATCAGCTGTAAATTAAAACACAATTATGGTTGACGGTTTTCAAAAACCGTGGACACAACGTGTCTACTGTTTAAATTTGAAACTATTTCAATTATTATTTAAAATAAAAAACAGATTTTTACTATTTTCAGTTGAATTATATATAAACAGTTTTAATACATATGATTCAATATTTTTTTTTATTTAATAAAGTGAACAAATATTATAATTATTAAAAAAAATTAGTATAATGTCTTCAACCGAACCGAGCCTGTTGCATATATCTGTGTTAAGGAAATATTTTGGACATTCAACATTTCGATCTATGCAATGGGAAATCATATATTCCATTTTAGAAGTAAGATATCTAGGCTATACCATTTACATAATATATATATGTAAATACACATTTTTTTCAGGAAAAACGAGATGCTTGTGTAGTTATGTCTACAGGTTATGGAAAAAGTCTTTGTTATCAATATCCAGCAGTTTATAGCAAAGGCCTAACTATTGTTGTTTCCCCATTAATATCGTTAATGAAAGATCAAGTGCTATCCTTAGAGGTTTGATCTTTTTAATTAAATAATGTAAACATCTAATACACCATTGTATTATAATTATACTATTGTACACCTACATTGTTTACACTTTTTTCACTAACCATCACAGTTCTATACTACTATGGTTTATAAGTTTAGGCTATTTAAAAATATCTATGTATGTATTATTTGAGAACCTAAATCATGTGTATAATAGTGAATAGTAGAAGAAACTGGTATTGATAGCAATTGCTACAATATAATGCTTAAAAAAAATATATATATGTTATGGCAAAAAACATAAATTAATAAATGATATAATTTCCCGATGTCATTTACTAAAATGATTCAATTATATAGGTAAATGTTATAAAACAAATGCGTTTTAAACTCAAATGTACATATTTCACTAGTAAATGACGTAATTTACCAAGTTTATTGGTTAATGATGATTATAGGTTTATAATAACTTTTTATTTAAATATTCTTATTTTTTTTTTTTTAGTATTCAATTTGTAGATTAGTGTACAATAAATGATCTCTACAAGAATCGCTTGTGTATGCCTTCTCCTTTGAACCAACTCTTGTGTCTTTAATTACTTAATTTATATGACTCGTTCTTGACCTTCCTCTCCATTGTTTCCTTTTATCATACTTTCCAGGATAATGCTATAGAGTTCCTCAGGGTATGACCTATCATGCACCTCGACCTTAAATTGCTTAACAAGGTTTTTTTCTTTTACAAACTTTAACACTTCTTTGATCAACTTGATTTCCATCCATTTTATTTCCTATATTTTCCTCCAGCACTACATTACTAAATTTTCTAAGGTGTTTTCATATTTCTTAATAAGCACCTACGTTTCATTACCATACAGTGCTTTGCTCCATACATATATTTTAATTAAATATTTCCTTGTTTCTAAACCTACATTCTTAAATGTTAATAATTTATTCTTAAGTATAAATGCCTTCTTTATTTGATTTATCCTGCTTCTTACTTTTTCTGATCTTCCACCGTTGCTTATTATATGCTTCCTAAATATTTAAATTGTTCCACTTGTTCTATATTCTGTTTTCTTTAAAAGATATATTAATATTTGGTTTAGTTTGTTTTCTGCATACTAGTATTTTTGAGTAATTTTATCATGACATAAAAAAACCACTGGAAAATATTAATCTTAATAAAACTTTTTCCAAAATCACTATTTAATAATTTAATTTCTGTATATTAAAGGGGGCCTCTACCTCCCTAGGATCGTCAAGTTTCAAGCAACGCTAATATGTATTACATATTATTGGTTATTCTTTTGGCTACTAGAGACTTATGGTTGTTTGAATTAATGTACTGTTCAAATGTATCACAAATTGTAGTGCGATTTCTAACAAGGACTGACCACATAAACACGTCTGTGGCGACAACATGTAAAAGCAGTATTAAAAAATAATGTATTTTTATCAGTGGTGCCACTGTGTCTTTTCTTTAGCAGCAACACGTAAAGTGATCCGTGTGAAATAGGCCTTACTATAAAGATCAATCGTTATTAACATTCCTCAACCTAGCTGGTAATTGATGTCAATTACCGTGGAATGATTACAATTGCAACATTTACCAATTTTTAGGGAAATTATGTCTTTTACCACATTTACATCTTTCACCGTAACATATATATAGATTTATATATTTATGTATGTATTATAATATATCTAATGAAAATACTTTTCAAATTGAGTTACTTTATAAAAATTAACACTACTTGTTACTCAATTCTAGTTTATAAATTATATATGGGTTATATTAACTTAAAACGTTCAAGTAGTTAAATATTATATAGATATATAATTTTTTAGTTTTAACTAATTGGTAAATTTATTTATTTATTAAGACAAAATAATCTTGAATAATTATAATATTTTTAAACCATTTTTATTTATGTTTTCCAGATGGCTAATATAAAATCATGTCTATTAGGTTCAGCACAAACTTCTAAAGCCGATGCCTTAAATAGTCTTTTTTCTGGAGATGTAAGAGTTTTATATATTACTCCAGAATGGATAGCCACTGAAACAGCAAAAACAATTTTACGTGATTTACAAACTAAAACAAATATAGTAGCAGTTGCTATTGATGAAGCTCATTGTGTCAGTCAGTGGGGTTTTGATTTCCGATCTTCTTATAGGTTAGTTAATATACAACCTATTTAATATTTTTCTACAACATTGTTTATAATGAATTAAAAATAAACATTTATGTTATAGAAATTTAGGAAAATTACGCAACATATTACCCAATGTTCCAATTATGGCATTAACAGCTACTGCTACACCAAATGTGCGAAAAGATATTTGTAACTCATTGAATCTTATGTATGGATCAACATTACATTTTTGAATCCATGACAATTTTATTTTAATTTTTATCAATTTACCTTTAGAAATCCAAAATATGTGTGCACTGGATTTGATAGAAAAAATTTATACTTTGAGGTGTCCAAAAAAACCAGTAGTATATTTTATGACTTAAATAAATTAATGAAAAAAAATGGATTAAAAAGGTTTTTTGAAGGATCAACTATTATTTATTGTCCGACAAAAAAGCAGACTGAAGCAGTTGCACAGGAATTGAAGTGTTAGTACATATTATTACTAATTTTAAACTCTAGCTTTTTTAATATTATGAATATTGGGACTGCTCCAATGTATGATCTACTGATAAATGACTGGTCCAATACGTGATTGTTTATGTATGCTACTTAAAATAGTAATGTACTTACTATAGTGTTGCTTGTTATATTCATACTACAAAAATATTTTTTTAATCTGATAAAAAAATCATCAAATATTTGATATATTAATATTGTTTGATTTATAAATTTGTATTGGGTGGCATGACCACTACCATTATTCTTTAAGTTGGTTTAATAGTGGATATGCACCATTAACTTTTACATTATACATGGATTTAACTAACTTCCACAATAACTATTGTTTAAGTATGAGCTCCAGTATTTGGATCCACACAATTTTCAGTATGATTTACAGTTTGATGAATAAATCCATTATCTTTTAGAGAACTATATGCTTGCCACTGATCACTGTGAATCGTACCAATTACTACCTCTCTTTCTATTATTGGTAAGAGTGTTTGTCGATCCCTCTTTTCTACAATGAAAAATCAGCTTTCAGTTTTGTTATTATTATAACATATATCAAATACCCACAATACCTATATTCTATTTAAATAATTTCGTTGGCTATTTTTTACTGGAGTTTCATTTTCATCATTTGAAGTTTCGTCGCTATCTTCATGTGATTGTAGGTCATAATCACCATATTTTAAGCGACCACAATTATATTTTTGTTTCCCTCGAAATAGGAATTCATCTTATCTGTACAATGTAACCAGGACCTCTCATTTTTGATTTTTTTGAAAACTAATCAATAACCACATCACGGCACAGATTGTACCAGTCAATTACAGTGGATTTACTTCTATCTGTTCATAAAACTGCATTATGTACTGGTATTATACCCAATATCAGACAAGTTCTATTATTTATGTTAGAGCTAAATTACTATGACATTTACCATTGAGGTCTGTGTTAGAAAAAAATGGATTTCCTATGCGAATTGACTGATATGTTTGGCATCCTTTTTTAGCGCATCTCATAGTCACAATTTGTTTAAAAGTACTGTCTGAATGCCTATTTTTTAATGTCTACCACATTCGGTGCCATCAATATTCTTTTTTGAGCAAACTAAACAAATTATTACTTGAAAGGTTTTTATTTTTTAAATATTCAACGCATTTCAATTCCTCAATAATTATATTTCTGTAAAAATATCCCATTGTTGTAGTAGAATTCATTTTAAATTGGTACTAAAATCGTGAAAAAAGAAAATCGAAAAAAATTCACCAATAATGAAATGATACGGACAAATGCTTAATGGTAACTGAATGTTTAAATGGTATTTTAAAAATACGACACAAGTGTAAACTATAGGTATCTGTTATTGGTAGATCACACATTCTACATACAACACTACATTGTAGATAGCCATTTATCGGTAGATTATACATTGGACTAGTCCCTAAATATTAATTTAATTTTAGCCAATAGGATTGAATGTGAGGTTTATCATGCTGATATACCATTAAATAAAAGAAATGCTGTACATGAAAATTTTGTAAAAGATAATTTGCAAATTGTTGTAGCTACAGTAGCTTTTGGAATGGGAATTGATAAACCAGGTAATTAATAGATTTAATCGGTTAGTTAAAAAAAATGAGTTTTATTAATTTATTGTTTTTTATAGATGTACGACGAGTTATTCACTATGGAGCACCTAAAGATATTGAATCATATTATCAAGAAGTTGGTCGAGCAGGACGGGACGGTTTACCAGCAATGTGCCATATATTTTATAATCAAGCTGATATCATGCTTAATAGACATATAATGCTTTCTAACCTCACTAATGACACATACCGTGCACATAAAGAAAAAATGGCTAAAGTCATTGAACAGTATATGGAGACTAGATTGTGTAGGCGGCAGTTACTATTATCTTATTTTGAAGATGCACCTTCATCGTTAACTGAAACTGCTAATATTAGTAATATTCGAAATGATTGCTGTGATAATTGTACTTATAAGTATGAATTTTATTTTAAAATACAAATTTCAAATCTGTCTAATTAATAAATTGATTGTTTTAAATATTTTAGCCAAATGGATAATAGTTTAAAACCTGATAATAATATAGATCTAACTGAAGATATACAATTAATTTTAAAATGTGCACGCGCATTAGATGGTCGGTTTGGACTTGTGGCTATAGTAAATTTTATTTGTGGTAAAAAAAATGACAAATTCAATAAATTTATGGTGAACAACAAATTACATGGAATAGGAAAGTTTAACACTGAAGCATTTTGGAAAGCATTAGGTAAATAAATCAGAATTTAATATGCTAATCAAGTTAAAATAGAACAGTTAAATTATTAAAGTTATTTTATGATTATTTAGGTAAATTATGTTTAAGAGAAAGTTTATTACAACAAAAACCTTGCAGTTCATTTCAGCAAGGGAACAATTTTTCATTTCCAATTAGTACAGTTTCAATTTCAAATAAAGGACATGTATTTTTAGAAAAGTACTATGATATTTTTTATTACTTGTGTTTATCAAATTAATTTTTTTTTTTTTAGAGGGAAGGAATCTGGTATTAAAATTGACCCATCATTGGATGTGTTGCAATTATTTAAATCAAAGTTAACTGATAAGTAATAAAATACAATTTTTTATTTAATAAAATACAACTAAATCACTCATGTGTATATTTATTCTAGACTTAAATATAATGATAAATTGAGTGGTATTTTAGATACAAAAACAAAAAATCCTTATGATCCAATATTTCAAACAATGCAAAGTACTCAGTATAGTTCAAAGCAAAAAATTGTAAACACAGAATTGGAAGTAAATTTTTTAAATAATATGAATACATATACAAACTAATTTAATCTAATGATTTGTAGAACACAATATATTCAACATTAGTGATATATAGAACCACATTAGCTCAACAATTGGATTGTATGCCATACATGATTGCTAGTAATAAGATGTTAATCAATTTGGCAAAATTAAAACCTAAAGACAAATCGGAATTAAAAAATAGTAAACAATTTTTAATACCATTTTGTGTTTATATTATTGTGCTAACATATTATGTCAGTTAATTTTTTTTTATTATAGTTGAAGAATTTACTGATGCCAAAATTGAACGTTTCGGTCAAGCAATGATAAATAAAATACTAGAAGTTATTAACAGATATGCAATTGATAACAAGGTTGATGATGATGTGAACACAAATAAATCAATGTAAATATTTGTCTTTTATTTTTTACCAATAGAAAACTGTTAACTTGGGGGTAGAAATTAATGGGAGACAAAGAAAAAGAGTTTATAAATAAAGTAAAAGAAAGCGTCATATTAAATATTGAAGGAAATATAAAAAAAATTGTGGGAAAGAATGGATCCTTTTATTAAATATGATTGGGTAAAGTACCAAAGACTGTGCAAAAAAGTTAAGAGGGCCGTAAGTAACAAGAAGTGTTGCAGGCGTCTTTTCAAACTCAAATTCAGGTTACTTTAAAGTATAGACCAAAGTCAGAAATTATAACACAATATTTTATTAGTTGTTGAAAATAACAAACACTTAATTTAACTTCACAATTTAAACTTGCATGATGGTGCTTTGTATTTTACATAATAGGCGAGGTTAAGAGTTTTAAGTAACTAAAGTCTTCTGTACATAAGAACAGTGGCTTTTTATGATGATGTGAAATATTTGATTAAGTGTAGTTGGAAAAAGTGGAGAGAAGTGTCTAGTGTTTTATGTGATAAAAAGATTCTAATGAGGCTTAAAGCTAAGCTCTACACAAATGTAGTGAGACCGGCTATGTTGTGTTATACAGTTCAAAATGTTGAGCGAAAGACAGAAAATGAGTGTACCTTAGATGAGAATATTTAGGTGAATGAGTGGAATGACGAGAGAAGATAGGATAAGAGATAAGTACATAATTGATAGTTTAGATGTGGCTTTGATAGTAAACGAAATAAGAAAGAATAGACTTAAAATTATTTAGGCATATCACAGGGAAAAAGATATCTAAAGCAATAAGAATTGTAATGCAAATAAATGTAAAAGGAAAGAAATAGAGAAGAAGACCGGAAAAGAGGTAGCTGTATGTGATTGAGAATGGTATAAAGATAGCCGAAGTATGCAATGTTGATGTGGGAATCTGGTTAAGTGGAAGTTTAGAATGTGTATGGTCAACTCCAAATAGTTGATATGAAGGCAAAGAAAAAGAAAAATAGAAAACTGTCAACTAACTTTGTATTTTTTTCTAGAAACACAAATACCAATGAATGTGAAAGTCTTTGGGATGACTGTGATGATTCGATATTTAGTGAAATATGCGATATTGATGAAGCAGGAAATTCTAAAGAAGATTTACAAAAAAATGATTGTAATGATTTATCATCGGCAAATCTTGATAACACAGCTAAAAGAAAATATTGTGCTATTGAATCTAATTGTCCAAATCAAAAAAATATAGAAAAAAACAAAAAATATATGGTTGAAAAATTAAAACAGAACTCTCTATTCAGTTAATAAAAGACTAAAATGTATTATTTATTAAAATTCAACATGTTTATTAATATATTGCTTTACTAAAAGTTAATTAATAATCATTAATATCAGAATATAACATGCTCGATTTGAATTTATATGCCTGTTAACTGTATAATGATTTACTATATGATAATGAATCAGATTATTGCATATTATTATTTTAATAAAATTGCACTCTTTTATTATATATTATGTAACTTTTTCCAAAATTTGTTTTCTAGAACATTTAAGAAACAAGCTACTCTTCAATTTTATATTTATGTTATTTTTGGGGGTAAAACCACTACCTAATTATGTTGGTCATTTACCCAAGTTAACCAATCTATTTACATTTAGAAAATAACTTATTAAAATTTTAAAATAAAAATATGTCTATAATACTGTTTACTTTTAATCTTAAATTGTAAGATGAAATATGTTTACTGGTCAAATTGTAGTTATCAAAATGAACTTTCATAAAAATTTAAACTTTAGACGCTTAAAAAAAAAAAATATTAGTCTAGATATCAGATTTATATTCTCTTATAATCCTTAATAAGGCGCTTTAAAATGTCAAAACATTACTAAATAAAACACCTACAAACACTTAAAAAATCAAAGATAATAGAAGAGTTTAAAAGTCCTCCACCAATTGCTCTAACTTATTAAATTAAATTTCCTAACACTACAAAAATGATTCACACAAAATAATTTCTTTTAAATAAATTTGTACGTATTATAAAAAAGAATTACCTTTTATTAATTATTTTTGTGGGGTTAGAAAATTGTATTTATAAACTAAATCTGCTGGAGGGGAAACAAGTGTTTTTGTGGATTTTAAGAACGTATAAATCTGGTCTCTAAATTTATTACATTTCACTGAACTTTGTTTGCCACTAATTGCAACTTTGATTAACCTTGTATTAAATTGTCTATTATTTTCGCTGAGCCAAAACAAATTTAGTCACATAAAACGATAAAACAAAATAAAATACTAAAAAAAACTCAAAAATTTCAAAGAGCAATAATATTACATAACTGAAAAATTGACAAAAGTTATCTTATACCATTGAATAAAATAAAATCTAATTCATCGAAAATCATTTATTCAATAATATAGTAGTTATAGTACTTATTAATTATAATATGTGCTATCCTCTCTCTAGGGAATTATTATTAACAACCCCCTCCCGAAAAAAATCATACGTGCGCTACTGCAGCTACGTTGTATTATAATAGTATTATATAGGCAAACAGGATTTTTTTCAGGTAGAGTTTTGTTTATAATAATATCCCAGAGAGGGGAAACACGCTTATATTATAAGTGTTTAAAAATGTAATATTTTTATAAATTTAAATAATGCATTGCAATTTCATAAATTACATTATACTTACGTGTTTAACCACATCAACTCTGTAGTGAGTAATTCCAATTTACGGTAGGTATTCATTAAATATTATAATAAACTTATAACCACTACTCAATATTTATTCCGTATTTGGCTATTATACATTATATTATAGTACTATAAATTATTATTCTTTTAAGGTATCAATCATAATTGATATTTTCTGCATGCTATCTGAAAAGGAAAATAAAATGTAAAGTACATTTATGTACGCATATACCTACCTATACACGAAAGTGTTTATTTTGTTTTAGATTCTAAGTGGACCAAAGAAGCTTATAGTTTTACAAAGATGTTAATTTTTTTTTTTCTGTGCACAACTTTTCTACCAGCAATTTTGTTCCAACTTTTAATGACAGCAACATTTCTAAAAGGAATTTGCATTAAAGGCAATTTAGAGAGGTAATTTTTCGATTTTCTCATCAAATAGGAAAAATCGGGATAATCATGGGAAAACCGGAAAAAACGTGGGAAAACTGGGAAAATCGGTTAAGTCTATTTAATTACTTTATTATAAAATTACTTACATATTGTTGATCAACTGAATTCCGCTCAGAACTATTTTTTCGTAAGCAATGGTTTATCGTTGCTTACAGATATACATTCAATTATCTATAACAGTGGCTGCAATTATCTCTGTTGTCCTAGGACGTCTTTTTAAAAAAAATTGTATTGTTCATAAGTCATTCATTACTATTCCTGATACAAGCTGTGGTTGTAAATGGGCCTTTTCTAAATTCAGTTTTATTAATACAAACATTCGATTGAAGCTTCACAATGAACCAAGAAAGATTGAATTCTCTTTTATATATATTTATCGAACAAGAAGAAATAGGAAACATTAAATATGATGACGTCATTGAAGAATTTAAACATTTAATTGAAGGAAATCGTAAAATTATCTTATATAGTATAATAATTACACTTATTTTATTTGACAGCATAATAATTGTATATACATACAAATTATATAATAAATAATTATAATTATAATTATTATAATAAATAAACATCAATGTTAATTGACAATTGTTAATGTTATATATTATGTTTTGAACGTTTTTGAATTGTTTTTTTTGATTATATTTGGTTAAAATTTTAAATCAATATAGATGAATTATGTGTGAGAAATAATGAAAAATTATTGTTTACATTTTTCAATCATCAACAAATGGATCACGTTAAAATTTGTAATAAAAATTTTTATATTTTTCTTTTGTGTGACCTTGACAAAGGGGTGGGTGATTAGATTGAATTTAGTCATACCTGACTCAGAAGTCTACACACCCCTTTGATTCCGTTATTTTAGATTTCGTATTTTTGTTGTAATTCAGTTAAAACATTTCACAGAATATTGAAATTCGTGACTTTTTTTTGTCATCTTAGAACATTATTTTCATAACATTCTAATCATTTTTTGACCAAGCAGAAATGCTTGTTGATAAAATTCGAGATTTTTCGGACCTAATTTAACCTAAGCTTTTTGAAATTCAAATTTTAATAGAAGTCATACAAATTACGGAATTTCAAAACATGTTTACCCGGACATCACCTAGATCGTTTTTCGTTAGAAATGATTTAGTATTGTGTACAGATATAAATTAAATATCTAGGTATATATTCTATCTTCCCAATTTACGATATACGGAAGTACATCTCCTAACAGTATCAGATCCGAAGTGCAGTGAGGAATGAAATGGTTGTAAGATGATGTTTATTTTAGATTTCGTGTATAACGGGAGATCTATTGGTATTATTCTATCCTATGGTTTTACTATAATGTATGTTTTTTTTCTTTCTGTCGATAAACAACTTTTCTACAAGAAATCTTCTTCTGATCTGTAGTATATTTTCTGAAATAAAATTGTATCGATTTGCTACATTAGAGAGATCATTTTTTGATTTTTTCCAAGTGATTTTCAAAATAATTGGAAAAAACTGGAAAGAAAATTATGGGCAAATATTTATAGCGTGGCGTTATAGATTTCATTGTTTTTAATTTTTGTAAACTATGTTTTCTACCAGAAATATTGCTCCGAACGAAAAATTACAAGAGATCAATTTTGTTCCATTTAAATATTAATATCTTAAATCTAAGCACTAACTCAGAAAGTCATTTTTTTACGTCTTTAGTAGTTTTCATAATAAGTAGGAAAAACTAAAAAAGACGAAAAATATGATTTTTCAAATTAACGATGCAACGATTTCATTATTTAAAATTGTTAATATTATATTTTTCTACCAGAAGTCTTTTTCTAGATTTCAAGAATAGCGTATTTTCTGAAAACCAATTTTGTCTAGTTCGTGAGTAAGAAAGTCGTTTGATTATCCATATAGTTTTCCTAATTACGAAAAACCGGAAAATGTAAGAAATACAGCTACGACATTTGAGTTTTTTGTTGTTATATGGTTAAGAATAATTGTATAGACTTGTAGTTTTCAAAAAATATTTCAATGGACCTTTCGTGGATCTGGTAAAAATGTCAATATATTTTAACATTTCTAACTATTTTTAGGCTATTTGAAGATATTTGATATTTTAGTATTTTTATTTGGTAGGTATCTATTATTTAAATAATATGACTTAAGAGAAATGCTTAAAAATTTAACACAAGGTACACTTTAAGTTAAACTTGGTGGTCCAAAAAAAAATTTTAGTTTAATTCATAATTTTTTTTACATGCATTTTAAGATCAAATTTTGACGAAAAACGTAAAAATTACATCATCATTTCAAAATATGTCTTTAATAATCGTTTTTCGTTAGCAACGGTTTATCTTTGCGTACAGATATAAATTAAATAACTTTATGTGCCCTACTTTCCCAGCTTCTGGCTTACAACAGTAGCCCATCTGTCATATGTCCGTCTTTCTGTTAATATTAATTCTGTAGATTTTATAGGAATTATAGTAAACACATTTACACATGCATCGCTACGTAAATCATAGAGTACTTGGAGAGACTTAATACTGTAATAATTAAGTACCTAAGTACTTAACAAAAATTAGGTATAATAATAAAAAATTGAAGATTTAACTAAGCAATAATAATTTTTGTTTTATTGAATAAAATAACAGTTATGCAGTTTAATTGTGGATATTTTTATTATTTTAATACAATTATCATGTTTGTTGACAAAGAAAAATGTTATACGTGTTTTGTAACATTATATGTTTATATCTTATGGTAGAATATAATGGATTAGTAATACATGTTTTTATTTTTTTTTTAATATACACATAATTAATTCAGCCATAATTCATTGTTAGTATTATAGAACTTAATATCAGTATAACAATTTTAACGACATAATTTCTTAAAATCATCTGCACAACTATCTTTACATTCTTCACAATATAGATATCTTAATCTGTGAATCTGTATCCTTTAATATTATTCAACTATTATTGAAGTTCTAGTAACTATTTGTATATTAACACCAAATACCTATTAATATATAATATATAATTTTTGCATTGCATTGCTAAGAATTTTGAAACCCAATCAGACACTTAAGATGGAATAAAATGAAGTTAGATATAAATATAAGAGAACCATAAATGTGGTATTTAAGTTCCCATATTAGTAATTAATATGTTTTTATTGAAAAGATATGATAGAAACTTTTGGGTTGTAAATGAGTTAAAATATTTGTTAGCACTCAGCAGCACCAACATCTACATATCCCGAACAAATCGTAGCCAGAGTATTCATTAGTTGCCGAAGGACTTGAACAATGTTTAACCGCCTCCGATCTAACCTAACCTAACCAATCCAATAATCAGTACAATAACCAAACAATACAATCCAACCGATCGCGACATAATGATTTAGTTTCTCGATATATAAATTATAAAAATGTTTATACTGTAGTTGATGGTTGTTTTCGACTTACGCTGACTTGAGTGGAAGGAAGTCGATGTTAATTGATGACTGAATTTTAATTGGTTCTGAATCAAAATTTGACTTGAATTGAAATTGACGTGGAATGGGTTTCCCTCTGGAGTAGGTGGTTAACGAGTGCTATAATAACTGTAGTCTAGTTGTATTATAAACCACGTCTAAAACACATCTGTCGGTGCCTCATCTCAGACTTCCTTTATATATGGAATGTGAAGGTATATTCTGGGCGTGTTGTTTTTAAAAACCAATTATTCAACTACACAAATATTAGGAAATATATATACTTAAATATCTATGGAAATAAGTATATTATGATATTATACAATATTATGTTATTCACAACACAAATTTAATGTGAGATGTCAAGCCGGGCGTTTACATCTTATGGACCACGTATAGTTATTCAAATCCTCTATTAATCATTATTGTTTATCCAAAATTACACTGTATTTACTTAAACATAATTATAAAAATAATATTATAATATTTTTTAAAAGTTTTATTTTGTTTATTCGCACATATTTTATGATAATACGATTCGCAACTAACTACTAAGACATTTTTTTTAGAATCGATCGCCATTATACTATAGGTTTTTCTTTCTTCATATCCATCTAATACAGTAGCTCACTGATTCTTATATAATACAACTATAACATGTATCCAAACAATTTAATATTAAATTAATACGTTACCTATATAGGTATGGTGACCAGATATAAAGATCCAAAAATAAGTATATTTTTAAAATTTAGGTCCTACATTAAAAAAAATTCCTCCTTGAAAGAATTAGCTTGATAATATCATCTGAGTATGCTAAAATTCCGTACTGTTGTCCATTGTCGTTTAATTCAATTCAATTAACACGCAGACAATTCAGCAGAAGTGAAAAGTGGATGATAGAATAAAAAGAAATTAAAATCTTTATATTTTAGATTCTGAGTGGAGCGAAGAAACGTATAGTTTTACAAAGATTTTTTTTTTTATCTGCACAACTTTTTTACCAGAAGACTTGTTCGGATTTCTACGTGTAGCATCTTTTCTGAAAGAAAATCAGCGTGGGAAGGTCCTTTAAGGAGGTTATTTTTTTGATTTTCCCAAAATTTATCTCAGAAATTTGAAAAACTGGGAAAATTGGTACAACATTAAACAAATTTTCTTAAAAAAATGTATAAAGCCTATTTAATTATTTTACTATAAAATAACATATATATTGTTGACAAAGCATCACTATCTACAGAACTCCGTTCAGAATCGTTTTTTCGTAAGCAACTGTTTATTGTTGCTTTTCAGAAACACATTTAATTCCCGTCTATATCCTACATTCCTAACTTCCCACCTATACCAGTGGCTGCATTATATTCCCTCCCCCATTGGCTTCAAAAGACGTCCTAGGATAATGCAGACGGGTGCAGCCACTGCTATAGGTAATTAATGTATATCCGTAAGCAACGATAAACCTTGCTTACGAAAAAACGATTCTAAGCGCAGTTTATTTGATAGTGATGCGTTGTCAACAATATATATATATCATATTATGGTAAAATAATTAAATAGGCATTACATATTTTTTTTAATAATATTTTTTTAATATTGTATCGATTTTCCCGTTTTTCTCATATTTTTGCCGAATCACATTTTCTTAGAAAACTCTTGGAAAATCGAAAACTGACCTCTCTAAAGTGCCTCCCCAGTCAGAGTTCCTTTAAGAAAAAAATGCTATCATTGTAAATCAGAGCAAAATTGCTGGTAGAAAAGTTGTACACGGAAAAAAAAAGGCCTACTATAGCCTTTTACTAATAATTACATTTTGTACATTTTCCGTTTTTCTGACATTTTATCACGGTTTTTACCAGTTATTATGAAAATCAATAAAAAATCACAAAAAATGACCTCCCTTAACCATACTACACTTCTCTTATAATTTGTTTGTCATGAACTCTAAATTAAATTAAAAATTAAAGATAAAGGTTTTTGATAAAAATTCCTAAATTTTTGAATAGAAATTATCAAAGATCTGATCTTGTATAATTAGATATAGATTTACACTTGAAGCACTAACTTGCTTACACTGGTATCAGGTTTGGACTTGCAGGTCGTAAGTCTTTATAAAATCTAACAAAAAAATGTTGCGTAGCTGGTAATTTTGGAAGTTGGACTGGTGTATGGAAAAGGTAGAAACTAATGGTCACTACATCTGTATTTGTACAATTTTAAAATAAAGTATAATAGGTAAGTTTATATTTTACCAACAAATTCAGCCTTACAAACCACATATTTTGATGGTTTTATTAAATATTAGTTCTAATCTTTATAAAAATCGAACAATTGGAGAAATTTAAACCTAAAAATAGAGAAGTACCGTGAGATTTTGTATAAATTAATTTAATTTACTGAAAGATCTGAAGTTGATAAACACAATCTTTTAATTCTTGGTAATAAAGCATTTTTCATGGAAGGACCATCTACAAGAGCAGCTAAAGATTTTTCTTACTTATATACTGTGAAGGCACCATCTGGTTTAATCTAATTTGTGATTATATTATCATATTTTACTTTATCAATTGACTCAAATGTTATCATAAACAATATATTGATTTTTTTTCCTATTGAGTACTGAGTAGTTGATAGTTTTTTTGTAATGAAACTTAAAGTTTAAATTTATTTTATAAGTATTATTTTCGAAGATTATAATTATGGATGTGCTCAACAAATTTCGATCAACAGTCACAAATACTATGTCACAGTTAACTACAGTACTTCCAGGAAATCCAGTAACAAGAGAATATGAAGCTACTAAACATATTGCAAGCGCTGGTGTTGGTGTGTATTTTTTTTTTGTTTTTTGTATATTATATAATATTTATTAATCATTTACAATTTAGGATTACTTTGGAAAATCTATAGTGGATATAAAAAATCAACTCAACAACCTGCATCAATTTTTTTATTGGAAAAAAGACAATTGGATAAATGGTCAAAAACTGAACGAGAACATATTATAGAAGTTGTTAAAAAAGGTGTAGCTCAGCTAACTAGACTCAAACATCCACAAGTTTTGACTGTTCAACATACTTTAGAAGAGTCTAGGTTCATACAATCAAAATATATTTGGTGTAAAATAATTTACTTGAATTATTTTTGTTACTTTTAGAGAAAGTTTAGCATTTGCTACAGAACCAGTATTTTGTAGTCTGGCTAATGTGCTTGGTAAAATGGAAAACACACCTCAGCCAGTACCCAAAGATTTACAACAGTACAGTTTATTTGATATTGATATTAAATATGGTTTAATGCAACTTGGTCAAGGTCTTGCATTTTTGCACAATGATGCTAAACTACTTCATCATAATTTATGTCCTGAAAATGTTGTTATTAATGAACAAGGTGCTTGGAAAATATTTGGATTTGATTTTTGTACTCAAAGTATTAATCCTGTTGATCCAAATGTAAGAATTAAACAAACTAATAGACAATAACTTAACAAAAAATTTACGTTTTGTTTGTATATTAGCCCACATGGCCAAGTTGGAAGTATAAAATGGATGTTCATCCATGGGCACAACCAAATCTAGATTATTTAGCACCTGAATCTGCTTGTGGTTACACCCAAGTTAAAGCAAATGATATGTTTTCTTTGGGAATATTGATTTTTGCCATTTATAACAAAGGAAACTCACCACTACAATCAAATTATGACTGGTCCACTTTTAAACGCAATATACAAGAAGTATATATAAAACAGTAAAACAAGATTTTTATTTTTAAATTGGTTGTTTGTGTATCACTTTTTTAGATTAAAAATAATACACCCAATCTATCCAGTATTGAGGTTGGACTCCAAGAACCAGTTAGATTATTACTAAGTAGTAAACCAGAAGACAGACCCGATGAACATGAGTTTTTAAAAGTAAGATATTTATTTATAATAGAACTATTTAATTTAAACATTGTTATATTTATTTTAGATTGATTTTTTCAATGATGTTGGAGTAAAAACTTTAAATTATTTGGATTCTCTTTTTCAATGGGATAACTTGCAGAAATCTCAATTTTATAAAGGTTTACCTCAAATAATGGAAAAATTACCTCACCGAATTTGTCTAAATCGGTATTTTAAATCAATATAAATATTAATATAATATTCATTCACAGAAAGTTATTTATTAACATACAATTTTACAGAGTACTTCCATGTCTTGTAAAAGATTGTGTTAATCCTGTAATGATACCTTTTGTTTTGCCAAATATTTTTCATGTATGTGAAAACTGTACTAAAGATGAATTTGTCAACTACATATTACCTTGTTTAAAGCCTATAATGAAAGTTCATGAACCAGTTCAAGTATTAATTTTGATATTTTAACTAAATCAAAAGTGAACACTATTATTGTTTTACAGGTTCCATTCATTTTCCTACAAAACATGGCTTTATTATTAAAATTAGCACCACCAGAAGATATAAAATCTGACATATTAACAATGTTATACAAAACTCTGGAATTGGATTCAAAACCAGTTCAAGAAACTTGTCTATCAGTTATTCCATCTTTAGCTGCTCTTGTAGATGGTCCTTCCATGAAAAATGCTTTATTACCAAGAATTAAAAGATTGTGTTTATCAACTTCAGATCTTTCAGTAAATTAAATTAATTTATACAAAATCTCACGGTACTTCTCTATTTTTAGGTTTAAATTTCTCCAATTGTTCGATTTTTATAAAGATTAGAACTAATATTTAATAAAACCATCAAAATATGTGGTTTGTAANAAAATTACCAGCTACGCAACATTTTTTTGTTAGATTTTATAAAGACTTACGACCTGCAAGTCCAAACCTGATACCAGTGTAAGCAAGTTAGTGCTTCAAGTGTAAATCTATATCTAATTATACAAGATCAGATCTTTGATAATTTCTATTCAAAAATTTAGGAATTTTTATCAAAAACCTTTATCTTTAATTTTTAATTTAATTTAGAGTTCATGACAAACAAATTATAAGAGAAGTGTAGACCCAGAAAAGTACCAAACTAAAAACCTATTAGGAATGAAAAAAAATTTATCATGGTGACTTTCAACTACGAATCATCAGTTAATATTTTTGTATTTATGATATTTTTATTAAACCAAATACAAAATATTTAACTATAAATAATAGTATAAGAATATTGAGCAGTTTTTTTTTATATATAAAAAAATTAAGAAATATTAAAATGTATTTAATATTATTAATTATATAAATTGATAATAATTTTATTTTATAATTGTGTTTAAAAAAAAATATCTGTATGTGCTTATATTATTTTTAGGTTCGTGTTAAATGTCTTGTTTGTATTGGAAAATTAATCGAGTATTTGGATAGATGGTTAGTACTAGATGACATAATTCCATTTTTACCTCAAATACCTTCTAAGGATCCAGCTGTGATTATGGGTATCTTAGGTAATGAACTTTCTCAAATAGTTTAAAGTATGATGTAAAGAATAATTTAATTTTTAAATGTTTAGGTGTATATAGGATTATCCTTTCTCATAAAAAAATGTACATTACGAAAGAAACTATGGCTCTTAATATTTTACCATTTTTAATACCAATGTGTATTGAAAATACACTGACAGTCAATCAGTTCAATGTTTTAATATCAATTGTTAAAGAAATGGTAACAACTATTGAATCTGAACATCGAGCTAAATTACAACAACTAAATGAACAGAACAGGTATAATTAGATATTTAAAAATACAATTAGTTATATTTTTGTTTTGAAAACAAATAGTAGTATATATTTTTTGTATAAATAAATATATTTATATTCTTCTAGAACAATTTCAAATAGTTTGAGTTTAGAAAATGGTTCAATAACCAAGTTAAATGGTTTAACAAATGAATTTCAATTTGATACTCACATTGAAAAACAACATATACAAATATCTGGATTTGACGATATAACAAATACATTATCCTTAAATAATGACAAAACAAAGTAAATATAATTTGTTTGATATTTTATTGTTTTTATTTATTTGGTTTTATTATGATGGATATAAATACTTTCAAGATAGTAAAAATACTTCAAAATTTATTTGTGAGCTATATTTTAATGGCTTAGTGATAAACCAGCCAACATTTGAATAATAATTAACTAATTAAAAAAATGTGTTAATTTAAATTTTTTATGGTAATAATTGATGTATTATTACTAGTGAGTAAATTTTAATATTAGTATAATTAAATATTCCTAAAATATAGTCTTTTATAAATTCTATTTCAAAAGTGTTAAACTCATCAGTAATATTGCGAGCATATTTCAAATTATAGACAAAGTAATTCAATAATATATTTAAGAAAAAAAAAAATGGAGAAATCTCCTCAGGATCCATTTATTAATCCAATGTTTAAAGTTACTTTTAATACACTTGATTCAAAAAATAATAATAGTCAACTGAATATTAAATAATTTTCACTTTTTTTTAAAAAATGTTATTTTAGGAAAAAAAAATCTCAAGAAGTACCGTCCCAAAATATGTTCCATCATGACTTGAACATTACTCCAAGCCTAGAAAAAACTAAAATAAACTACCCAGTACCTAAGGATCTCACATCTTCGCTGATCGATTCAAACATAAATCAAATGAGTTGGTCAAATCAGATGAAATCTACAAGTTTGTTATCTCAATCAAAATCAATGGGATTTGAAAATAAATGTATGGGTCTCCAAGGTAGACCATTAGGTTTTGAAAACCATTCAGCTACTAATCAAACTAAACCAATGTCCCTTCAAAGTTCAGCAAATAACTGGAATGATTTATGGACAAAACATGAAGAAACTCAAAGGCCAATTAAACAGTTGACTTTATCTGATATCAATGATTTGTTAAGTTGATAAATTATTTTAACTACTAAACACTGAATGTTACCTAATTAACATACTAATTGATTTAATTTAAGTATTTTTGTTTTAATATTTTAATCAGTATAAATATTTTTAAGGATAGGTTGTAAATTTTATACATCTATTAATATTAGGTCTAAAGTTAAATAGGTAATTGAAGAAGTCTACATTTAAAATAAAATATAATAATTTATAGTTTTATATTTTCATACAATTTATTTATTGTTGTGACTTATGCATAGATAATTCTTGTAAATCTATAATGTTCAATTTGGTAGTCACTATATTATTCATATATTCTAAGAATACAAATAACTAGCATAATAGCTTTTTCATTATTATTGATTAATAATATATACAATATTTTTAATTATTTTTATTCAAACAATATTATATAACTTTTGGTTAAATAAATAATTTATAAAAGAACAAAAATATTTACAAAATCACACAAATAATGTGCTTAGGGACAAAATAAATTTTATCAATTCTCTAAGAAAATAAAAATATAAATTTAATTTACATGATTACAAAAAATATGCATATATCTATGAAATTGACCGATACTTAAATAGATTTATGATTAAAATCATTATTTTCATAATCAGTAAAATATGAAATTTATAACAAGTTTGTATTATATAATTAAACATGGTAATGAACTAATAGTAATATATTATTCCACTGATAAGAAATTAACGATTGTTTACATATGTTAATATTAGTTTTCTTATGATCTTAAAATTATATATAGAATAACATGTATACATGTAACATGTATATTATATATTAATTTATAATGAAAATGAAATATGACTTTTTTCATAATTAATAGTACCTACATAATAAAATAATTTTGGTATTTTCTGAGTGAAGTGAGAGATCTATTGGTTTTACTATATGTATTTTTTTTTTGTACGTGGTAAAATTTTCAAAATATTTGAGCTATTTTTAAGTTATTTATTGACATTTTAATTTTACAAATGTACTTAATTTTTATTTAATAGGTACTCTGTTATCCCTTTGGTCTAGGGTTAGAATAGTTTGTTGTAGTCGAATGATTACGAATACATATTGTCATACTTTGGGTCGTGGGGGTTTGAAAAGAAATTAATTGCACTTTTTTTAACCCTCTTATCTAAATAGGGAAAAAACAAATGCATTAAGGTATACTTAAAGACCTAGCTATCGCTTGCTCTGATGATTATAATCAAAAAATACCCCTCTATTTGTTATGCAAACTTTTCTATCAGAAATCTTCCTGCAGGTGTAGATTATTTTATGAAAAAAAATTTTATCTCCATGGTTAAAGGAGGTCATTTTTTTGTGATTTTTTAATTGATTTTCATAATAACTGGTAAAAACCGTGATAAAATGTCAGAAAAAACGGAAAATGTACAAAATGTAATTATTAGTAAAAGGCCATAGTAGGCCATTTTTTTTCCGTGTACAACTTTTCTACCAGAAATTTTGCTCTGATTTACAATGATAGCACTTTTTTCTTAAAGGAACTCTGCCTGGGGAGGCATTTTAGAGAGGTTATTTTTCGATTTTCCAAGTTTTCTAAGAAAATGTGATTCGGCAAAAATATGAGAAAAACGGAAAAATCGATACAATATTAAACAAATATTATTAAAGAAAATATGTAATGCCTATTTAATTATTTTACCATAATATGATATATATATATTGCTGACAAAGCATCACTATCAACTAAACTTCGCTCAGAATTGTTTTTTCGTTTGCAATGGTTTATGATTGCTTACAGTTATACATTAAATTACATAAACAGTGACTGCACCCATCCCCATTATCCTATGATGTTTTTTTTTATAAATTTGTGTGTAATAATTTGAACCCTCAATCAGTGTGACCACATATAAGGAATTAAACTAATGTACAGCACTTTTTACTATAATTATATCAGTTAGATTTTATATAATCTTTGTACAAGAGTGTCAATACAGAATTTATTTTTATAAGAATTATAATATCAAATTTTGATGAAAGTGTGTTCTCTTTATTTTACCTTTATTTTGACTTTTTAGAAATTGTATAATTTTGGCGAATTGACAACCATCAAAATTCTCAAGCGCTACGGCAATAGTATCTACAGCGGCTCTATTAAGAGTAAGTTTACTTTGGACTTAAAGATCAACGTACCTACTGATATTACCCTTGTGTTTAATCCTGTAACTGAAAACCATTTATTAGCGAGAGGGGGGGTCGAATTTTTGTTGAACAATATTTGATATGAAATATTTTTTCATTTTTAATATTTTTTGGAGGAGGGGGAACATTCCCCTCACCTCAAAAAAAGTCATCGGTTATAAATATTTACTAAAATTATTTTACAGGCTGTAGATTACCGATTTACTCGTTGTGTACTACAGCAGTTGTATTTACGGGGGAGAGAGGGGTACTTACCCCTTCCTGGTTAGGTACTAAAATTGCTAGGTTCTAGCGGCGTGACGATCGCAGCAAGGTATTCGGGTCCGTTTGAAACTAGGTCTCCTGAATATAAAATACATAATTACAAATAATATACTGCCTGACTTGTATACGAAGCTGTGGATAGGCGTCCTTGGCTTTTCGAAATTTGTAAAATTAAATGAGATCAGACACAAATAAAGGTCATCATCATAAAAATATTGGATACGACTTTCGATTGGTTGTAACGTATATTTTTAGTCAAGTTTCCCACGTACAGAAATTTAGAAATCAAAATATGTAAAAAAAAACACAAGGCACATCTCAGCAACTACCTACTTGTACTGCCAAATGGTTCTAAACATAATCGTGAAACAGGGGTGAATCCAGGATAAGATAATATAGGGGAGTGGGATTTTGAAAATGCATATAAGGCAGGCATACATTTATTACGAGCTCAATGATGGATTAAGCTAAGAGTATAATGCAGCCAAAAGTATATTAGAGAGTAAATAGGGGGGGGAGCAATCGCCCTTATCGTCCACCTTTTGAATCCACCGCTGTCCTGAAATACCCTAAAATAGGGTAAATGAACTTATAAGTAATTACAATTTTAATGATGGAATTGTTGATCGTTTTGGAAGAGAAACAAGATAATTACCATTTAATTTTGAGAATAATCTATAATTAACTCATATTATTATAATATGTAACCTATGTAATACAAAATAATATTGAATTTTTAAAAAATATAGATACATATATTATGAAGTATTTTATGTTTATTTTATTTATCATAAGGCATATTTAGACACGTAATATATATATAGTATTTTTATATTATGTTTTACAGTACTTGCCCCCCCCTAGACAAATTTCTGTGGGCGCCTTTGGAGCTATGTATTTCTTAGAAGTTAATTTTATTAGCCTTCGTTAAAAATGTAGTTGTTTACTGTTCACTGTTCAGTGTGTACTTTGTGTGTGAATAGTATTTATATATTTATTATTTAAAACCATATTATTTCCAATTTTGTTATTGACATACACCCTAAATTAAATACTAAATAGGTAATATTATTTATAAAACTGTTCTATTATAAGTCATAACAAGTATTTCTGATTTCATAAATAATTAATTTTATTTCTGTAATGATAATATCATATTGATATTATATTATTATATTTAATTATAAATATTATTATAATTTGTTAGATATATATTATCATTGATTAGGTATATACAGAGTGATCAATTTATTATAAGACACTTATTATCTCGAAAAGTATTAATTTTTTTTAAAATTTATTGTATAGAATATTTAAGAAACAATCAGCTCTAAAATTTTACATTTGTTTTTTTTTATCAATTTTATATTTGGGATTAAAACCACTACCTACTTTTGATTTTCAAATGGCATCCTATATTAAAAATTCCATAATATATAGAGTATTATTTGACATAAATGTTGGTATTGAAATTTTTGTTTTCTATTAATCCAGTCACGTAATTTTTAGTCAGGGGATAGCAGTAAATTGCCATAAACACACGAAAATATGGATTATATTTGTATACATTATTGTTGCATGCAAAATAGCGAAACAATTAAGCACATTTATTTATAATATCAGAATTTGATTTCAGACGATAATATTTACTTTTTTAAAAAATATTAATTATTATGTATACAGAACACTTATATTTGCTTTTTTTTAACGTGGTAAAATGTTTAAAACGTTTGAGCTTTGAGCTATTTATAGATAGTTTTATTCTACGAGTTTTTTACATAATTTTTATTCGGTAGGTACTTTATGAATAAAATTGTTAAACTAAACAAAAATGCTTGAAAATTTAACAAGTAGTTCATTATATGTCATACTTTGTGGTTTAAAAAATAAAAATTTAATTTATAATGTAGTACCTACCTATTTTAGATTCTGAGTTTAGCAAAGAATGTATTGGTTTTACAAAGATGTTTATTTTTTTAAATTGTTTTTATGTGAACACTTTTTCTATTAGAAAGCCTACTTTTATTATCAAATATAGCACCTCTTTTGAAAGATAATGTTTTCTGTATGGTACTTTAGAGAGGTCATTTTTTGAAATTCTTATTAATATTCAAGATAATGAGTAAAACCTAGTTCTTTGTAGGTTAAAAAAGATTGAAAGATTAAAAATAAAAATAAGGTTGTCATTAACAACCGTTTTTATTTATTTTTTGTTATTATGAAGTTTTTATTATTTTAATCTATTTTAAACAATCGTTGTACTCATGGGACCGCAAATTGTTGTAATAATTTTACCATCATATGACATTATATATTGTTGACAAAGCAACACTATCAACTGAACTCCGTTCAGAATCGTTTTTTCGTTAGCAATGATTAATTGTTGCGTACAGATATAAATTAAATTCCCTTCTATATCCTAAATTCCCAATTTTTTACTTATAACAATGGTAGACCGCACATTAGTGAAATATATTGAAGCTAACCTTAGAGTAATAAAACTGTAGAGACTGTTTGCATGAATCATTAATATGATACTAAAGCAAAATTAAACGCCATTGTACACCTCGTACAACTCTAGTAAACGCTAGATGGCGTTGTTGGCAGTATAATAGAATGATAATAAATACCCAGGTACTTGATTATTCATTCTCAATTCTCATATTAACTGTTATAACTCATAAACAGTAAATCTGATATTAGTGTTGTGCATATCAAAATTTCTAGGAAAATATTCTGTATTTAAATCTATGTTCAAAAAGGTAGGTTCCTATTTTAATTTATGTACTTTTATAAGGTATGTGGAGTAGGGGAAAAAATTAAAAATGGTTTTAAAATAAAGCTTAAGCAATTCCATAATGGTCAGAAAAAACAGAAATATAAATCACTTAAAATTTTCTGAGATAATTGCTGGCTTATAATAAAAAAATCACCTTATATTATATATCTGTGGGTAATACTAATAAAACCCTTGTGTTTAATCCTATAACTTTAAACTTTAAATTATGAAGGGAGGGTCGAATTTTTGTTGACGCTTGATTTTAAAAAAAAATTTAGGGGGTTAGCTTGTCCACAAGTTTTAACCCATACCCCAAAAAAATTCACCGATTATAAATATTTCTGCTAAAATTATTTTACAAGTTAAAGATTACCACTTTGCTCATTGTTTAGTAGTCATATTTACGGGGGGTTGGTATTGAAAGTTTCTCCATCCGAATGTACATAACTTCTATAATATTGGTGGATTTTTCTGTATTTATTGTGCAAATTTACCCCCAATCGAGTTAAGTACTAAAATTGCAAGGTTGTGGTGGTGATATGTTCGGTGGTGAGGTGACAGCATAATGGCGGCATTGGGATAACCGGGTCTGATAATCCGGAATGTATATTATCAGAAAATTAAAAATAACAATGATTCCTAAATTGATTGAATTTTTATTCAATAATGAGAGCTTATGAGACAGTTTACACTACCAATTACAAATAAAGACATGAATTTGAAATACATAATATTATAGATATCTTGTATTGAATCATGGTATACGTGCGTACGTGCTTACAGTTGTGTATAACTAGTATCGATTTTAACCGCTAGTTGCGCGTACAGTTGGTATATAATCGTATATGAGGTTTTTTCTATAGTTCTTTGGACAAACATAATATTATCTTAAATCGTACCATTGATTTTATTTTATTTTGTTTATTATATAATCAATACTATAGTCTAACCTATCTCCTAATATATCTACATTTATGATTTACAGTCTGAAAATTGTGTATTTATATTTTAGTTGTACATAATACCTTTACTAATAATCTATTATTACAGGTATCCGTGTTTATTATTGATTTTATCATTAAGTAATTTTCATATTTCCTAAAAGCACTGCAACTAAAATAATGTGAGTACTTAAAACACTACCTATATAATTATGTTAAACTTTTTTTAATAATTTTAAGTTTTTTTTCTCTTATAAATATGAATTATTTATTTAGATTATGTTATTAATTGTAATGTTCTAGCTTTGCTTAAGAATTCTGTCATTGATATATAACATCCTCCAAAAATTCGTTTTCCTGTAAAAGATGTTCTGCCATGTAACATTCTCCAATTGTTATAGATTACTACAGTTCCTGGTTGTAAATAATGTTTCCAACACATTTCTTCTCTTTCTAATATTTCAACCAAGTGGGCATAACTTTCATAAAATTCATTGCTATGTGATGGTGGTAGTGGACTGCGGTCATATATATTGAATCTAATAGACATTTTCAATGTAATTATTTTTCTTTTCTGAATTCATTTATATTGTTTTTAACAATTAAAGACAAAAAAAGAGACTATTTACCTTATTTGATATACTTCATTTGTTGTACGGTCAATTTTTATTACAGGCCCAGCCCACTTACAATGAACACCAGGTTCTATATATTCAGATTCTATTTCAATTTCAGTGAGATTTTTAAAATGCATTGGACTTTCTTGTTTCAGTATTTCTGCTACTTTAAAACCATCAATTACAATACTTAAACCTCCTTTACCTTTAGTATCCCTTTCTAGCATATGAAATACTTGCAGTCTGAGATACAAAATTTAATTTGTTTCTATTTAAACAAGTTTCAAAAAAAGTTTTTGTTATTTAATATTATTATTACCCTGTACTTTCACAGAAATATGTGTTATCATTATGTACTATTAATGGACCATTTAAATATGCTGGATCTTTATGACTTTCGTTTTTTCCAACTGTCCACATAGTTCCAAATATAGTTTGTTGGGGTTGTGCTATGAATCTAGCTAATTTTTCTGTTGCTTCCAATGTTGGGTTTACCTATAGATAATAATGTACATTAATTATTTTAAATATTGTTATAAATTAATTGGTTTTAGTATTCATTTAACAGTGATGTGCAGGGTTCGGATTTTATAGCATTTGCTAATTATTGTTATAAATTATAGATAAAAAAAAGCAGAGCGAGTTTTAATTTTGTTTTATGCACCAGGATCTTCAAATATAAAATTGTATATTGCTATATCTAAAGTATTTTAGATTTTTAATGCTATTTTTTAAGTTTTGGTGCTGGTGTTTGGTTACATTTATAATATAATGATTTATTTTGTATTTTTTTATAAATAATAGATAATATCTAGTCAATTTTGTAAATTCAAAAGAAAAATACCCATATATTTATTTCATATTATAATATATTTCTAAGTTACCCAGTGAATCATTGACCCATCAAACAGTACACATTTATGACTTCTTGTTGGTTGTATTTAGATATTTTAATATTATAAAAAAAAAAAAAACATTTTCTTTTTTGCTGTTTTTCATGTTTTCGTAGAATGTTATAGCGCTTATTTTAAAAATTGGTTTAGTTATACATATTTCGGTTATTTTTACTGTTATAAAATCTGAGCCCTGGTGATATATGTTATAGATGTTATAGTCAATATCATATTAGTTCCAAAGCATCGGTTTACACCACTATATGTAAATTATTATAGTATACTACTACATTTTTGAAACCACCTATCTGTTAACTAAATTGGTTCAATTAAAAGTACCTTTTTTTTCTACATAGTATCTGTACTTACATTTGTAACAATTCCTATACCATATTTTAAAATCGATTTTATCAGTTCCTTTTGAGCAAATTCTTGGGTCAGATCATTATAACATATTTTAGCAGGCAATTTCATGATTTCTTCACCAAGACATGTATATGGTTCAATTTTAATTTTATTTCCTGTCCACATATCAATAACCCACTCTGTGGGATATATGGATTTATGTCCATCAGACCCTACAATGAAAAAAAAGAAAATATTATTGTGTATCTAATAAAATTTTATCTAAAAATTCCATTAAATTATTTATAATAAAAGTCATTCTAACATTCAATACATAAATTGTTATCTTCATGTATATAATCTTTGATTTTAATTTTAATTGTTTTGAGAAATTGTTGAATAGTTGTCTTTCTATTATTATTATCACGATCATAACATTCTGAACATCTAAATAAAAATAGTATATTAAGTAGGTAAGTATATTCATAAAATTATATTTTGTATTTAAAGTATCAATGTGATTTTTAATAATACCTACCTGCAGTTGTCTCGTAGCCAAATTATATTGATTGAAATATTTTTGCTGGCAACTTTTAATTGAATTGACATTTTTTATATTCACTCACTTAGATAATTATTAAGGTTAATTAACAATTTTGACACAAAAAATTAGTTTTAATCGATTTCCTTAAAAGTGTAAATAATTTTAATATCTTACTGCATATATTAATATTGTATTATGTACCTACTTTGTTAAAGTGAAACAGATAAATACATTATAATGCAAATAGATCATTTAACTGTAGGTATCTATGTTATATTTTAATAATTTAATTTTATAACTTATATTTTTATCTAAAAACCTCATATACATATTTAAAAATTAATTAGGTTCTAAGGTTAAATTATTTTTGTTAAATATTATATAGTTATAGATAAACAATAAATTAGTTACCTAAGCTTATTTTAATAATATTCTTTTTTATTCTGATTATGGTTTAAAGTAAAATAATGGTTTATACCTAATATGTTTATAATGTATATATATATATTTAATTTTTAATAGTTAGTAGTTGTACGTGACCTAATAATTTTACAATAACATTTTCATTCATCAATGTTTAATAATTAATAGCATAATATATTTATATATCTTGTGTTTAATGATTTTATTTTTGTATTTGAGAAACAATGAAATAGAGGTTAACTATAATGGTGTTTTATAGAAATAATATTATAATATTAATGTTATTTTAACTTATTATTTCAGAAAATTATATTTACTTATTTGTTTAAAGTAAAAATTAATTGGTATTTAATATTAAGCAAATAGTTTTTTATTATTAATAAAAATGGTTTATAGTACGGGTTACTAACTAGTTTTCATGGTGTCCGTTTTGAAATTTACCAAATTGAACACAGTTCATAACACATGCATTCTGTTCTGTTTACACATTTAAAAATACACATTTTTTTTTAATATTCATCTACCAAATATCAATTGTTTTATAACTCTAGTTTAAAATATTCACTGCTGATCAATTTTGTGTATCCATTCTCCGATGCTGGTTAAAAATTACGTTTTTTTGAATGACTGAAATTTTTTTTAAATTTAAGATATAAATTTTTCACACATATACAGAATTATACAATGCTGATGAAAGAAACCTAATGCTGATCAAATTAAAACCAATTGAAAATAATTGTATAAATGACACCTTAAGGCGTCATCTGAAACGAATGTGTTAAGTACAATTTTAGAAATTTTAATTATTTTAATTTTAAGAGTTAGTAATATTTAATGTGAATAATTAAATTTTTGAATGGGTTGCTTAATGTTTAGAGTGAAGTTTGTGTTACTGATTTTCATTAAGTTATTAAGATTACCATTTATTAATCAAGATATGAAATTATTTTTATAAAGTTCATGTTTGATACAGCAGTTTCATACACATACGTCTAAGTCTACAAACTAAGTTACACAGTTTTTTAATCATGTTTTTAGTTGTGAATATTTACTTGAGCAAACAAATTTCATCCAAAACTGATCACAATACTGTAAAGCGTTCGGGACTTCAATACATTTTTCCTTTAAATCTAAGTTTCCCCAAAACTTTACCATTTCCATCTGCAAAGTAACTTTATTAAAACAAACAAATGTTTGTGGCTTTACTATTCTAATTACCGTTGGAATGTAAAGAAAAACAATTGATCAAAATATTTCCTGCTTTTTCAATTTTTGAAATAAGCAAATCTAACTTCAAATTTATATTTAAGTTTTATGAAGATTAATAAATTGGCTAATGTCAATTCATTCCTCAATTTCTTATTATAGAAATATAGATTATTTTCCATTACTTACATAATTTAAATTTTATATAACATATTTCGTTTTTATATTATTAAAATATAAAAACTACTTTATGCATAAAGGTCCATAAAAAAAGGTGTTTTTGGTCCGCGGTTTGCCATTTGGCGACTCTTGATTTGTAGCTTAGAATAACAGATTATGTTGGTCAAAGTTGTTTCAGGTGAAAGTATACTGCTATATGTGACATTAACATATTTGTAATACTTAATGTTCACCATTAACAATAAACCAGTCTATTTTCTCTGCAAATATAATTTTTAAGCCTAATTATTTAAAAAATTATGTAAACTAAAATATAAATCTTTCATCTACATTAAGAGTTATTTATTTTTATTGTCACTAGAAGTTTTATGCAAGTACTCAAAACAGTCATGCTTCATATCAAGTGTCGAAACAGTATTTATCCTAGAACTGATGGAAAAATTATTCGTTTCCATGTACCAGATGATAAAGTTAACTGGAATTCTTCATACTCAATGTATAATCCACCGACTTTTACATCAACATCAGTCATTGGTCAACCATGGGCTGATCTTGATTTGAGTACATTAGAATTTAATCCTAATTGGAATTCCATTGATGGTAATATTAATAGGATTAGTTTAACTGGAAAGTATGAAGTAAAAAATGGCTATCCTCTGAACCCCTGTGGCCGAACTGGTCTAATTGGTCGAGGAGTTTTAGGACGTTGGGGTCCAAACCATGCTGCTGATCCAATCGTTACTCGCTGGAAAAAATGTAATTCTGAAAATGAACATATATTTCATGAAGATACAAATAAACCTATTCTTCAATTTGTTGCTATTCAGAGAAAAGATTCAGGTGATTGGGCATTACCTGGGGGTATGGTTGATTCCAATGAACTAGTTGCAACTACTTTAAAAAGAGAATTTATGGAAGAAGCAATGAATATGCTTGAAAAATCTAAAATAGATGCTGTAAAAATAGAAAAAGAAATTGAAGATGTATTTAAGGAAGGTATAGAAATTTATCGTGGATATGTTGATGATCCTAGAAACACTGATAATGCTTGGATGGAGACTATTGCAACTCATTTTCATGACAACAAAGGAGATAACGTAGGAATATTAAAACTTAATGCAGGAGATGACGCAGTTGGAGTTAAATGGGTAGATTTAGATAAGAATCTAAAACTATATGCCAATCATTTAATATTTTTAGACAACATTTCTAAAAGACTAAAATGTCATTGGTAATTAATTAAGGTTATTTTTTGTAAAAGTTAAACTTGATTGTAATTTTAAGTAACCAAATTACATTTTTAGTTTTATAAAGCAAAATATATAAATTGTCGATCCAATAATTAGTTACAAAAAGTATGTCTTATGAAAATTTAGGTTATCTTAAGTTTTATATGTCTTATATAAGATAATATTGTTAATTAATTATTAAAATTTATGTTATTATAATTGTAATATAATATATAATTATGATTGTATATTAAGTACCTATGTTAATTTGGTAATCATTTAAAACTATATACATGTGTAATTAAAATAATGTTTTCAAAATTGCTCGAAATAAATTTTATATCATTTTAAATGTTTCTAATGTAACTAATCTTTTATCTAGTGGTGATATTAATTGGGAGCTATTTTACCATCTATAGAGTATTTCAGTGTTCGATTCTATAACATTAAAAAATATTTCTGTATAAAGCCACACCCTTTTTATGTTTAGTTTTTCAGTATTATATAATGTATTTGTTTAGATAATTGTAGGATCTAGTATAACTTACAAATAAGTAAATTCCAATAAAAACAGTAGACGGTGATCAAACATATTTTATCTTTGAGTGTATTATGATATCTAGTTTAAATAAATTACTAATTTGATTTTCTATGAATATAAAATAACGTATACAATTCTAGAAAAGTATGTATCTAAAATTGTAGAGAATAATTTTTGAAAAAAGTAAATTCTTTTTAAAATAAAGAGTGTTTAACAATAAAAGAATGTATTTAATACACAATCTGTTAATTAATTATTAAAATAAGTCTGAGTAGACAGATTTTAAAGACAGGAACAGATAAAATAATTCAGTAATCAGTAGTGAATATTATGTATTTTAAATTATAATGGAAAACCATGCATATTATTACCTAAGATTTTATAGATTTAAATAAGGTTTCATTGTAACTTGATTTTGGAAAAAGTCATCATTAGATAATAATGCAAATAACTAATATATATATATTTGTTATGATTAATGTTGTAAAATTGATAAATGTATATTTATACTTTTAGATTTTGAGTAGAGCAAGGAATGTATTGGTTTTACAATGTTTTTTATTTTTTTTTTGTGGATAACTCGTTTAATGAAAATTACTCTGATTTACAATAATAGCACTTTATCTGAAAGAAAATATGATTAAATGGTATTTTAGAAAGGTTATTTTTTGATTTTCCCAAGAGTTTTCAAAAAACATGGGAAAAAACAGGATAATAGGTACAATATAAAGCAAATATTATTAAAGAAAATGTATAATGCATATGTTATTATTTTGCCATAATAGTCATATATATTTTTATTTAATTTTATTATATTATTGACAAAGCAACACTATCAACTGAACTCCGCTCAGAATTGTTTTTTGTTATCAATTTTCATTGTTAGCAATTTATCATTGCTTATATTAAATTTCCCCTCTACTACCTTCCTAACTTCTCACTTATAAAAGTAGCTGCATGAATCCTCATTATTCTAGGACAACTTTTTGTATATGAAAATTGTATATTGAATAATTTTGTGTTGTTAGTTTTAATATTAGTCTATTGACCATTATTAAACTTAAATGTCAGAACATAGTAAGTTTTGTTTATTAGTATTTTAATATTTTAATTTTTAGCTACTTACAATTATATGAATTATTGTAATTTAAAAATTAAAAGATTAATTAAAAAATAAAAAAAAAAAATCATCATATGAACAGTGTTCTTGCTTTTAAGTTTAATAAATAGGCGAATACACTTTTTTTTTTTAAAATTAAAAACATTAAATTGGTTAGTGTGTATATATATTTATTTTAAAAAAATCCATGATAATATATAATTTCAGATTCTGTGTATTATAAAACATAAAATATGGCCGAATTTCTAAGTAAAAAAAATACAAACAAACCTAAAAAACCAGAATACTTCTTGGAACCAGATTCTGAAGGTAGAGTTACCTGTATTTTATTTATGTATTTAACTAATGATAACAAATTTATAAAGTAATTAAAAAATATTGTTAATTGTAGATTTTTCTGTACCTGATTATAAAAATGATGATGATTTTGATGAAGCCTTTAAACATTTATTACTTCCTATTGAATTTATTTCAAAAACAAACAATTTTGAACATCATCAATGTGATTTGTCAAAGGTGAAATATAAAGTTAATTTTTCAATAAATATTACTAAAAATTAAAAATAATATTTCTATTCATTTCAGGAATTAGATTCATATTTAAATCATTTAAGAGTATCTGAAGATGAAAGCTCTTCAGTTTTTGTGGAAGCCGCATTAATGTTACAAAATGTAACATTAATTTACCATAAGAAAGTTGATCAAATAGTTGATGACATGATGAAACTTGTTGGAAAATTTCAATCATAGTAAGTTGTGTATTATTACTTTTAATCAAGTTACTATAGCTCAACAATTAGTTTTTCTGTTCATGAAATACATATATATAATTATATAATATATGCTTTAAGGTTTTTAAGATAAGCGCTTATCCTGAAAAAATTTAAAAGTAATACAATTTACAGGATAACCATTATAGTTTTAGATATTTTTCTAATAAATATCACTTAAAAAAACAAAATATTAGACGATGTTCGATTAGTGTAAAAATATTAAATAAAAATAAAACAAATTCAAAAATAAACCCCCTGATTATTATATTTGTAAGATTTGTTTTAGTTTTTTAAATGTTATGGAAATCTGTTGGGAATCTTGACATATTTTACAATTTTGGTTAATTGGGTGTAAAATTTGTATTTTATAAAGTATAATGCAAATAATTTGGAACCTTCTTAGTTTTTACTAACCAAAACTGTTTTCCTAAAAATTAAAAACCACATCATGGTAAAATTACTAGTTTTTTTCATGACACTTGTAATCTAAAATTTAAAAAAAGAACCTAAAAATTAAAATTAGCTTATAAAAAATGAATGAAAAGTACTTTTGAAAAAATGTTAACTCCACAATCCATATGGCAAAATAAATACTTTGAATGGATGCGAGCTGATGGAGGTTAATCAAATTTACTTAGAAACATATTTTCTTTATAATGATTTATCATTGCATTCAGTAATTTAATTAAACTATACCATACTTATATGCTATCTTTCCAAATTCTCACCTATAACATCAAACGAAAAATATAATTTATCACTGTACAAGGATTATAAGGATAATACAGAGTGTCCCACGGTGTGTTCTACGGATACCCGGATACTATAGTATGTATAGTTCCTGAATACAAACATACTATTCGTAGATTTTAGACAAGCATAAGACTCAGTTAAATGAGAAGCCATATAGAAATACCTAGAACTGTTTGGTATACCAGTCAAGTTAAGAAGAATAATCAGAATGTGTGTAGAAACAACTAGATGTAAAGTTCGATTTGGACAAGCACATTCTGAAGTTTTAAATCACAATTGGACTAAAGCAAGGAGAAGCACTATCTCCTATACATTTAAATATGGCCCTAGATGTGATAGCTTGAAGCATAGATACTAAATATAAAGTAATTGACGTCGGAAAATCAGTGTCAAACCTATCATATGCCAATGATATTGTGGTACTTGGGGAAACTGAAGACGATGAAAAACTAGCAACAGAAGAATTAATACGAAGCGCAAATAGGATTTGAAATAAACAAAAATAAAACCAAGTATATGTGCATTATAAGAGAGCAACTATAAATATATAGATCGGAAATTACAAATTTAAAAAATACATAGTTTTAAATATCTAGATATTAGTTTACTAATATGAGGTGTAGAGAAAATATTGACATGCATGATAAAGATTTTTTTTTTAAATATTTACTTACCTATACCTTATACCCCCTACTATAACATCCCTTATAACCTATATTGTTTACAATTTAAGATTTGTATAAATATTAAATAATGATAATTCATCAATATTCTTAATGTAAATATTGTTTATACAAGTCGGGCAAACACCAATGAGATTGATGAGGCAGCAGAAAAAGTGGAAGGTAACAAAAAGAAAAAAGTTGAGAAAAAAAAAAAAATTTATTCTTCTTTTGAACCAATTGAAGTACAACTTTACAACCCATGTAAGTATACATCATTGTTATTAACTAACCATTAACAACTGTTACAGATATAATTTTATCGAAATTATTAGTTTCTCGCATTAGGTAATTAATTAAATAATTTCAGAGATTAATTTGGAATAAATGGGGGAGGGGAAATTTTCCCATTGCTTTTTTTACAAAGAAAAATTAATAATAAAATAAATTGCACAGGCGACAGGAAAGAGAAAATTTGGTATAAGTTAAAAATAGGCTTGAGTTGTAGAGTTGTGTAAGACTTGATAGAGGAGGATTAAGGATAAGTAGATTTTTGGTGGAATAGAACAAAACAGCTAACAATAAACGGCTATAGGCATGATTGAGAGTTTTAAATATTTAGTATCTTTTGTACAAAAGAACGGTGACGTGTAGGGGATGTAAAGTATAAGATTAAATGTGGTTGGAGAAAGTAGAGAGAGAAACCCCTGGTGTTTTATGTAACAATAAAATTCCAATGAGGATTAAATGTAAGTTCTACAAGAGTGTGATGAGACCGGCTATGTTATATGGTTTGGAATCTTAGTCAGTAAACAGAAAAATAGAACAAAAAATGAGTTTACCAGAGTTGAGAATGCTTAGTTGAAGAATGAGTAGAATGATGAGATAAGATAAGAGATGAGTACATAAAAGGTAACTTGGGGCGTGATTTGATAATATACAATATAAAAAAATAATAAAATGGTTTGGGGCACAAGTCACGGGGAGAGAAGAATCTGAAGAAGCAGTAAGAATTGTAATGAAAATAAACGTAGAGATAGAGAGGAAGACCGAAAAAATGTGTTTGGATGCAATTGAGAATTATCCGCCGGCTGTATGTGAGGTTGGGATGTCTGATCAATTGGAAGTATAAAACGAGGGTATCCAACCCCAAATAGTTAGGATGAACTGTTTGAGTTATTTCAAGCTAATTAAAAATATTTAGTATTTCTAGTTTTTTTTTTAGTTTTATATGAATACGATTTTTGGCTTCTCAAAAATGATCAAACATTTGATATAATAAGGTTCATAATTAATTTGTTTTAATAAAAATTAATACAATTTTTAATTATTATTATTATTATTATATTTATATTTTATTATCAAAAAATGTTTAACCATAAATCATTTATATGTGTACAATAATAAACTTAATAATTACTCTATGTATAATTCTACCTTTCCAACATCCCATCTACATCATTGGCTTTCTCATCATCCTAATTCTCATTTTAATGGTCTGTAAATAGTACTCGTTCATACAATTTTTTATGCTTGTAAAATTATAATCATTTTTTTAATTCTGGGAGAGAGTTATGGGGTACATACCCCTGTATTCTATGAGTACAAACTCGATGTATATAATATTATGCATATAAAGGTTATGTTAGCAAAAATTGCCAAATTAAAACACATTAAAGTGTAGATAAAATATGAGAATTCATTTTTTTATATCTCTAATCTATTATTATGTACATATTATTCAAATTGTTATCAATTTTTAATTGCTAATGTTATAAACTTTTTTTATATGGTTTTGTTTATTATTTAGTACAAAAATTTGACTGCAAGGATATAAACCTGAGTACATTGCCACCAATACCAAGAATAGTACTCAACACTAATATAAAAGTTACTAATAAGTACAATAAAGCCTTGCCCTATATTAATAATGGAAATGGAGGAAACATTGGGAAGAAATATGACTTTATGTATGAATTTCATAAATATTTTAATGTTTTGTTATTTTATTGTTATTATTGCTACTTACAGCCTAAATCTTCCTTTAAACCGTGATTTGGCCTTAAGTGAAGAATTTTATCGCCCTATCAATGGAAATCATAAATCTATGAATTATATAAAGAGCACTGATCTAGTAAATATTTTTATTAACAGTTAGTTAAACATTTTAATTTTAATTTAATACTATTATAATGTTTAGGCATCAATGAATTTAATGGATGTTGATGATGCCAATACTAATGGCACAAATCAAAATACTTCTGATCGTCCCGATCCAGTAATTTTTGATGAGACTCTCATGAATGAAGTTTGTTCTGCCAATGCAGTATTACGATTGTATGTAAATACAATTTATCATAATAAAAACTAGTTTTATATGATAAGAATTATTTTACAGGCCACCAAATATTCTAGATATTAGCCAAATTTGTGATGAAAACATTTATAATAGTAAACCATGGTTTTCCGTTGAAAATAAAAAGGATAATTTTTATCTTGATAAACCTACTGTAAAAAAAAAAATTGTCATAAGAGAAGAAGTATGTATTATTCCTTGCTTGTACTGTTAACTTAAAACTAGTTGAAGCAGTGGTTTAATTAATGTGTTAAAGATACTTTTTAAACTTTAAAGAGTTTTAATTTGTACTCAATTTCTAGAAAAGTAATGTATTCTATTTACCGTCATATACATTTGATGGATTGTATGGTAAATCATTGAAGTTGAAATTGGAATTAATTATTACTGTTTATCTTGGACCTAATTTGCCATTAGGAGATTTAATATTCGATGGTTATGGTAAAAAGAAACAAGAAAATCCTACTACTAAAATACAAAAGACTGGTAAGTTTTATAAGAGCATCTTGTAGTTTTTATTCTAAACTATTGTGAACAAAAAAGTTATAGCCATGCTAATCTCTATTTAAGTGGCATATCTTTAAAGGGTGTTGTTTGTTATTATGCCTACCTTTCTTCATTTTACAGTACAAAGAAAAGTTCAAAAATTTGTATCTTTACTAAATTGCTTTTGATCCTTCTTTGAATAATTAATTTTAAAACATTAATTTAAGCTCATCTCATCGTAAATAACAAAATATAATTTCATGGTCGCCATTAAGTTAGACTGACAGTAAATGTGGTTGTAATGCTCCTCAAATAAATTATGAAATTGTTAAAAGATTTTCAATAATAATACTTTTTTTTTTTTTTAGATGATGTTAAGGAAACTGAAGAACAATTAAATAATGGTATGTTATAAATAAAAGTTTAAAATTCATTAACAATTTCATTTCTTTAGTTTAGTGTTAAGGTTAACCTAAAAAATATTCTGACATTTTAGATTATGAACACAGTCGGAGATATTTTAGTTTAACTATTATGTTTTTTTTTCTTTCTGTAAACAAATCTTGTACCAGAAATCTGGCTTTGATTTTCAAGTATAGTATTTTTTCCGGAAAAAAAAATTGTTTTGTTAATGTGTAGGAAGGTAATTTTTTGATTTTCTAATAATTATGAAAAACTTGGGAAATATCCAGCAATAACTGTATTATTATTTATCAATATTGTAACTGTGTTAAAAATAATCTTAGAGACCTGAACTTTTCTCAGAATACTCATCTCCTCTCCTGGCAATTAATGAGCTATTTAAAGACATTTGACATATAGTTTATTTTATGGATTAAATTGTTTTGGTCAAGCAGAAATACTTAAAAATATAACATGGGATTTATCATATGTATTTTATTATTTTCCTAGATGACTTATAATATTTATGATTACTTATATAGATATTGTACATTTTTAGTGACTCAATGTATTATTTATGGTATTGTAATGATATTCTTAATTTGAGACTATAATTTTTTATTAAAACTTTATAAATAGAATATTTCCAAAAATTATTATTTATTAGATAGTGAATTAAAAATTACAAGTTGGTAAAACAATAAAAGAAAAACAAAATACAATATATTAAATTAAAAAAGCATTATGATTTGAGCGTTATGGGAGTTTTTTGTGAGGATAGTATCCTATTAAAGTATATTTTGTATTACATCCTATTGTACATGAGTAATTCTCATTATATTTCTAGTTTTAAAGTTAAATATTGTATGATATGATATGATGGATGTAGAAAGCTATGAGATTCCAATATAAAATATAAATTATTGTTTTTTATTTATCTAAATACTCATGATTTTTTTGTAAAAGGTTTTAATTTTACTATTATATTTGTTATTTGTTTTTGTAGTAGTCAATATTAATTTTAAATTGATATTCACTTAATAGAATACCTTCTGACTTTCACATTGAATTTTTTTTTTTTCCATGTTCCAATTATAAATATTAAATAATAAAATAAATAATTGTACACGAGTCGTTTTGGTGATATGAAATTTTTTTTATGAACAGACCCAGAACCTGATGCTGAAGAAGATATCCTAACATGTCAAAATAATGATGTTGACATGAGAAGACAAGATGAAGACAATCAAATGGAAATTGTAAGTTGAATTTAGAATTACATTGCTAGAATATAGTTTGTTTTCTTATTTATTTTAGATGGATGATCAACGGGATATGAATAAACGAGTTGAAGCTTGGCATAATAACTTACGCCTAATTTTAAAAGAAGAAGAAGAAAGAACTGAGTTTGATGTACACTTATATGGTACATACATTTTAAATTGTTTCAGCCATGTAGGCGAAAAAAGGTCATTTAAGGAGTTGGTTCAAGGAATGAACAGTATCGAAATTCCTCGATATTTTTTATCAGTTTTAATGATGGTAAGTAATATATAATTTAATTTTTAATTATTATTTAAATGTTACTTTTATTTTATTTAGGCTAATACATCTAATTTGAAGATAATTAATTCTGATGATGAAATATTTATAACACTATTAAAAAAAGAAAGACATCATGAAGAACTCCAAGTAAATATTGGTAATCAAATAAACCAAGACTGAATCTAATGAATACTATTAACATATTTATTTATATGACTTAGTTGATGATTTAATTTTTTAATTTTAATCTTAGTCTCATTCAATATTCTTACAGAAAAATGTATAATTTAAATTAAGCCTTTATACATTATAAGTTCGAGAACTTAGAATTTGAAACAGATGTTTTAAATTGGCTAGTTAAATTAACATTATATTATAGTATGTAGTTGTTTTTTCTTAGAAAAAAAAAAAAAGGATTTAATAAATAATTTAATTTTGTCTTGGGTCCCTGACACTGTACTTAAGCAGGACTCGTTCTCTTTATCAACTAGATAATTATAATTATAAACCAGAAATGACTAGTGATCAACAAATATACTACTGACGCTACATATTTTCATAAAATAACTATAACTTAATGAGTTAGACTATAAAATTAGTTCATTAAAAATGTGCTTGCCTCATATTACATTAATTTGTTTAGTGTACGTAGCATAGTTGTAGATCCTATCTGGATGGTTATATTGCACTTTTTATCTAAATTATATATATATATTATAAATTTATAAATTATATATATTAAAACAAGTTGTTTAAAAAAAATGTAAATAATCATTTCATTTATGTCAAAGAAATATACACTATGCTTAAATAAGCCATTATAAAATTTAACTTAAATGTCATCCAGTACTCAAGTTGAACACCTATTAAGCTATTTTTTTCCTAGAAACTAAATATTTATGCAACAATTTTTGGAAGACTTTATTAAAATTAAATAGATTTAGACATACAATGATAAGAATAAACTAATTAATTTAAGGTAAATTAAAAATAAATATTTGGATTTTATTTTTATCCATGTAACTTTTATTCCTTTTATCTTTGATTCAACTAAGTTAATATTTTAACTTTAAATAGTTAGAAAATTTGACTAACCTGCCCAGACTTATTTATCAGTGACAAAATTTACTAATATTGTGGAACCAGTTTTACCTATGTAAATAAGACAATTATAATTTTTTGATGACTAGTCTAATTATTAACTGTCTGATTTCTTGATCATATTATAGATATAATTAATATAAAAATATAACAAATTATTATTTATTATTAAGTTGTACATGTATTTAAAATAACGATTTAAAACTAGACTGTAATCATTTTTCGTAAAATATAAAAGATGCTATTTAAATAGGTACCTATATTTATCTTAAAATTATAAATGTGCATTTTCAACATGGTTTTGCTCTTTAAGTAATAAAATAATTTATTTTAACCCTATATTATATTTGACATTGAACCCAGGATATTAGATAATTCAGATAATAGTGTTGAAAGTTAGAAGATAATCTGATAAGTGAGACTTGGGTTTAATACACAATCCTAACTTTTGTTAATTTTTAGATGAAAACTGTCGTATCATTTTAAAATTGTTAAACAGTGGTTTATTTTCAAGTAAACATTTATGTGTGACTTTATTATAATGTATTTATTTGTTTTGATAATATAGTAAATAATTAGTTATCATTCCAAATAAATGAGTTTCACACCAGAAATTTAGGTAAATTGAAATTATAATGTTTACTAATCTATTCATTATAAGAAACAAGCCTCCTAAATATTTATTATTTAAAATCAGACTGCAGAAACAAAAAAAAAAAAAAAATAGAAATAATATTAACTACAAAAATTTAGTTTTGGAAAAAGCAGTCTTAGACTGATGTTGAAAGACAACTTTAAGTTTCAGCAGTGTAGACTGCTTTATTTCGTATTTCGTCACATTTCGTATTATTTCTAATTTTTTTGTACACTATCAGATTTTGTATGTACACCAATATTATCACATAATTTGAGCAATATAAACATAATCTTCAATTTCTGTTGAGAATTCGAGTGATGTTTATTAATGATGTAGGAAATCTAGGTATAAGTGACCAACCCAAATTAGGAAAGAAGAAAAGAGTGATCATTAGAATATAGGAATCGGAATTCCAAAAAATATATACCATGACAAAGAGTACTTGATGTTTCTACAGTTCAGCTCAAATTAAAAAACTTAATAACCTACTTAGGCAATAAAACAATATTTTTCAAAAAATAAATATTTTGTATGGTTTTCATTGAAAAACAATTTTTCAGTTAGAAAAATATTACAAACAAAATTATTAAAGTAAATGATAGTTTTTTCTATTAAGTATTAACAAATGTAAAATTGTATGAAAGACTAGATATATATCAGCAATATGAGTGCACACAAGTAGTATGATATTTTTAACAATAGGAGTATGAAATAATATTTCTTACTGACTAATTATTCCAAACATTTGATAGTTATATCTTTATATTATATATTTATTATGTTAGTTTAAGCCACAAAATATAACAATGTTTTACCAAATAAAAGAAAAATTAATTCATAAAATAAAAATATTGAAATTTGGAAATGTGTGATTATATCTCAATATATTTATTTTTCTTTATGATTGATAAATACTAAGATGAAAATATACGCAGACTTCATAAGAATTAATCTATGAAACTCTGTTCTACACATGCCTTCACTCTTTTTTCATATTCACGCCGATTTTCCTTGTATAACTGAGCGGCCATTGAATTGGCTGGTGAATTTGGATTTGGATCACTTAATAAAGACTAATAAACAAATAATTAGTGTTAAAATAATAAGAAAAAATTATCTAATTTATTAAATGCTTTTTTTGGGGATAGATATATTTTGACAAATGAGTAAATCAAATTTTTTTGATTTATTATTATATAGAATAATGATGTAACCAAAATGTAAAACTTAAAAATATAGTTATGTATAGTAGTCAATATTAAATGGGTAAAATTTTGTTAACTCTTTTGGTTACTAAAAATATCTAAAGACTATGGATTAACCTTGACCTGATAAAAAGGAGGGTAAATATGATACTGATAGAAGTAGGCCACAGAATAAATGATCAAAAAGAAATCTGTAATGAGATTGTGAGATAGTTTATAGATTTAAATATTTAACACTAAATATACCTATACCTTTAGTTAATATTACATCATATTATGATTGCTTATAAAATAATAAAACGAAACTATTCCATCAAGGGTAAAAAAAACTAAACTAATATATATACCTTGCACTATAAAGATTTACTATTTTGGAGTAATAAAAACATTAACGCTAATATTAAAAGTTTAACAAATTTAATATTTATGGAATACCTGAAGTGTTTATAATACATGAAACAATAATTTCTGATGAATGATAAATAGATAAGACTTTAGAAGTATAACTACCATATTTTGATTTTACTCTTTTGGTATGTCCAAATATATCTATCTAAAAAAAATTATATTCCATGAGTATTTAACCTTTGGGCAGGCACGCCTTTTGATATTATATGTGGGTAGGATGCCTCTCATTATTTTACAACACAATTGTTTACAGCTGTATTTGTAGCTTTTGAATGCTTGTTGCTCAAAGATGTTAAAACTATACAGACTGTGCTTTCTTGTGTTTAAATAAGTAGTATAACAAATAAGCTACATGGATGTATTAACGAAAATTTGCAAATTTTCCAAAATGGCCATTAAGTACTGTTGCGTGCCTGTTCAAAGGTTACTTTTAAAAGCAAAACATATTGCCAAGTAATATGTTTATTAAAAACCATTGTTGATAATCATTAAGTTAGGGCAAGAAATATAAAACTAAAAGTATTAATGGTAAAATAAGGTATTTTAAACAATAAGTGTATTATATAGAAAGATAATTTGTATATACTTGAATTGAAGTTAGTATTGCTGATACGTCATATGTAGGGCTCCACCGATTTTGTAATATATCTAGACATATACCACCATCGGCATATACATTTGGATGAAACATTTTAGACACAAATCTTACTGTAGGCGCTTTATTTGGATATTCTTCAGTGAATTCAATAGTTAGTTTAAATGTACCGTCTTCGAATGGTGTATCATGTGGCCTAAACACAATTTAAACAAACAAATAATAGTTGTTTAACAAATACCAAAATTATAGCTTTACCCAAATATAACAGCATTCCAAATCATAATATTATTGTCTGTCGGTGCTCCACTAACACCAGTTGGTGGATCTTCCTGTAATCTAATATCATATTTTTTTGTGTCAGTATGTAATACAAATATTTACTAGTTCCCCGAGATAAAAATTGTATTTATTTACCTTTTGAAGTCTCTCATCAATCTTCTCCTAGCTGGCGTGGACATTGCTGATTTGTAATCTGTTTTTACTCAATAATTTATAAACGATTGAATACCGACAAAGAATAACACTACCACAGCGATAACACTGTCAACTACGAAAGTTCATTTTATGCAACCTTTTGTTTTACTGAGTCTATTAAAATCACTGCCGTTTTTTCTTTTTAGAATTAATACAAGACTTGGAAATGACCCAAGGTTGTTATTGTCAACTTAGCAGTTTTACTTATCACAAATATAAAGGTTACAGTGTAACAACAAGACAAATCCAAAAAAACTTTTTGATAGTTTCAAGTGGAGCAATGAATGCTAAATAATTTGGTGCGGGAGGCGGGACTTCTACAGTTGTATAACCCTACTCAATCGCGATTTTCATTACAAGATATCATCAAAATCCAATTTCAGGAGATCGGTTACGCCAACCTTAGAAACATGAAAGGTTTATTTTCAATTTCCTATATTCACTAATTTTTTATTTTTTCGGTTTACTTTATTTGAGGCTGAAGGCACTAAACATAGTGAAGTATTAATTTAATATTTAAATATAGATACAGAAATAACGCATTTGGACTGTTAAAATTTATCCGTATTATCTAGGATTTTGTAGGTTGGCATGATCATATTTTATTTTTTTATTATTATCAAGTTCACCATTATCGATTGTTATCAAAATCGGGATTACTGTACCTATAGACCGTATGGCTTATACTAAGTAAATTTTTCTACGGTCGTCTCCTAGAAAGCCGCCGTTATTATGGGGCATATGGAGGGGGCCACTATATTAATAATATATTGGCATATTGTGCACACCGTACGGGCAGTCTCTTATCTTTTGCACCGCATGCCTCATAGCCTAGTTTAAAGACCGAGATCCAGCAGTGGGCACAGTACACTCCGTAGCCCCTTTCATACAAAAATGAAACGTACATTTTATTTATTTCCCTTTCATAATAGTGTCTAATATGAAAAATTAATATTTTATAATTTAAATAATATTAACAATGTATTTTATTTTATTTTAAAATTTTAAAATAAATATTTTAAAAATAAGGGAGGGCGCTTCCCTTGCCTCTTCGGTAAAACCGTCGGTAATTGTGAAAAACAAGGAAAAAACATGGGAAAACAGGAAAATTGGTACAACATTCAAGAAATATTATTAAAAAAAATAAGCTTATTTAATTATTTTACTATAAAATAACATATATATTGTTGATAAACTATCAACTGAACGTCACTCAAATTGTTTTTTCGTAAGCAATGGTTTATTGTTGCTTACAGGTTAAATTATCTATAACAGTGGCTGCACTCGTCCTCATTATCATAAGACTTTTTTTCCTTGCTTGTTTTCAAACTTTTAGAAACCAGTCAGCCTTGCAAACTCTTACATACCTATTTTTAAAAAAAAGTCTATAATAAGTCCAATATCTTTTTATAATTACGCTTAGGAGTTATAGGTCTAGGAAATATGGACGCCGCCATTTGAACGTTGCCGTTTGGACGCCACCATATGGCCGTCACGAAAAAAAAAATAATACAATAAATAGTAATAAAATATACATATAACAAGAATTTTATATATTATAATTGTTATTGCATATTATACAGTAAATAGTAAATACAAACTCTGAAAAACCACATTCTATATCAATACTATGACAATAATATAACAATGCAATTTTGGTATAACAACTCTAATAATAAAAATATAAGTAGTTAACCGGTATCAGTGAATATATTCACATCAATTATAGTTGACCATAGTATTAAACATAGTTTTATTTATTAATTAGGTACCTGCTTATAATTAAGTGTTAACTAGTTTGGAAAATTTTTTTTTCTTTACGTTAAATTTATTTTGATTTTTGTTAGAAACGTTTCTTCATGCGTTTTTCAATATTTTGACAATTTTTCTCATCCCAAAAGTTATGATAGGTCTGGAAAACTGTCGGAAAATTCGAAAGTCAAAAATGTGAAAACAGATTCATTATACATGAAGGTGTACGAACAAAAGTTTCCTAATACGTTTTTCGATTTATCCACATTTATTTTAAATTACTCTGTGTGTGTGTGTGTGAATTTGCGGCTAGTCGGTCGTCGGTAGATACACAAATCGATAATTTGACTGGGATAGGTAAGTATAATATGGTTTATTGATGTGTATATTGGTCACACTGTGTGATTTATACTACAATAGATTTCGGTGATACACATACCTTGTTAAGAACACCATTTCAATGTGATATGGACTTCAGTTTTGTTCGTTTATTTTTCTGCCGTCTCAAAAGCCAGAGTTTAACCGTGCTATATCTAGTATACTAGTTAGTTTAAAATATTGCGTATAATCAAGTGTGCTAGAATTTGTACCATATTCACATCATAATATATATAAAAGGTAATAGAAACTTGCAGCAAAGATAAGAAGAATGATAAGAAAACTCCTTTATCTATGATCATAATACAATATAATCTATTTGTTTATCAATACCATAAACCTAAAAACTAGCTGATCAATACATATTGAATACAAATACATATATATGGTATTTAATATGTATGCACTGAGGTAGATAATGTACACTATAATATACAGTATATATTATCTATCTCAGTGGTGTATTTATGCTTTGAATTAACTTCACTGATAGTGATTTGTGATAACGTCACAGTGTGATAAAGTCACTGCTACTTTATGTATGAGTAACAGGCACTGCTACTTATTGAACCACAGTGAAAAGTAACAGTGATTGCTACTTTTAACATCACTTATGCCCATTTAAGGGAAGCTGTCAAATAGGCAATAGCTAACGTTAAGTTTTTCTGATTTTTCGTGACATTAAGTTGTAAATCAGCAATTAATCAAAATGGCTTTAACTGGTTGTTATGCATTTATAAAGCATATAGTAACTCTTCTCAACATACTTTATTTGGTAAGTAGGTACCTAAATAGTAAACAATTATATTCTAATATATATATTGATATTACTTTTAAGTATAGGTTCTAATTTTTGTATTTATACTTGTAAATAGTGCCATATCCATGTTTATAATTATATATGTGCTTATGACTTGCTAGAAATATAAAAACTAAAATGATTTTGTAATTATAGTGTATTTCCTTTTAAAGATACTACAAAATATTTCTGTCCAATGACTTTGGATTGAAATTTAGCTCATCATTATCCATACATGATTGCAGTCAGCACATTACTCAATTTCGTCAACTTGTTTAAAGTTTTTTTAATAAATTACTTGATTTAAATTGGAAGTTCAACTCATTATCATTTAGTCAATTGTGATTTTTAGTTTGTTTGAAAGGTCAAAATGGCTTAGAAAAAATTTGGATTAGCTTAATCTGTTGTTTAAAATACATGTTACTATTTTATAAAATTCTAGTTGTATAGTGTGCACACTATAAAAACATTAAAAATTTGAAAATTGTCAATAAATGTGTATTTAAATAATCCTAAGCTCTTTCCAAAAACCCCATTTCAATTCGAAGTCACCGGACAGAAATATTTTCTATTACCTTTAGAAGGAAAAATACTATATAATATGAAAATTCTAGTCTAAAAGTCAATATTGTGATTGCAAGGCCATTTTATGGTATTGTCTTAAGTTAATTCTAGAAAGTCTATCTACTTATGAATTAAACAGTATTTTATGATGTTGCATTGGCTACTGAAGGTTTCCTTTTTCTCAGGCAGGTGTATCTTAGATTGATTTCTTCATCAGGTTTGCACATCCATCTTAACCTGTTTAAATTATATTTTAAAATTCCAATTGTCTCTGTGTAAGTTAAAAGTTCTGTAAACGCGCAATTTAAAAACAAAATGTCTAAACATTATTTTTTTAAAAATTGTATTTTAGCCTTTAACAATAGAGATATTGTTGGGATAAATTGATATTAGGAATATTATACTAAAAAAGTGGATGTACCCATTCATATTAATAAATAAATAAAATTATAAAGAAAAACAAATGACGTTACAATCTTAGTTTTAAGTTGATAATAGTTCGATTTGCTTTGATATTAAAATAAAAAGCACAGAGTTTTCCTCGCTGAAATAAAATTGGCCATTTCTCACAGTTGTAAAACAGTGACATTATATGTGTGTATAACTGTTGCTTAACTTACTCACATGAATGAATATTAACTAGTAGTAGTATTAACTGAGTATTAATTAGTATTAACATAGATTTTTATTTTTTTATAAGTACACACATATATATATATATATATATATATATATATATATATATATATATTAAATCTATGGTATTAGCATTATATTGATTGTGATATGGCAAAAGGGTCTAAGCAACACGGCTTCATTATTGGATGGAAAGATATGGGTTTCGTCCATTGCGTGTGCTCAAAAACAGCTGTGATCATTATTTAACAAACAATTTGAATTTTAAGTTAGGGGCATAAATGATACTTTTTATTTTGTCTTCTCAATTATAGGGTCTAAATGATATAATAAGTATTTAATTACAAGCAAAACAGAATTAGTATTTCCATTATCTATAAGTATCTATATAAGTAAAAAAATGTAAAAAGAAATAATTTTTGTTTCAGTCATGCGGCCTACTGTTAATGTTTCTTGCACTATGGATGTTGATTGATCCAACTTTTTCTATAAGTATGGCTCAAGATGAAGCTAGTTACTATGCAGGTGTATATCTTATTCTATTCATTGGAGCATTACTTGTTATTGTCGGATTTCTTGGATGTGCAGCTGCTATTAGTGAATCTCAGTGTTCACTTGTTCTTGTAATACAAACATTTTAATTCTTTATGAATTTTTTAAAATCATAAATTACGTTTTTATTTACAGTATTTTTGCTTATTGCTTACTGTTCTTGTGGCTCAAATATCAGCTGTCATATGGATATATGCAAATAGTGATAAATTAGAAAAATTAGTTCAATACACTGTTAAGAAAACAGTTCAATCAGAATATGGTTTAACTGAAGCCCGCACTGAAACATTTGATGCTATTCAAAGTGGTGTAAGTTGTAACTATTTTCCATTATGTTAATTTGGAAATAATAAATCATTTTAGGTTTAATTTGTTTGGAATTTCTTTAGGTATCTAGTAATAATTTTATCATATTATGACTATTTTCATTAATTAATCTTGTATTTTTCCAAATCATAGTTATTAATTCTTATCAATATTAAACCCAAATAATTAGATTTTTAGTTTAAATCAACATAGTATATTTTAGTTATAGTAATAAATTTATTTGTATATTTTAATAATATTACTCAAACACTACATGAACCTGTGAAACTGGTTTTTTTTGAAAACTGCACTATTCAAAACAATTTATGCACAAATTATATAAAATAGTCTGTATCCAATTCCCATAAATACCTATTCAGTAGTATTTAAAGCAGAAGAATTCAGAAACGTATCGTTCAAATTTTTCATAACAATATGTAAACATTTTTAGAAATTCATTTGATTGATTAAAATCTTCATTAAAATATGTAAGTTTTTATTTGAAAAATCAAAGTTTGTATTGCCACTCCTTAAATGTTGTGAAAAATCTAAGGATTCCAAAATATTTTCATTCACTGCACTTGAAAATTCCGCAAAATCAGAGTTTTAATTTATGCATAATTTAACTATAAAAATATGAGCATGCTTAAAAAATTTCTCTGTATAATGTTATTTTATTTAATGGTTGATTTTTTAATTTGCATGTTACTTTTTATAGTTTAAATGTTGTGGTGCATCTGGTCCAGCTGATTGGGCAAGCAGCAAATATAACAACTCACAGACTGAAAATATTAATCTTGCAATAAGTTCTCCAGAGCAATCATATAAAATTCCAGCGTCATGTTGTTCATCTAGTGATGCTAAAGAATGTTCAAAAGCACAAACTGCTGTAGCTTTTGGACCTATTTCTAAATTAATCTATCTTGAGGTAAGATTATTTAATAATTAATTGCATTTTTTATTTAATTTAGAAAAAAAAAAATATTTTTTCTATGGTTTATATCTTTCTTACTGCAGTGGCACATACATCATGAAAAGTATGTTTATTTTTAAATTGTATAGGCACATTCAAATTACATAAATGTGATGAGTTTTGTGGGAGGCTAATTATGTATGCAATATGGATTATATGCTTATTACAAAAGATATATACACTTTTTATATTTTAGCGTCAACAACTGGGATAGTTATAATGATATTGTGTGCATTTATGTATTTTGAATTATGTCACACGTTTAAATACCCTAGAATTAGCAGTATTTTAAATATATAATTGAATCTTGTATCACGATACAGTACTGATAAAGTATCTAGTATTTTATATTACAATACTAAAATAAATTTCTAGCATCGAGTATCTAAATACTCATTTTGAAATATCTTAATCATAGTCACCTGGAGAAGGGAGGATTGCCTACCTGGAATTTTCTAAAGATTTATTAAAAATTTTTTTTTTATTTTATTATTTTAAAATTTTTCAGTACATTAGGTGCTATTACAAGTACAATAGATTAAAAATATGGTTTAGTATTTACATTTATCTTAATTATTCTTCATCTTCCGACGAGATCTCTTCAGTGTCCGTTAGGAGGGTGTCTTGAGGTAATCGAGGTCGAAGTCGCCTATTTTGGGTTTTTCTTCCTAGTTTGTAAAAACGGGCTCCTTCGGAGTCTTTCAGCTTGGCGTGGAAGTTTTTATGAGTTATAATCCAGACATTTATTAGGGATATTCCAGTGAAGTTGTGTATCTGGTATTAAAATTTGAAAATGTTTATATGAATGTGAGGGGAATTTCAAAAATGTCTCCTAATAAATAAAAATTGCATGTGTTGTTAATAGTAAAATTAATATTTTAATTTTGATGTACTTAGTGTTTTGTATTGCAGAAGTATCTAGATCCTAATTTATATCTATCTAGTCTTTCCCTGAAATATCTTAATGTGCAGCACCAATAATCTATTTAATCTTGACTATGCAATTTATTTATTTACTAATCAATGCAATAATTATTTAATATATATATATATATTTTACTTTCAGGGCTGCACTGTAAAATTAGTGAACTCTTCACGTGAATATATGATTATATTCCTGTTGATATTGGTGACAATCGCGACAATTGAATTTTTTGGTTTAATTCTAGCATTAATATTATGCTGTGCAATTAGAGCAGTTAACACTTACAAAAATTAAATTCTGGCTTCATGTATTTATGAAGAATTAATATTGAAATTCAGTTTAAAATATGTATTCTATAAGTGTAATCAATACTTAATATTGGATTAGAAGTTGAGTATTTTAATAATTTGATTGTTGAGAATGATTACTGGTCTCGTAAAGTATATTTGACCCAGTGTGAGTAAATAATTATATTAATTTCATGGAGTATTATCTTATTACTAATACAGTTTTTATCTTTATATCTTTTATTTGGATGTACTTCGTTCATGTGTCAAATTTAATTTCTTCTTTTTCTATTACATTATATTTATTTTTTTACTTAACTACTGTAACAGATAATTATCATACTTCATTTTTTTCTCATAACACATATATGATGTGTGTAAATGTTTAAAAAAAAAAATAAGTTATATTTTATTTTATGACTATGTGTTACAATAAGTGTTTGAATGTTGCATTAGATCTAACATGATACGTGTAGTCTGCTTTTTTTATTATACTAAAAATATAATTATTCTAAACCAATTGATGTACTATTTTTACTACTTATTAATTTTGAATTTTAAACATAGTATTAGTATATTAATTTTTTCTTTATTAAACAATTTTTAAGTATATATTATAAATTTTAAAAATTGTTAGTTCTAGTAAAATATTGACAACTACTACTATCATAGTATCTTTTAATAATAAATTTAGTGTTATTGTAACAAAAAAATGTAAAGTCAAGTATTTAATTTTAATTTTAATCTGTCAATATTTAATATGCTAAAATAACCAACAACTGTAATTATTGTATAATTTATATATTATGGTAAATATTATGGAATCAGTTGATGTTGTTATATTTATATATTAGCCTATTTTGTGGCTCTAATTTTAATATTAGAGTATATTGGCCTATTATCAAACTTAAAGGTGAGAATATTGTTTGTGATTACACATTTTTTTTTTTTTACATTTTAATTTTAAGGAAATAAGATGATGGTTTTAAAATTTTAATATTTTACATATTCACACACTTGAAAATTTAAATACCGAAAAAAAAACAATGTCTTAAAGTTTAATAATAGACAAATACACCCTAATCTTTAAACTAACAGCACATAATTGGTTTTCATGTACAAAAAAGTATAAATATATCAACATTTACCGTACCATATACATATTTATATAAGTGTGTGTGTGTGTGTGTGTCATTAATGTGTTGTTTTCAAAATATTTATTGTTATTATTTTATAGGGACTAAGAATAAGTTATTAAATTGTATACAATATGCTCTATGGCAAAATATTTATTTATCAATGAACCATATAATTTTGTTCATGTATTACAAACTCTAAATTATAAATTTATCAAAAGATGTTTCTGCAATATGCAGTTTACCAGTAAATTTGTAATTAAGTATGCAGACTATATACACTTTTTATACACATTTCATGCTTAAAATTGTACAAAAATACATGTTTGAACACCTTCATATTGAAGATTTTGAGCGGAGCAAGAAATATATTGGTTTTATAATGGGGTTCATTTTTTTTTCTATGATTACTCGATACGCTTGCCAGCTTTGCTCGTTGTAATATAAATTTAATGACCTACAGGTACAAAGCTAATAATTAAGTAAATGAATTAGTGCCAAGTGTAAACTTACACCTTATCACACGTGACTTATAATTGTAAACTGCATATTGAAGTAATATTAATCAAAATGTATTGTTTTAGGTTTTAAGCATGTTTTAGTCATATAATTTTAAAATTGTAACAATTTTGCTAATAAGCACTAATATTAGTTCCTAGTCTTATGAATTCATTTTTTAATATTTTACTAAATGTATAACGAAAACATTGATCTGCTAAGAATAATATTTATTTTTTTCTATGTGTCATCTTATAAGATAAGAACTAACAATTTATATTTAACTGCCTTAAATATTAAAATATATTTTTATTAAAACAAATTATTGTACATTTATTATAAAACTGGTAAACAATAATAATTGTTACCATTTTATGGTAACAATGAATTAGAACCATTACCACGTAATGGTACTCCTAATAAAGTTTGGATCTAAAAACCTAATTTGACCATGTACTACTTTCTAATTAAATTAAACTGAACATCCATTTTTAAGGCCATGTTTTTTATATTTCAGTTATTCACATCGATACTTACTTATATTTATTTTTCTATCACATTTTACGATTCAAGGATTTTTTACTATTATTGTAATGATGAGATTATAATGATGATGATAGTAAATTGTGGGGATTATTTCTTTTTTTTATATGACTAATAGCACGGTAGATTATGTTTGAAAGCGAAGTGTTTATTACATATTCTTTTGTTGAATTAATTATTGTCAATGAACTCGATAAAACAAAGAATGAAACTATTCATTTTAGTTACTTTAATGTATGTAATCTTAATTTATGATACATACAACTTAATATCTTGAAGGAATTTATAATGTATTTTATAAATAATAATTATCTATTGAGTTCATATTTATAAAATAATTTTTTATTTTGAAGAGCTGAAATAATATAATACTATGCAAATTTAAAAAAATTAATCTTAAGTCAAGAAATGTAAAAATTAAATATTATAGACATAAATAAGTGTATTAAAATAGTGGTATAGTGGTAGTGTTTATAATGAGCTAGTGGAGTGGTCAGTTATAAGTATCAATTTAAATAAATTGAGTTTGATATAAACTGTCATTTATAAAATATCACTTCAGTCTGCACATGTCAATATAAACTTCTGTGGAATGATAATAAGATAATAAATAAAATTAAAAGTCTACACCTATATATTAAAGTCAAGAACATTAATTATAAAATTAAATATCCTTAATTCCCTATATAGCACTTTGATTTGTGAATCACCACAGTAGATATATTACAAGAAAAATTGGAAATTTGGACTATAATTCATTCTAAAATGTGTTGCATGGTTAGTTTCAATATATTTTAATTGATTTAGAAATACTTGTATTTATTATGTGTACTTATCTCAAAAATTCCCTGTAAAGAAAATGCAAAAAAATAAATTTTAATATTATTATCAAACTTTAGTTTTGTTGATAAAAATATATAGCTATTCACAAGGAAAAATGAATTATTATTTATCTAAACTATGACACATTTATTATAAAATGTGGATAGTGAAATATTTCAAACCATAGATCTAAATTAATAAGCAGATATCATGATACAAGATTATACTATTACTATCAAAGATTAGCTTATACAATTTTTGGAAATATTTGTTTTATGGTTATATAAAAAAAGTTTAAAGGGTTAAAGAATTTTGATCTTTAGCCAGGTTTATTTTTCTATACATTATTTTGGAGAATTTGTATTCCTATCACCACTTTATTTATATATTTTGTGATATAATATAAAAATAAATACATTTCTATACACCATAGAACCAATTAACTAATTTATACTTATGTAATATATATATATTTTAATAAGTGTATATGTAAGCACTTATGTGAATTAAGCATTTCAATTATAAATTTAAAACATAAATATCTTCAGCTTAGTTGAGGATTACTTTCATATATTTTTAATATTAATTCATCAATAAATAAGTTTTCTAGGTAAGGTAAGTACATTTTTGTTTCCAGGCAGTATAGACAATCATGGTTGACATTAATATAGATTCAACAATTTGAGTAGTGATAACTTAAGTGAATCAACATTAAACAAAAATCTACAGTATGAGATTATTTTGATATATTAACTTTAATTGTGATAAAAATATTTCAGCTTTCTTTTACTAAGTACTATTTAATGATTTTTCTTTATCATAAATAAAATTAAAAAGGTACAAATTAAAACATTGGTCTTTATTCTTAAAGAAAATTAAAAATTATGATACATATTCATGTAATACTTAATTTAGAGATCATAAAATAGCATGTTCTTAATTAAATATAAATATTCAATAATATAATTGCACATAAAAGCCTTTTTTTTAACATTCTTTAAATCATAGAATTCATAATACTTGTATAACCATAGAAATTCTCACAGGGGATAGATCCCCTCCAGAGCTCTTTTTTCCTTTCCCATTAAATAATAAAAAATAATGGTTGATATTTGCATTTTCTTTTTTATTAAATCAATTAGATGTTAAATTTTTAGAAACCATACAGCTCTTAAGATATGTATTAAGTTTAAATTTATATTCTTTGGTTATGTTGGTGGAATCTTTGCAAAAAATGTTTGTATCTTCTCCCCCCCCCCCCATTTGATAAATCCTCAGAAAGCAACTGTTTATAATAACAAGCATTTTATTTTATCTTAGATAAACTTTTAAAAATATATTTAACGAGGATGTATATTTTGATCAAAACAAGTTGAATTTAACTGCTGACTATTAGACTGTTCTTTGATTTGTAATCTTGGTTGGTTTTGATCAGATGGGTAGTGTAAAGAATTTGAAGTATAAGGTGTACCAGTGTCAGATGTATTTTGTATTTTGGATGGCATCATTTCATGAAAACTAATAAAATGACGTCGCAGATAAAGCTTATTTTTAAATGTTTTACCACATATGGGGCACACTACACAACCTGGCTTGTGAATTAACTCAATGTGTTGTCGTAAATTAGATAAACTACTATACTGACGTCCACATTCTGGACATGGCCTTGGATCCAAAGAATGGCCCCTCTGTTTTTCAGGTTGTGTTGTTAGATTTATTTCAGAAGATTGTTGCCAATAGTTTATTTCTATTTTCCTACGTTTCTGAAATGTATACAAATAAATTAAATATTTATTTTAGTTAATTATATAAAATAAATAAATAGAACATACAATAATATCATTAGTATTCACAAGTTGATTAAGTTGATCAAGTTGATTAACGAATAATCCATCATCATGATTATTAATTGAGTCAATAACATCCGATTTTGATACATCTTGATCTACATTTTCGCATAAGGATGGCAAAATTAAATTCTGAAACAATTTTGTTGAATATGTTAAATTTAAACACTCTGTAGTCAAAATTGTTGGAACCATAATGAAACCCATAGTAGCAATTTTTGGAGGGTCATTAGCCCCCACTTAAAATTATGTTAACACAATTCTAGAGAGATTGTTTTATTATTTTTTGTAAATAATAAATAATGTTTTAAAGTTAACAAATATAATTAACATTTTTAAGGTTTTAATCTTACTTAATACATATTTTTTTTAACATAATTATTGAACAATTTATAACTGTTTATTATTTATTGCTAACAAAATACATATATATATACGTAGAGACTATGAAACAAGGAATGAACACCAGAAATAACTTTTGTTTTGTACAATTATTTCTATTATTTTTTTCTTGTTATGATTATAAGAGCTTTGCACTGTAATTCCTCAATTTTATATATATTTTTCAAAACTAAAAAATTGTTACAAAATTCAAAAATTATTTTAAAAATATTATTTTTGTTACAAATAAACAAATGAATCATTTTCTATAATTTGTTTACAATAACTAAAATTGTTTTAATTTCCACTATTAAAATAATATGAATTAATTCAATAATTTTTCCATGAAAAATAATTTTATTTGTATTTGTAATCTTCAAAAAATTGTAGAAATTTTGATTTATCATTAGTAAATATTTTTAACACCAACAATATGCTTTAAAAATATGTTCAGAGAAACAATTTTTTAGTTTAAAAATAAAATATAGAAACCATAGTACAAAACTAAAAATTATTTCAAGAAAAAAAATATTAAATATTAAACAAAACAAAAGGTATCTCAAATGTCAGATCTTTGAGTTAAATCTTGTATATCTTTGGCCCAGAGAAAAATTGCTAATCAGTTTTATATTTTAAAAAATATATAAAAATGTGCATTACATACAGAAAAAATAATCTAATTTAGCCTTCCTTGCTACTGAAGATATGTGTAAGTATATAATGTATATACAGTAAAATCTCTAAATACTGGACACCATTAGTCATTAAAAAATTGTCTACTATCAGAGGGAAAAAATAAATCAAATACAAAACTAAATACAAACAGGACAACTTAAATATAACATAAATAAGAAAACAAAATTTCTCCTATGTGATAAAATTTCAACAACTGGACAAATAAGTTTAATTACGAGTAAATGTGATCAAATATAACCTTTGAGTGTAAACATTTATCTAGATATTCTATAATTATTCTTAGTTTAAGATAGAATTAATAAAAATTAATAGTTTAACTGTCATTTAAGTATCTGTTATATAGAGGTTTATCAATGAATAAGTAGTGAAAATGTACCAGCTCACAAAAAAAAAACCCGCTTTTTGGAAGTGGCTGTTAAAGTATATTTCACTGTATATATTATATACATTGCAATATAAATATTTTATTAACACACAGTTATTTGTTTTAAATAAATAATTGAAGTTTAATTTAAAGTAATATATTATTTAAAACGTTATTGTGCACATTCAATAAGATTTCAGATTTACAGAAAAATAAAGTTTTGTCCATAAAATTACAAGCAACAAAACCAAAAAACAAATATTATTTAATAATATTTATAATTCTATAAATTATATAATAAATTTGTATTATAAAATATAATGCAATATTGAAACATGCAATTTTAATATTCATACAAAAAGAATTTCATCTATTTTTGAGTTTGGTTTTGAGATCTATTTTTTTAATAGTATACCATGATCTTTGTGAAGATATATTTATTGTGTTTAATTTTAACTAAATATACATAATATATAACCACACTGGTATACACGTCATGAATAAAGTATTGTAAACAAGGTAGGCAGGTATTAATATAAAAATGAAAACTGTTTAGTCTGGTAAAATATAGTTATATATGTATATATTGTAATATTTTGAATTTAAAACTAACTTCATTTTTATTGAAACCATTTTGGAATCCTTGTATGTTGAATGTTTTAGCTAATTTAAAAAATCTCTCAACGTTATTTTGATTTATGAGAACTTCACCCAAATACATAAAATCAACTAACGTCTTCATAAGCTCATATTCCACATTGTGCATAATGACTGTAACATGTTTTGACGGATTCATCTATACACATTAATACATATAATTCAAAATAATATAATTCTATAAAAACTAGGTTATTTAAATAAAACAAATTAAATGTGAAATTTACCATCAGTATTTTTTTAAAATAAGGACTGCATGCAGACAAAATAACTTTATGTGCTTTAATAAATCGATCATCACAACATAATGTAACATCAACAAATTGTTCATCATTACGTAAAGACTCAAATTCACTGGTAAAATGGGATGAAAAATCATCCCAACGCATGCTATATTGAGTAGACGTATCCATACTGAATACTAATATACAAATATATTAAAAGATAAACTTAAAATTCACCAACCATAAAAATCAACATCTATAGTCCCTGTCACTTTCCGATGTACTGAACACTGAACAGTGAAATGTGAATTACTTTATCATTAAAGACATTATTTTGATTTTTGAGATAATTGATAATTCAAATGTTTGCTATATTCTTATCACGCAAAACATTTTATGGGACAATTATCTATGATAACAATATTGGTAACCAATCTACCTTTTTATTTTTCAGACACAGGGTAGTTTTAAGGTTATAATATTGTTTATGCGGTTAGTTTTAACTATTAAACTTCAAAATTTTATTGTTGAATTGTTAGTATTTTGTTATAGGAACTTATTGAACGTGTAAAAATGTCGATTGGGGTGCCAATTAAAGTATTGCACGAAGCCGAAGGACATATTGTTACTTGTGAAACGATCGATGGTGAAGTTTATCGCGGCAAACTTATAGAAGCAGAAGACAATATGAACTGTCAAGTAAATAATCAAATTGTTTTTATTAAAAGATATTTTGTATTGAACTTTTTAATTTTTATTTGTTGAATTTATTTTAATAAAATATTATACCTATTTTAAATATATATATTTAAACTTTAGTACTTGCCCAATTTTTTTTTTTAAGTAATCACAGTTTACTTTTGTTTATTTCTTGGTACCTATTTAAAGATATATGATTTACCTTTATTGATTTATCAGGTGTCACATGTAACTGTAACATATAGAGATGGGCGTGTTGCTCAAATGGAGAATGTATATGTCAGAGGATCAAAAGTACGTTTTATTATATTACCAGATATGTTACGGAATGCGCCTATGTTTAAAAGTAAAATGACTATGGGTGGAGCAGCAGGGCGTGGTAAAAGCGGAATGATAAGATCTTCAGGTAACTGTGTTCTTTATATTCTAACAATAATTTTAAAATACATTTTAATATAATATTATGAAAACGTTAGTTGGACGTGGCCGTGGTCGTGGTGGACCTCCAATGGGTCGTGGTGGACCACCTATGGGACGCGGAGGACCTCCAATGGCTGGATCGTGGAATCAAAGACGTTAACGAAATAATACCAAATGTCTCGTCTAAGGTTTTTAAATAAATGCATTACACGTGAAAATATTTTTTATACATAAGTTTCTATAACTAAATATTCCTTATTCAAATTATCTTGATATAATAAAAGTATGTAGATTTAACTGAAAATTAATTTGATTTGTAAATATTTAATTGTGATTTTATACAAATAATTTATTCTATTTATACATGTTGTATTAACAACATTCCTTAATAAATATAATAGAAAAGTGAAAATAGCACTGAGCATCTTAGATTGACAATGACTAAAAATATGCAATATACTTTAATATTAACTTCTATATACAAAATACTTAATAATTAAACTTAAAACTTAAGAAACCATTTTTGAAATGTCCAACAATTCTCTTGTTTTTATTCAACCACTTCAATTTTTAAAAAGCCAAGGGGAAATGATCCAGCTTGTTATTTCTTTGGACATCTATGGCCAGTTTTGATGACTGTAAATAACTGAAAATTAACATAGATAAAAATAAAATATAATTAAATTAAATTTATCTAGGTACAGATAGATTGTAGTTAAAAGTGTAAGTTATCTAAATAAAGATAACATTATTTATCTGGATAAAAAAAAGATTTTAAAAAAGACATTTTATAAACTGGCATACTTCGCAATATTGAGTAACTGTTGTAGGAAGGAAGAATATAGATGGTAATTTCATTTATAATTTATGTATTCTTTATGCAATGATAAATCATTGTTAACAAAAACAATTTTAATCAAAGTTTGGTTAATCATGTTTTGAAATGATCATCTTAATACAATGATGACTATTTGTTTTATTTGATTTCGGGGATTTATGTATTTTTATTCAAATAAAAACTAAAATAATTAAAAAATTGCAGATGTCTTGAAATTACTAATATTAATATTATGTGAAAATTACAGGGCTCTAAGAATATTTTTACACAAATTATAACAAAAAGACATAATGAATATTGTAGAAACTATAACTATATTTTTTAGTTTTTGGCAATAATTAAGTAAAAAAAAAATTACTTTACCAATTAGATCCTAAAATATTTTAGAAAAGATGTTACACTTAAAAATCGCTGTTACATGTTTGGTAGAAAAATTGTTACGTGCAGAAAAATACATAATACAATTAGTCAGATAATTCAATTATTCATACTTTATTATAAAAAATAGGATTTTGTTCATTTTCTTACTAAGATAAAACATAATTATGTTTCTATACAATAACACTGTCTATGACACCAATTAAGATTGTAACCTATAGACAAGATATTTTAAAATAATATTTAGTTCAAGAGGTTTCCAACTTTCTATGTCTCGCGGCAACCTAAATATTTTCTAAAATTTCAATGGCACCCTGTAGTACTATAGTATATTGATAAATGTATTGTTGATATAAATTATGTAGTATAAAATATAAATCCTATTTTTAAGTTCCTACATGTATGAAGGGAAGGGCTTCAGTCCCCATAGTCTCCTCTTGTATAAGTTCCTATACAAACAATATTATACTTTTTAGTGAAGTTGTTAGACTATTATTTTTAGGGTATCCTGACAATAGAGCAAAAGCAAAATAAGCGAAAAATCCATCATCTTAAGTTTGGTATAAGCATTTCATGATTTTTTTTTTTCAACTTTTGTCTGCTAAATATTTTACAACCATTGAAGGTATATTATATTATGTAGGGAAAGGGTTTAAGAATTTTTATTTTGGTGAAATTTTTTAGGATTAAATTCAAGATTAGGAACTGGATTACGAGCATTATTATAAATATAACAGAAATGTATTGAATACCTTCAAAAACAATAAAATTTGGAGGAAATTAAATGAGTAGGGGTAGTCTCGATCTGGAATGAATAATATAAAGGGAAAAAAGAAGTTATAGGGATTCGGTTGAACGGATTCAAAAATTAGTTAATATATATAACAAAAGTAATAATTTTTAATAATAGACTATAAAAGATTTTAATACCCCTATTATAGTCTTACATAGAAAATAAACCAGTATGAAAACTCAAATTGATTTTGTATAGCTTGTGTTTTTACTCATACAATTAAACCAGTGGTTCTCATCCTTTTTTTGAAACAAGGCATACTACTCAAAATATAATTTTCGTGACACCTAGGTTAGGAACCTATGATCTAGATATTTAATATTTTACAGAACTAATGTACAAATTACACATTCATTTTAGGATTTGATACCAAATTAATTATTCAAACAAAAGGTTTTGAATATTTTATCGTTATGTTTTAGGGTCCTGATTTTTCTGCTTAAGTTCCTGGTGATAACGCATCTGTTAAATTTTTAAGAGATGAAAATTCCTCCAAAATCGATTTTTCATAAATATCTCCAAAAATATCAACTGTACTACTAAAATACCTCTATACTAAATTGTGTATAAAAAAGTATCCTAAGTCGTTCTAAAACCAATAGTAGGTTCCAATAAAACTAAAAATTTGTACTTTTAAGAATTTTTTTTTTTTTTTGAGATATTTATGAACATGAAGTAATGGTGGTTTTTTAGATATACTATGGTGTCTTAAATAATGTCTCAAAAATCCTACTCAGGGGATTGTATTCATAAAAATTGGCTATAAAAATGTTTTTTTGTAATTTTCTTCGTTCCTATTGATTTTACGATAAAAATACTCCTAAACAAAAAGAAAGATAAGATAATTTTACATAAAAAAAGACACAATAACTTTTTTATTTAAAGCAATATTTTTCATGATTAACTTTGATTGAAATTTATGAAAATAAAAAAATGCGAATTGTTTCCTATTTTAATATACTAAAAGGTTTAAATAAATGAGTCATGGATTAGTTTTTATCACAGCATTATACATTGTTCTGTTTAGGATCTATTCAGTTTCTTCTCTCATCAAACCATCAATTTTTCATTCAAGAAAATCCACAGGGTTAACATCATCCAATTCTTCAATATTTGTGTCGTTTATGATTCTTTGTTCTGATTCATTGTCTTAAATTGGCTCTGTATTTGAACAAGATTATGAACTCGAAAATTGTGTACCAAAAATTTCATAAGTTGAAAAATATTATTTATTTATATTATATAATATATTTAAATATCATACTATAGTATTAAAGTATTTATATTTTTTTATATGAGTATTAAAAGTTTAATTCTATGATGGAATTCATTATAACCACAAAATAAAATAATTAATTTAAATTTATAAAAACAAATTTAACTGAATTTGTTCAGGATCGTTTTTTATTTAAAAGAATTTATAGTTGTATTGTGTATAAACTAAATTACCTACCCTATTTTAAGTTAATTTTATAAAAAATCAGTTGGTAATCTAGTTTTACATAAATTTAATTTTGATGTAGATAATTAAGTCAATTAATAAATTGTTATTATTTTAAATTTGAATACTATAATTACTGATCATATACTTTCAAACAGAGTTGAGCAAAAATGTATCTAGATAATTATTCAAATAATTTTTATTTAAATAATGCCCAACTCTGCTTTCAATAATAGTATTTAACACTAGCAAATTTCAATACCTATTATCCGGTTATTTTTTTCCTGATTTTTTGTAATCAGTTTATCATTAATTTTATAATTTTTATTTTTCTAGCCAGTCGACGCATGACACTACATTTTTATTTTATTATATATTTTGTAATTTTGTTTGTTCATACACCGATTTAAAAATTATTGGTGCTTTATTAATAGTACAATAATTTTTTAGTCTATTAAAATATTGAATACAAAAAAGGTTAAAATAATAAGAGTAATTATATTAGTATTTAATATTATTTTACATGAAATTATCAGACCACAAATTTATCTGAAAAATTCTCATTCCCAGATCGGCCAAACAGCCCATGCCTATATATTTAATAGGTATAGGAATGCAAAATGGTGACAACTAAAGAGACTAAATAATGTTAATTAGTCTTTCTAGATCTCTTTCATTTGTCATTAGAACAAGTGATTGAAAAAAATAGAAATAGTGGCCAGTAAAATTAAATATTCTCGAGACACTGAGTTAATAAATTAAAGATTTAATATTAAAGGATACAAAGTGAAATTTGTTAGAAATTTTGGCTATTCAGTGAGCATGATTGCGAGCATTTTCAGTATTTTAAATAGTTTATTATTTATAAGTCATAAATTATATTACAAGACATTTTAAAATATTTCTTAATCTTATCCGCTGGATGGTGTCATGTTTTGTATTAAAGTAATGTTTTCTCCCTTCAACAAAATACGACCAACAGGTTTACGTGAATCAACTTTAGTATTGACCTCACAAGCTTCATCCAACACTAGGTTCATGTATTCATCAAAACCAACAATATGGCCCTCGATCCTTAAATGAATTTTCTCTTGAAGCCATACCTATTATAGACACACAATTAAATTTAATATTATTCTTACATAATATATCTTTGTATTATATATATTCAAAAAAATCATACTTGAACTTTAGCACGATTTTGCAAATGACGAAAGATGAGGTTAATAGGTTGTACCATAACCTTCTGAACCTTTTGAGGAACTTTATAAGACATAGTTTCTGCTTTTGATGTCTGGAGTTAAATGGATTTAAACTGAATGAGAGAGAAACAACTGTTATTTAAAATTTCACTTTTCAGTCGTTTTGTTGTTGTAATAAAAATAATAATGATAATAATGATAACAATATACCGTAAACATAATATTTTAAGGTTAGTCTTTAAATTTGTATATCACACATGATTTTTGATAGTCACGGTCTTATAAGGAAAATAAGGACAGACAACTATACCTTATGAGTATTCCACTTAGTAAGACAAATTCATTTCATAATATAGTACCACTGTAAAATTGAAGGCTGCTTAACAAACATTTTTAAGGTTATGGTATATAAAACACGGTAATAGATACTGCCGAGGGGCTAAATTTTAAGGGAAAATATTATTCGTTATTGAAATCAAAAGAGTTGCTATCTGGTGGAAATTATATTCATTCATTAAATTGAGTACCTACTGGCTTTTGAATATCTTTGTAATAATTATAAATATAGCTTTATTTGTTGATATAATGGATGATCATATTTATTATTCTAGCTAAATGAATAATAAAAATGTATAAATTAAATACAAACTTGTATAACGTACATAATATATAATATACAATATAAGTAAGTACTTCGTAAAGTTGCTCCGATTTTTAAGTATAGCACCTCTCCTGTAAGAAAATCAGCATAGGGAGGTAATTTTTTCGATTTCTTCGACAGTTTTCTCATCAAATGTGATAAACGGGAAAATATATGATGTAAATTACTAAAATATTACGATTGTTTTTTGTGCACAACTTTTTACCAGCAATTTTGCTCTGATTTATAATAGCACTTTTCCTAAAAGAAAATCTGAAAGGGGAGGTGCTTTAGAAAGGGTTTTTTTGATTTTCTTACTAGTTCTCCCAATAAATAGAAAAATGGGAAATTAGGTACAATATTGAAAAAATATTTTTAAAGAAAATTTATACTGGCAATGTGATTGTTTTACCATAATATATAATTATATTATATTGTTGATAAAGCAACTACACTATTAACTGAATTCCGCTCAGAATTGTTTTTTCGTACTAATGGTTTATCGTTGCTTACAGGTTTACATTAAATTACTTATGACAGTGGCTACACCCGTCTCTATTATACTAGAACATATTTTTTTCACTTAAAACTATTTAAATAAAATGGTTCCATATAACTATTTCTGAACCTTTGACAAAAGGATTTTTAGAACCACCAACATATTTTAATGTCATAATTTCTATTACAGAATTGAACTTTATGAACTTTTATTACTATAAATTGTAAAAAAAATAAGTTTAAATAAGAAAATTAACAAAATAAAAAAGAGCCGATACTGGGGATAGGAGCGGACATTGTTGTAGGTGAGATGTTAGGTAGGTAGGATACATAAGGTTTTTTAAATTTATATCTGTAAGTAACAATAAACCATTGCTTGACGAAAGATGATTCCGAGCGCAGTTTGATAATACATAATTTGAGGTGACGTAATTTGTTTTGCGATTTTCGTTAAAATTTGATTTTAAAATGCTTATTAAAAAAAATTAATTTACGCTATGATTATTGGAAATTTTACCACGTCTAAGTAAGTCCAATATAAGTATTATTACAAAATTTAAAATCTCTACGTGTATTTATAATCAAATTACAGCAAAATATTCCCAAAAATTAAAATTACTTAAAAGCTCAAAAAAGCTCAAGTTTTGGAAATGATACCGTAAGAAAGTAAATCAAACAAATATCTTGTGATTTTTCGATTAAATTATTTTTTCTGGTAAAAAACGTCGTCCGTGTTTTTATAAAATAATGAAATCAAGAAATCTTGTTTTCATACTTTTTTCCCACTTAAGTGCTTTTATTTAAAAAATGGCGTCAAAAATCAAAAAATGACCTCTTTTAAGTACAATCTAGAAAACTTCAGCTTTCAGAAAGTTCTACACGTAAAAATCAGAGTAAGTTTACAAAGAAAAAACGTGTCCAGACTAGAAGAAAGAAAGCATTAAAAAAAAAAAATACAGATCTTAGTAAAACCAATAGCTACGCTCGGAATCTAAAATATTTAAAAATGGCAGTAAATTTATCTTATATAACTAGTTATCATATTTGCTAAATTTCTAATAAAACTTATCCTTATATTATTCACATATTTTTAAGAAAATATATATTCCTATTTAATTATTTAATATGTTACCATAATATAACACATACGTATACATATATTGTTGACAAAGCATCACTATTAACTGAACTCTTCTTAAAATCGTTTTTTCGCAAGCAATGGTTTAGCGTTATTGCTTACAAGTATACAGTAAACACCCTTGTGTATTCTACCTTCCTAACTATCGGTGCTGCACCCCCATTATCCTAGGACAGCCTTTTAAGACTGATAGTATGCATGTAAACCATAGATAATAATCTCATATCATTGACTATTGTTTATTTATTATTATTCCTAGTTTTAGGTTATACTCATATTTGTACGTTTAAAATTTGAGTTAGCCGTTTCTTTTAAGGAACTTCTATGTCTATAGTTTTCTTGTCTAGAATTACTGCTAAGTTCTCATTCTTCAGTGTCACAGATATTTACTTTTAATTTTTTAATGAGTACCTACTATAGGTAGGACTGTTATATTCGTAATCTTTGGGTACTATCAATCTTTATTAAGTACTCTGTAGTTTTATTTTATATTATTTTGTATTATGTGATATAATGCATGTTTTGTGTAAAGTATTTTAATACCACAATAGATTAGTACTAGAATTTATATTCACATTTGCATTAAATTTTGATGATAGTGTAATTATATTAAAGACAGATTTTACAAGTGAAAGCTTATGATGAATTTGAATCCATTGTCAGATTGCGAAAAGAATTTTATTTTGGAAGCAGCATCCCAGAAAGTTGTAAGTAAATTATGATTTTACTAAAGCCCTCATTGAAATACCTATACCTGGTATAAATACCTGAAATAGGTGTGATACCAACATTATTTTCTGTACGTTTATTTTATGGTATTTATACATTTTAAAATAATAGCCTAAATAAAAATGTCTAATTTAACGAATATTGTTGTCATTATCTATTTTTATTGTTGAAATACTATTTTATTATATACTTAAAATATATATATTAAACAAATATTTTAGCGTCTTGATGGCCGTAAAAAAGAAGAATATAGACCTTTGAAGATAGTATTTGGTCTTGATTGGGGTAATTGTTTGGTAACACTTGGCACTACAAGAGTATTTGCTCAAGTGAGTTGTGAAATATATCAACCCAACAATAGTCGTCCAAATGAAGGCATTCTTCAAATATCAGCTGAATTAGCAGGAGATAACAAACTTACTGATTTAACAAAGATTAATCAAGTCTTGGAAAGATTCTATAAGGATTCAAAATGTATAGATCTAGAATCATTGTGTATAATTGCTGAAGAAAAAGTATGATTTTTAATTTACATAAATTATTTATGATCATATAATTATTATGTTAATACTCAATATGTGTATACGTAGTGAATTCTGCTTAATGCGGGCACGATGGTGCCATTTACATTCACCTATATTAAGTGGTTGCCTATTTTAACCGAAAAATATTAATAATAACAATAATATATATTTTATTTCATTTCCTAGAATACATAATAATATAATTGACAATTAGATATGAAATGATAATATATCCTAAAAGCAATGCTTGTGGAGGAAACACAGAGTTCTATACTAAAAATATACAGTTAAAACTAAAAAAAAAAAAAAAAATGTATATATAAACTCATCTATAACTAAAACGATGTGTAGTGATAAAAGAATAATAAAACAAAAACATAAAATATATAGTACTCTAAAAGAAAAATATTGTATCAATAATTGTAATTGCTAAAAAAAATGAGTATTTGTATACATTAGAATCAAAACCAGACCATAATGCCCATATTTTGTGGCTGTGCCCACATTAAGCGGAATCCACTATGTATCTACCACTATGATCACAAATTTATTTAGGTTTGGAAAATTAAAGTGGATTTAAGTGTTCTGAATATGGATGGTAATACTTTAGGGTGTTGTTCAATTGCTACTCTTGCGGCATTAATGCATTTCCGTTATCCTGATGTCGTGTCAACTGGAGAAAAAATTATTGTATATTCTAGTTCAGAGAGAGATCCTATACCACTGTCACTTCATCATCATCCAGTAATTGCAAGTTTTGCCATCTTTGAAAAATAGTATGTTATTATTTTGTTAACAATATATACTCCTTTATAATCTGTTTCTAAGAATATTTGGTTTTAGTGATTTTATTATACTAGATCCGTCATTTTTGGAAGACAAAGTTTGTGATAACAAATTATCAATTTGTTTTAATAACCATAGAGAACTGTGTGGTGTAGATATTGAAGGATGTGCTTGTTTAAGTCAAGAACTGCTTATGAACTGTTCAAATCTGGCAGCCAACATTGTTATTAAATTAGTGGATAAAATAAAATCCGTTATACAATCTGATATTGAAAATCGGTAAAGTTATTAACTAAAAGCTGATTAAATATTATTTTATCTATTAAATACTGTAACTTCATTCAAATGTGACAAAGTGTATGTATGCAGTTATTTTAATACTAGTGTTAATATTCATACACAGTTTTATACAAATCAAAATAATTATTTGATTTTTTTCAACGGTGCTTGAACATTTTTAAAATTATCAATTTAAAATGTTAAACTTAAACTTAAAAATTAACCTCTACCGTACATTTTCTAATTCAACTCTAGAGTAAATGGTCATTTGTATAAAATCAGGAATTTCAGAATTTTTTAATTTTTTTTTTATAAAAGTTTTTGTAGTTGCAGTGTAAAAAATAACTGAAATTTGATGGAAGCTTAAAATAAATTTAACTGCTTTATCCATTTATATAATCAATATTTTTTTTAGTTCAAATAAATCTATACAAGGCCTGGAACCCGAATTTTCTAAAAATTGTGGCCTTAAGTTACGTTTACCTAATGAAATTGATTTTGTTGATCCACTCAATCAAGAAATTATAAATAATGAAATTGATTTTGTTGGACCACTCAATCAAGAAATTATAAATAATGAAATTGAAGGTAGGTATGATGTTACTTAAGCATTTATATTTTTTTAACGCAAATATGTTCATTATTTTTAGGATTAAAACTTTATATTACCATCTTTAATTTTCTGAGCAGAGTGTTTTACAATGATGATTCATTTTTATTTTCTATGAATAACTTTTCTATAAAAAAATTTGCTCTGATTTTCAAGTGTAGCACTTTTTCTAATAGGAAATTTTATAATATTTTAACAAGGCCAATTTTTGATTTTCCCAGGAGTTTTTATAATAATTGAGAAGAAACGGTTTACAAAATTTATTATTTTCAAATCTTAAATATAACGGCCTTTCAAAACATATATAATCAAACTCAGAATCGTTTTTTCATTAGCAATGATTAAACTGCATACGGGTATACATTAAATTTACCTTCTACCTTTCAACTTCTCACTTACAACAGTGAGCCACCCATCGTACGAAGTACTTTTACATCGTCCACATGTACATCAGCCACTTTCATATCATTGTTAATCGCATCCAAGGTTAGGTCTTATTTAAAATTAACATGTCTAGGTATTGAGAAAAAAGAAAGGTATTGTAGAAGTAGATAGAAAACAGTCTTGTGAACTTGAAATAATCAATTAGTATAATAAATAGTAATGTATATGTTTTATAATTTAGAAAAAATGGATATTGATCAAGAAGTTATTAATATATTGCCGGAAACTGCCATTACTATAAGTCATAATAATTTTAATCAAATCGAAAAACTAAATGACAAATTGATAATCCTTGATACTGAAAGTAGTTCATCATCAAGTGATGACAATGATGTTGAAGTTATTAATCATTATAAATTAGATGATGTAAGACCAGTTATTGGAGAATATAGTAAGTGTTCAAATTGTAAAATAGTGTATTAAAGTTTTAAAAAAAATTAAAACCATATGTTAGCACTATTAAAATAATTTAAAGAGGCTAGTTGAAAATCACTATTCTAGACTTCTAATGGTTATAATTTAAATTGGATAAATATTAATTTATTTTTGTTCCAATAGTTTTTGGAGGTTTATCAGAATTAAAAGATCAAAACTAAGAACTGTTAAATTCTAAAATGATATTTTACAGAGGAAAAATAGAAATAAAAGAACAATACAAATTAGAAAATTTAAATCAATTTCTTATTATTTTTTTTCATACACTTACAGAATCCTCTAAACATCTTAGTTTTATGAGACAATTTATGAGTCTCCAACTTTGTACAACTGATAGGATCCATGTTCTTAAAGAGTTTTGAAGAAAGACATTTTTAATTTTATGCAGTATTTAAATTGTTAGTAGTGTTGTGTGTTATCTACGCTAACTTTCTAGTTTCCGCTTTCTGTCTGTATGAAAAATCATACCTATTGTTTTATGATTTATAGAACCCCATACTTCATTATTTAATAATATATTTATTGAATTCCAACTAAACAAAATAACAATTGAATTAATATAAGAAAACACCTATACAACAACTAGCTGGATATTTAAAAAATGTAAAACATTCTAGAACAGAATATGTGGCTCCATATTTGATGAAACAAAAATAACTGACTGAGAAATACAATAGGGAGTTGTATGTTACAGCATTGATTATAAATACTAATTATTTAACTGATTATGTTTAATGGTTATAGTCTATGTAGCATCAGTAACTAGTTATATAAAAGGACAAAGGCTATATAATGAGAAGAGGAGGTAGAGATACCTAGATATCATTCCAATATTAATTTTATAGTAGATACATTGTCTATGTAGCATACAGCACCACAACGCTTAAATCATCTTCCTTTTGAATATAACCTTAAATTAAAGTACTTTAATATATATATTAGCTGTATTACCTGGCTTCGCCCATGAAAAGTTTTGTAACATAAAATATGTTTAAATTTATTTTTATTTCACCTGTATTAGTATTGTAATCCATAACGATATAAATAATACCTTTTTATACTTTTATGTGTGTATTTGCCAATATTATTTTACAATCCTTTTTTATTGCACATTTAAATTATTAGAGAAACCACTATTCAAAATTTGAAGTTCATACTGTGTGTAGTTTTTGAGAAATAGTGTTCAGTTATTTCAGTGGTATTTGGCTTTTAGATTTACGTATAACTTAAGTTATAGTGTTAAAGACTAATATTAATGTCACTACTTTTATACTTACAATATAAAAAAATAAATGATAAGAAACTGATTCGCATTCCTAATTTGTATTCATGTGAAATATTATCCTGACTTTTACATACACCAGAAAGGTCATAATAATAAAACTAATAATTCAATGGTGGATTTAACTATTGTGATTGAATTAAGCTAAACATAAAAAATTGTCTAAAATTATTTATTATGGTTTATGAAAAGATTTCTACAAAATACATTCTAGTGGCACTTGTAGACCGTAATTTTTAAAATTTAAATATTTAGTTATTTTATACATATGTATGCAGTGTCTGTAATAGGCTTTACATTTTTTTTTATCATTCAATTTTTGCAATCTTTTCATTTTTTAGTCAATATTTATTAATAATCAACTTGAGCTTGTTAATTGATTAGCTCTTTCATGACATCTTCAACTAAAATTTAAACTATTGTTAATGCAACACAGGTTCTTCACTTATCTGCCACGTTAGACAGTTTAATACAGAGAAATCACCTGAAAATCCGGTCTTATTCCTAGGTTAGCTACCTTATTTTAAGCATTATTTTCTGGACAAAAATCATAACTCTCATATATAGCATTATCTCTTATTTATAACTGTCTACCAGAAAATTGTTTAATTTCCACCAACAAAATACCATTTCATATTGTATTTTTCTTTTTTGTTTTCAGTTGTTTCCGATGATGAAAATAGTGATACAGGTACCATAATTTTGGATTAAGTCAATTTTTTGTTTAGAAAAATATAAAGTACTTATTATACTGCATTATATTATAAAGAAGTGTTAATTATTAAACAGTACACCAAATATTCTAGTAGTTACATTATTATTTTTATATAGATACGGGAATTACCTTTTTACATTTTAAATAATGAAATTATTTTAGTATAATAATGTAGTTATGTGAACAATATAGGTTAATACAATAAATTATAAAATCTATGGCTAAAAAAATATTAAAAATTAATTTAGGTAAAAAAAATATATAAGTATATTAATACTAGATTTTCAAAATCTTAAAGTTGTTTTTCTTTATATATATAATGAGCTTTTCAATAGACACTCTTACTTTAATTGGAGATAGCGGCTGTGTTAGAGTGTTATCTGTCAAATTTATTGTAAATTATTGAGGAGTAGATGGCAAATCACTGCGTTGAATAATGCATGAAAATTATTAAATTCAGTGCTCTATTCAAGAAACCAAATTTTACCAAAATAATAATCTTTAGCGATGACCCCATTTTTGGATAAATGGATATATTAACAAACTTGTTGAACTTAGGACATTATCTTTCGGTACGAGATAACATCACACCCTTTAAAGTTACTGTTTGGGTGCTTATTTTGATCTGGCAGAATAATCAATCTGTACTTCTTTCAAAATGAAACCGTCAACATTGACATTACAGATCAATGATAAAAAACTTCTTGTAGCCTAAAATGGATGATATGGGTAATGATGTAATGTGGTTCCTACAAGTCGGCGCTACATGTCACAAAGCGCAAGCCACAATTGACATTCTGTGTGAGAGATTTGAGGACATGATTATCTTGCGCAGTGGTAATGTGAATTGACCACAAAGACTGTCTACTATGAAATTTAAATCTCGAAAAAGCTTTATTGCCTACTCAACCACAATCTACGACCCATCGGATCAACACAGAATACGAAAATGGAGAGAAGAGCTACAATGTGAAAAACCTGTCCTGCTTGCTGAGCATTTACCATGTGGAGGTAACCAACCATGGATTACATGGAAGACAATAAATGTTAAGAGCAGGAGTGGCCAAAACAAAAGCGAAAATTATGAAATGGGGACACCAGAAAGAACCGGATATACTATGCAAATATGGCGAAGACCAATCAGATGACCACCTACTACAGTGCATCCTGGTGGAGACAGACGACTGCTTTAGCCAACGAAAAGGCAATATTAATTACTACTCACTGGCTATAACAAAATATCTAATCATTTATTTTATATTCATATTTTAACTTCCTTAATTTGTTTAGATTACTTTAGGTGTTTTTTAATTTTTAATTTAATAACATAGCCTCAGCACCGAAGACATAAGAAGACTGCAATTTAACATCTGTAGCCTTTTTCCTTTAAGGTTATCTTAAATCCTAGGTCTATACAAATGAACCATAAACAATGATGCCCTCCAAGCCAACATAACTAATGCCATCTAACAAATAAATCTAGATTTATTCAAGAAGATCATTAAATATTGTATTTCTAAAATAATCACCACTAAGCAAAGCCGCACAAACAATTAAATTAAATTATATTTTATATTTAATTGCCATAAAATATTCTTTCTAATAAAAAGAAATGATTGGATATCTCTCACACTAGTTTTATTTTTTCAACCATCCTTTTTGAAAAACCCTTTATATATTGTATAAACTTAGGAACTAAGTAAAATATGCAATCATTGATAATACAAATTCTATTGTATTTTATATTATTCATTATTTAAATGTAATAGTTATTAAATGATATTAAAAGCTAGTTATTTTATAAAATACTTAAGAACTGTACGTACAAAAAGAATATATTGTATACTTATTTATAATTTCTAAACATTATTTAAAAAACCATAATTATACACAAACATTTTAGTATACAGTTTTTATTTGAATATTTACTTTTATTGAGTATTAAAATCTGTAAAGAAAAAAAAAGCAAATTGATTGACAAAGTAAACTTGCAAGTATTTCATTAATTTTTAATTTGCGATAATGTTTAAAATAGTGTAATAGAATAATTGTCACTAGTGATAACATATAACTTTAACATGTTTAGAAAATTTGTATTAATAAAACTATATTAGTGAATTTAGTAAATAAATTTAGTTTATTAATTTTACATGTAAGAAATTTATTAATCAATCTGAATCTAAACCATCTGAATCATTTCCTATATAACCTCTGATTGTCTTGTTTTTTTCTAACAACATTGTTTTATTGTTTTTGACTACATCTGGTGGATTAATCAAGTCACCCTTGTAGTCAATTACTTGTGATCGTGCTAAACGCCACTCCAACATTTCTGTTGAAAAATCATCACAATTACCTAAGTCAGTAAAACCAACAATAAAGTCTTTGGATACACTGTCAACTACAGATACAATAGTTGGTATAACACGAATTTTCATGCGTTCAGTAAGGAATGGAAAACGTGTAACATTTAATTTACAGAACCGTGTTTCTAAGTGTTGTGTGCATAATATTTTTAAATGATGATCAACTATCTTGCATCGAGTTGAACCATCTTTATAAAAATGTAACACCATATTTGGACTTAGCTTTGACTTTTCAAAGAAATTTTTCTCATCACTTAATTCTTCATATTCCCCATGCCCCTATAAGTCATATTTCCAATAAAGGAATTAGTTATTATGTTAATATTAATCAATGGTATTATGCTATTATATTTTTGTTTTCAATAAATTTTAAAAAATAAAATAATTTTTACTTTTGCCATCCACTCTTCTTTTTGTTTAATCATTTTTTTCATTTGTTGTAATCGGTGTTCTCTTATGTTTTCAATACTATCTAAATCTAACTCATCAAGTCGCTGTATTTCTTGATCAAGTTTTTGTTCAATTGTTTCTGCAACTTTCAACAATTGTTTTTCTAAAACATTCTCCATTTTGATTAGCACTATTAAAAATACAAAACCACATTGTAATTTGAACATCTGTTATTTAAATGGTAATATTATTAGATTTTTTACCTACAAATACAGTCTAAAAAACAACACAGTTTAGAATTTAGTTTGAATAATCAATTAAATTAACAGTGTTGATGAATGAACTTTTTTAATGAAAATTAACAAATTTAATAATTATTATAAACACTTTCATCAGTTAAATTACACCACGGATTATCAGGATTTGGCTGCCAATATATCTCCCGATCAATGTAGTTAGTCATAGATTTTATTTAAGAAGTGAATGGCTGGTACTTAGTGGTAGTGGCAAGAAATTCTATAACAGGGCTACCCAACTTGTAAATCATATACGTATTGTGATTAACAGAACGGTCTAGTTGACTCCAGGTACAATTCTGAACGCACCCCTGGTTCAGTTTGGTCACAAGCAGTAACGTTGGTTATCATAGTACCACGATTAAAGATGTATCTTAAACCGTGGGTGGTACCCATAGACCAATGGAGGTACCCAAATTACGGTTATGATATTACTCATCCAATCCTATCGTTATTGACCTAACTCAATGAACGACCCACATGTTGGTCTACACGGCACACGGTTTTATTCACGAAATTAGATTTACAGAATATCGAACGAACGTGTGATAAGTAAAGCTCGAGCCTTCTCACTTTTGAAAGGCCACTATTACCATCTATTATACTCTTTACAAACTATATTAATATTTATTCTCATTAACATAATATAAATTATTATATTATTAGGCCAATGTTTATTATAGAACAGATATGCATTTTATTACATACCCTACTCCTCCAATCTAAACTTTAAATTGGTTTTAGTTAATTTTTATTCCAAGTTTTTCTTAAAGCGCTAGCTGTCATGCTAAACAGTGAAAACCGGGTGTACTCAGAATAACATTGATAAGACCTTTCTGTTTGGTATTTGGTATATTTTAATTCGTGGTGTTATTATATATTTTATCTATAACCATGTTACCTATTTGGTATTTCTTCAATTTTCATAGATAATAATTATTCAGTTAAATTTTGATTCATAGATTAAAGATGTTCTGAATTTGAATGCAAAAACCGTGTATACCCATGTTTGAATGTGTGATTTTAATATAAACTTAGATTAAATTTTTATATTGTACATTATTAGTTAAATACTTAAAACTTTTATGATGACTTCTAATTTTAAAGTAAAAAAATTTGAGAAGATGATTCGTGGTGATCCAGTTAGTGAACAGGTATCTTACAAAAAACAAATAATTGATGTAATTAAATTCAATGAATTGGAGGATCTTAAGCAATGTATATTTGTGAACTCACTGAGTTATATCAGTGATGACGTCTTGAGGGAAAAATGTCAGGATATAATTACACATTATCGACTTTTTAAAGATGACGAGTCACATTATCAGGTTAAAGAATTGTCAGATGATGAAAAAGCAAAAGTGGAAAAATGTATTGGTGTTTGCATCCAAAAAGAGTGTGCTAGAATTATTAGAGAAAAAGAATCCATTCCTTCAGGTACCAATGTTAATTACAGAAATAAATTATTAGATTTAAAATTTTAAAATGTATTTATTTTTTTAGACCTATTTAAATTAATTGAATCTGATGAAAATATGCTATATACTCTAAGCACTAAATTAAATAATATGGTATCGCTTTTAAATAAGTACACCAGTAACCAAAGAGAAATAAGTAACTCTATTTTTAGATTATTGGATAGTAGCTCTATCAATATTATTGAAGCACAAGAACTATCCAAACATTTGGATGTTATTAAAGCTAATTCACAGTAAGAAATAACAAGATATATTTTTTTCAATTTATCTAATTAATATTTTTAGTAAATTACAGAATAATATCATCGCCAAATTTCCATGTTCGGATGCATTGTTAATTTCATTAGAAAAATACTACAATGCTAAAAAAATTGAATACACTGACAATTTGGCAAAGTTGGAGGATTTAAAGAAATTACAGGGCATGTACAAGCAAGTAGATGGGCCACAATATAGAACATTAATTAAAAAATTTATACAAACACAGGAAATTATAAAAATAAAAACAGATATGTTTAATAGTTGTTAGACAGAATATTTGCTATATGTAAATATGAAAATTGTATTATCTTTTTATCACAATACAGATTAAATTGAACATGTAGTAGATTAATTTAATTTTATATTTCTACTTAATTATTGTAAATAAAGTTCAATTTTCAGAATTTTACTTACAAACTTTATATTAAAAGTGTAATGTAGTAATAATTTTGTTTGCAAAACCTACTTGTACTTTCATTATTTACTCAATGACAACTGTGAATAAATGGTAAATGTGAGTTTTTCACAAAAAAAAAAATAAATATTTTGTAGAGGTTGTTATTATGATCATGTACCCTGTAGTGAAACAAATAGCCGATTAGTGATGTTAAGTTTGATTGTGTGTATTGTACAGTAAACGGGCGTTTGGTTCCCAACAAATTTTGATTAGAACTGTATTATAAACTACATTCAGTCTCACTTGTCTATCTCTAGCGTTAGGATTTATCTCTAAAATTAAAAAAAAAATTTAATTTTTCTTTTTTTTTACATGTGATGTATATGCTTATGAGTACATGTTTTGAATGTAAAAATCTGTCAAAATTTAATATAAAAATTCTTTTTTACCACTAAGTATGGCTTTTAATGAACTCCATGTTAGATTTTCATGCATTTATATTTGGTCTAACAATTTTATCCACAAAGTGTACTTACTCAATAAAAATACGTAAAAAACATACAAAATCTCTATAGGTAGCTCAAAAATTGCTAAAATGTTTTGAAAATTATATTATGGCTAGAAAAGAAATATAAGTTTTTTCGTCCGAATTTTAAGACTACAAATATTTTCAACTGAATCACAACATAAACAAAATTGAGAATAATACATTTCGTAAATTTTCTAAATTATTTTGAAAACTAATTGGATAATTAATAAATAATTTTCCCTATAGTACCGCACAGAAAAAATTAATTTCAGAAAACATACATTTGAAAATCAGACTGGTAGAAAAATTGTTTACAGATAAAAAAAATGTAAAAAACATCATTGTAAAACGAATACATTCCCTGATTTGCTCAAAATCTAAGACAGATTACTACATTTTTTTGGTATCATATAATATTAACGTTCATATTAATTATTAATCTTATTCATACTTAAATGGCCAAACAATTTTTGAATTTTGGTGCTAGAAAACTAATAAATGCCATTGCCTTGAACAATTCATCTGTATATATGTATTTAGATAGATCACATATTTAGATTAAATTGCAATATTTATTTAGATAAAATAATCGGTCAGTATAAATTTATCTAGATTAAGTTTTTACATTAAAACCGGCTAATATACTATACTCTAATAATCATAAACCAATAATTTCAGGCTGTTGACCCTCGTGCAAATAACTTCCGTCATATGACTATATAATTGGGAGACATTGGCAATTTTTCTATAAATCACAAGGTGATGTTATTTATATAGACTTTTCCTAACCTAACCTAACCTATCTATGATACGTTGATCCTTATATTGGATAAGCTGGACGTGGGAAATCCATTTTTTTACTGTTTTTTATTTATACCTTAGTGACAGATTCCAATTTGTTGATTTACTTACTTAATAATAAATTGGTGAATGTAAAGTAACATTAGATGTACTTACCTCAAGGTGGACATTTGTCACTACTCCTTTTTAACATTTTTATTAATACTATTATATTATTATAATTAATAATACTAATTATTTTAAAAATTATTTCACTATGTAGAATACTTTTATTTGCTAACGAATGGACGATGCAAATTTTTTTTATAAATAGCAAATCAAGAAGACATCACTGCTGTATTATAAAATTCTATGTATAAACTGGTTGATTGGTGTAAAATGGTTGAACTTTCTTTAAAGTTTAATAAATGCAAGCTAATGGAATTTTGCAGAACCCATAAAAAAATTAATTTTGAATGATAATGATTATGATATTTTATAATAAATGTTTGACTCGAGTAGAACAGGTAGTAGATTTAGGATTTACATTAAAGTCGTCTTTTTCTTTGGGTACTCATGTTGAGCTCATTACTTGCGTAGCACTATGTATTGTGTTTTATTCGTCGGACTTTAACAAAGCCAATCACCTCAAAACGTTATACACAATTATTATGGTCGATTTTGGAATATGGATCTGTGTTATGGTCCCCTTATACTCAATTAACTTGACCCAGCACGCAAAGAATTGAAAGGATTCAAAAATGTTTTCTTTCATTTGCTGATTGTTTTAAAAATTGCTCACCTTCTCCATAATTATACATTGGTATAGGACTTTCTGAATTTATCTAACCAAGAATTCAGAAGTAAAATAATAGATATACGAATTATTAATAATTCAGTACCTACTTAGTAAGATTAATGATAGTTGTCTAAACGATGGGGTATTTTTTTTTATAGGTACCTAGGAATGAGTCCCGTAATAAACAAATTTTTGAAATTAGTACTCGAAACATAAACTATGTAATGATTCTATCCAAAGAACTATGCATATAATTAACTTGAACTCTAGTCTTTTCATTTGTTTGCCAATACTAATTTATTGTAATTTCATTATTATATTCACCATATAATCTTATTTAATTGTTATCTTTAATATTTTAATTCTATGATATTCACCAACAATAAAATAAAATGAGAAATTTAATAGAATGGTAAAAGTGGTAGCAATCCATTTGAAGTGTTTCACTATTCTCCTCCAACTAAAACTTAAAAGGGGAATACTTTAAATTAATTGATGGTGTTTTATTGTTTACTTATGCATTAATTTGCTTTTTTTTTTTTATAAAAATAGCACTATTTTAGAATAATATATTATGCATATGATTATATCTAACATTATTTTAGGTGGGAAGTTCATGAGTTAGTTGACTATTTCAGTAGAACTGAATGAATTGATTCAGTGTAGTATAGTTCAGTGACTCAGTGCTACCACTGGTTCAAAATAATGATTCACGAATCGGTTAGTTCAATACAATTCACGATTTACGGATGTGTGTTATCAGTCCGACAATTCGCCTATACAGCCTGCTATGCCACAATATACATAATTTGAAATTCTATTATTGTGTAATGACAAGTGATGTTATTACGTTATGTTATGATAAATTAAATAGGTATGTCAGCAACTTGTGATGGTAGTGATATTAAAACGTAAAATGTTTGGCGGGTTACACCAAGGCACGAGGTTTTATGATAAGGTAAAAAGTACCGTTTATTTACAACATCAAAACATAATACAAGTGTTCGCCAGCTGCCGGCTTTTGACGGAAGTAAGGGCGAGCACGCAATAATTAAAACAACATTAGTGGAAAAAATCAATTATACACAAAAATAATTCAGAGTCGGAGAAGAATGCTTCGCGTATGGCGTCGGTGAGGAGAGAGCGAGCGGAGCTGTGTGTCAAAAACCGTTAAACGCCGACGGCGAGGGGCGTGGCCGACGTCCGCCACGAGCGACGCGCAGCGGGAAGAAAGGAAAGTGAGTCCTCTCGGAGAATGATAATGTTGTGGTCCGCCACAAATGCATAGATATTAGATAATAGATAATATACTGATATTGAATGATATAAATGTATAATAGTTTTATATAGTACAAGCACGTTACAATTGTTGCAAGTCATTTAGAAATATAATACATTTTGCGTTAGTGTTTGTTTGGAATAAGTTTCCTTTTTCATGTTTGACAAAACAATATTACCGGAAGCATGAGAAATAGAAGATATTTAATACATTATACAATAGGTATTAAGNTACCTATAAGTATTTAGTATATATTATTATAATATACCTACTTAATTAAATTATAAAAGTATACGACGAAATTTATTGTATATATATTTTACAACCAAAAATTCAAATATAAACATATTGTATTAATATATCATACTTTGTAATGAACAATGGCATCGAAGAGGATTAGAGCGACAATTATTTTGTTTATTGAAGTATGCATTATTAAATAGAAATATTTTGGAAAACAATCTAAAAATAAAAATAATTGCTGGCACAAAATTGCATAAGACTTCAATTCAAGTACTATAGGCTGTGTAAGTACCAAGAAGGTGTAAACTAAACAAAATATATATTGTTTTGAATAACAGGGCAATTGGAAACCTAACTAATACTTTAGCCCAGAGATGTCATAAGTTTACGCTTAAAATATGAAATATATTTATTCGTCGTATAAATTATTATTTGGTAGAAAATATATAGTGATAATTATATAATAAGTTATTCTGCACTTTATTCATCAAATAGCTCTATTAGTTTACTCCGACATGGAAAACTGAAAATTATTAATTTTTTCTTATGTGTCAAATAACACGTTTTATCGACGAATAAATGTGACTGAAAATCCGGGCCATAATGAAATGAACTGGGAACTTGAGAGTTGGCTCATTGAGTTGATGATTCGTGATAAGGAGAATTGTTTAATGTAATGAACTGGCAACTTAGGAGTTGATTCATCGAATCAACTCTTTAAAATGAACTGATTTATTGAAAATTGCATCAATACAAATTATTATCTTTTAGAATTTAAAAAAATTGGTGTCAAAAACTTTTCCTTACCAGTGTTACCAATGAGTGTATAAAAATTATTATCTTTTACAATTCAAAAAAATTGGTGTCAAAAACTTTTCTTTACCAGTGTTACCAATGAGTGTATAAGTCATGAGACGGAATTATGATCATACAGTGATAAAATAGGTAATCGTTGGGGTTCAGAAAAGTGATACGGACTAAAATATAAGATATCTAGTCCGTAGTATTGATCCGTGATTATTATGTTTACTTTATTTGAGTTCAAATTTAAAGTTAAATCATAATATTAGTAATTAATAATTATAATAATAGTATTAATATTATAATTTTATAACTATTATTGTTTTCTTTCATTGGTTTAATATGGCAGATTTAGAGAGTAAATTACTTGGAGAAAAACTGCATAACTACTGTAGTAGCAGCGACGAAGATGAACCAATGTTGGATCGAGATCCTCCCAAACAATCAAAATCAGACTGGGATGGGACATCATCAAATACTGGTCCAAAAGGAGTACTGAATGATTGGGAACAATATAAACGACAACAATCTGCACAGAAAGTACAACACGAAAAAAATGTAATAAAGCAGATAAATGACATGGCTCTAACATGCAAGTCTGAACTTGATGAATTGGATGATAAATTTCTTGCTGAATACCGTAAAAAACGTATGAAGGAAATGATGGCAAAAACTGAAGAAGCTCCAGAATTTGGTAAAGTTTATGATTTATTAACTGGGGATGATTTTTTAAATGCAGTTGAAAATGAAACTCCCAATGTAACTGTTATTGTACACGTTTATGAACACAATGTGCCAACATGCTCAATTATGAATTCATGTTTGAAAGTGCTATGTAATGAATTTCAAAAAACAAAATTTTGCAAACTAATTGGTTCAAACGCTGGTTTGAGTTTAAATTTCAAAATGTGTGGTGTTCCAGCTTTACTTGCATACAGAGCAGGACAACTTATCGGCAATTTTGTGCGTGTTACTGATGATCTAGGTGATGATTTTTATGCTGGGGATGTGGAGAACTTCTTAATTGAACATGGTGTTTTATCCGATAAATCATGTATACCTTCTATCATAACTAATGATAATGATAATAATTTATTTTAATGTGTAAAAAAAATATGATATACAATAATTTTAATATGAGGTATTTCTTATGTTTATACTTAACATACTTAGGCGAGACTATCAAAGACTAAACGTTTTGGTTGTGTTCCTGAAACAAATCATAATTTTTATTCTAATTAATTCTAATATGATGTAAAATATACATATATTATTAATTTATGCATTTTTAAAAAAATAATTTTGCGTCTTTATTTAGTTAAAAAGAATAAATATATGTTAGTTAAATTTATAATTGCCTCCTTCTAAATAATCGGTGAACTTTCGTTTTTGTCCTTTTGCATCCTGGTCATCTGAACTCTTCTCTTTTAAACATGATGGTATAGGTAATTGACTTCCTAATGAAGGTGGTGGTCGAATACTGAACAAATTATTCCAAAATCAACAAATTAATAGTTATACATTAAGTAAAAATTGGAGGTTATCAAATTTATAACTCACCTAAAGTATGACATTTGTAATGCTTCTGAACATGTTGGTCTTTTTAAAGGATTAACATTAAGCATACCGCCAATAACGTCAAGTAATTCATTAGGAGCTGCTGTAAATATTTCTCTTAAAGGAATTGCTGGAAATTTTTTGAATACTACATAATCGGATAATTTAGTAACACCCTGAAAAATAAATATTTTTATCTATTCTTTTACATTAATTTATTAAAACTTCTTTTTATACACTTTTTGAGGTGATAATTTAAAATTCAACCATACTAAGAAAATGTGGCTTCACTATATAGATTAATATTTGTACATAAAAATTATTTAAAATTATTACTGGCCAGGTTTCTTCATTTGGTGATCCCAGTGTAGTAAATATTTTGGTTAGCTGGTCTAAATCAGATTCACCAGGTAAAAAGGGTACTCTAAGTAAAAGTTCTGCTATTATACAGCCAACAGCCCAAATGTCAATAGCTGGTCCATAAGCTCGGGCTCCAAATAAAAGTTCTGGTGCTCGATAAAACCGAGTAACTACTCTATGTGTGTGCAAACGATCTGGTGTTCCAAATCTTTTTGCCAAACCAAAGTCAGCAATTTTTAAAACACCTTTTTTATTGACTAATAAATTATTTGGTTTTAAATCCTGTAATAAGTATTAGTCATTTTATTTCTCACACCATAAACTAAAAATATCTTACTCTATGTAAAATCCAATTCATATGCAAATATTCTAATCCTTTTAGTGTCATTATTGCATATGCTTTTATGTGAGACTGAGTGAATACTATTGATGAGTCTTTAATAATAACTTCTAGGTCTGTGTCCATAAAATCATAAACTAAAGATATATTTGATAGATGACCAAAAACATCTGAATTTTTTTGTTTAATATAATGTTAGTTCATTATTATAATATTTCATTAAAATTAGATTAAAATACAAACCAATCAAAGCAATAATATTCTCATGATCTAGTTCAATAAGAAGTTTAATTTCTCTGAGAGCCGTACGGTTAACACCATCCTTTGCATCTTCTACAGTACCAACTTTTATCTAAATAAAAAAAAAAAAAATTAAATGAAAGAGCTGATAGTGTGCCATTGCTATAGGTGGGAAGTGGGTAAGGTAGGTTACATAAAGTTATTTAATTTATATCTGTTTGAAATAATAAATTATTGCTATTGATAAATAATTCTGAAGTTTACATGTTTTTAAATAGTGTAATTTTTTTTCAAAATTTGATCTTAAATTAATAAAAAAAAAAAAAAAAATAGAAAATATTAAATTTTTACAAATAGCTTAAAAATCACTAGAAATTTTACCACAACAGAATAAAGAAGCAGTATAAGTATTCTGTAAAAATGTCAAGCCTCCATGAATATATTTTATACTATAGTAAAATTACAATAAAATTGAAATTATAAAACTGTTATTTCAGTAAACTTTGCTATTTATCAGTTTTTCATCATTATTATAAAAATCAGTTTATAACACATACAACTACATTTCTAATGCAACAACTAAATCTAAAATAATAATAAAAAATATAATCATTTTTTGTCATTCTTTGTTTGGACCAAGATTTCTGGGAGAAGAGTTGCTCATAGACAGGAAATATTTTAAAAAAAAGAAACAGTGAACATAAATAATCAAATAAATTCCTCGCTATGCTCAGAACCTAAACAAAATTAACAATCACGTAAAATAAAATACCTTTTTAACAGCAACAATATTGCCTGAAATGGAATCCTTAGCTTTGTAGACTGTGGCAAACTAAAGCATAAAAAAGTAAAATTAACAATTATTATTAAGGTGTATAATATGAAGTATCTAGTTGGTGATGGATAAAAAATATTCAGTCACATCAAGACAATTACTAGTAACAATAAATTATATTTTTGTTCCCACAACAAAATATAAGACATTTGGTCTCAGAAAATTATTTTTAACTACTGATAAAATTTAATTAATAAAACAATATAAAGTTTATTATTTTACTCGATATACATAAGTGTAATATTATAGTGTTAACTGAAGTTTTGTAATTCTTTTTTCAATTTAAAAAAATACACTTTCAATGATCAATAATTTGATGATTATAGTTCATTATTTACATCTCTTTAACTGACAGTAAGTTAAAATTACCAATGTACAATATAAATAATTATCTATACAAAGTAATTATCAGACCAGTCCTTTTATATGCGTGTGAAACATGGCCAACGACTAAAGGAGACGAAGACAAATTAGCAATACTCGAAAAAAGAATATTAAGAAGAATATTTGGGCCAAAAATAAATAACATGACACGAAAATATGAGAAAAAAATTAATATAGAAATACAACAATTATATAAAGAGCCAGACATAGTAGTAGTATTAAAAAATAGGAGAATGGCATGGGCCGGTCATGTATGGAGGTCAAATGGTCTTATGAAAGAGGTTTTAAAATGGAAACCCCAGGGAAAAAGACCACTTGACAGGCCGAAACAAAGGTGGATTGACAAGGTGGAGAAGAATTTAGCAGAGATTGGAATACGAGATGGAGAAACAATAGCACAGGACAGAGATAGATGGAAGCAAGTATGTGTTGCAGTAATGGGCCTCAATGGCCTTTAAAAAACCGATGAAGAAGAAGAAGAATATAAACATTTTATAATTCTTTAATAATTACTTCTACCATTTCTGTTTTCTTTCTACCTCAAATACTAGGGGCAATATCACAATATGGTATGGTTAATAATTTTGTGGACTAAATGTCTTACTGTTGGGAACAAAATGTCTGCTAATTTTTATCGACAGGGACAAATCACTCTTAATTTATTGGTAGTACATGATAATATAAGCTACAAAGAATGGATGTAAATTAAGGGGTAGGGGGTAGATTATCATATTAAGTCTTAATTTAAAAAGTGTATAAAATTGCCACATATACAACACCAAAACAATATAGTCCTTTAAAAATAACAAAATATAACATAAAATTATAAAACATTAATTTTCAGAAATTAATATTAGTCTCAGGGGACTAATAATATCTGCTCTCTATTTAGCATTGTATATAGTAAATTTATATCATTCAAGTATTTAATATAATACTGTACTTGAAATCTGAAAATTACTTAAAACATGTTTTTTACAATTTTGAATAAAATTAGATGATGTTTGAAAATCAACATAAATAAGAAGTTATTTTACATGTATTTTAAAATAGGTTTATAGGTTTACTTTTAAAGAAAATAACGAATATAATAGGTACATTGAATATGGAAACTAGACTTTGTGTACTTATGTTCTATCACTCATTTCATAAAGAGATAGTGTGAAATACATTAAAATTTTAAATTTCTCAATTTATTTAAACATTTAAATATTATTTTTAATATTAATTTATACTAGTCCCATCTCAACTAAAAATGTATATCAAGTTTAACAAATAAATTATTATTACGGGTCAGTTATTGAAAAATGAATTATGTATTTTAAATCCTTCACAATACTAGATATTGTTTTATAATTTTATTAGACAATCAATATTTACCTGTCCTTCACCCAAAAATTCAATAATTTCGTATTTTTTTGATTTGTTCTCCATTTTAATATGTGGGTAAATTTCAAATATACATATATGATATAAAAAAAAAAAAAATAGTGTAAATTTAATAGTAATTGCTAAACGGAGTTTAAAAAAATAATCTAAGCAGTTCAGGTTTTAATTTTAAGTTTTAATGTAGCTATTTTTTTAATAAACACATTTTATAATTTTAATCACATCAACTAATCACGGTTACCGAAATCGTGGTTAATCGCATTAATGTATGTGCCTTGGTTGATTTTGATACTATCAATTTATCGGCTTTTCTATTGTAGATGTTATATATTATTATTTATTTTTATTTTTTCTTAAATAACAAACGTGTTTTAAACTTTGACTTTTTACGTGTAAAGTTAAAATTATTTAAAGAAAGTGGCAATGGATTACGTGGATGACATTGAGGACTTGATTTCATCTGTTGCTGATGTTGCTGAAACATTTAGAAACAAACCTCGTAATGTAGTCAATTTGCGTTCCAAAACTAAGAACAAACCTGAAAAAGAAATTCATAAACCGTCACCCCAAGTTCCTGGTACTCAAACAATATTTATTAAAACTTGGGGATGCTCACACAATAGCTCAGATGGGGAATATATGGCCGGTCTTCTATCAAACTATGGATATAAAATAACTGGTATGATGATTAAAAACACCCCTTAACATGATTTTTATAGCTTATTTTTATTTGTTAGATGATAAAGATATAGCGGATTTATGGATACTAAATAGTTGTACAGTAAAAAATCCAGCAGAAGATCATTTTAGAAATGAAATAAATAATGGAAAAAAATCTGGAAAATTTGTTGTAGTAGCTGGTTGTGTTCCTCAAGGAGATCAAAAGTCGCCATTTATCCAAAATCTGAGTGTAATTGGTGTTCAACAAATAGACCGGGTAATAGAAGTAGTTGAAGAAACATTAAAAGGTTAGTTGCATTCATTTACTTTCGAATGAAGCAATATTTTTATTTATTTGCAATAGGACATACTATTCGATTATTGGGACAAAAGAAGAAAAATGGAAAAAAAGATGGTGGTGCTAGATTACAGTTACCGAAAATTCGTAAAAATAAATTAATTGAAATTATTGCAATTAGCACTGGATGTTTGAATCAGTGTACTTATTGTAAAACAAAACATGCAAGAGGTAACCTTGGCAGTTATCCTCCTGGTAATTATCCTGGTATTATCTAGTATGTTACATCTAAAAACTTTGATCATAGATTATTACAAATTATTATGTACTGTAGATGAAATTGTTCAGCGAGCTATAGAATCATTTAATGAAGGTGCTGTGGAATTGTGGTTAACAAGTGAAGACACTGGTGCATATGGATTGGACATAGGAACGAATCTACCAGAACTACTTTGGCATTTGGTAGCTATTATACCTGAAGGTTGTATGATGCGTATAGGTATGACTAATCCACCATACATACTCAATCACCTAGAGGTTCGTTTTAATTATATTCAAATATTTAATACATTTAAACCATATGTATATTTATTATGCAGGAAATTGCAAAAGTTTTATCTCACCCTAGGGTGTATGCATTTTTGCATGTTCCCGTACAATCTGGAAGTAATCAAATACTAGCAGACATGAAACGTGAATACTCAATTGAAGAATTTGAAACCGTTGTTACTTTTTTGAGACAAAAGTAAAATTAAATTGATTGAATCTATTTAAATTTGATGTGTTTATTAATTTTTTTTAAATAGAGTACCCGGTATTTCCATTGCAACTGATATTATTTGTGGTTTCCCAACTGAAACAGAGGAAGATTTTTCTGAAACAATGCGTGTTTGTGAAAAATATAAGTTTCCTAGTTTGTTCATAAATCAATTTTACCCTCGCAAAGGTACACCAGCTGAACGAATGCCAAAAATACCAACAGATTTGGTAAGAAGATAATATTACACTTTCAATGAAGTACTAATATTGAATTTATTTTTCTAGGTTAAAACACGAACTAAACGTCTGACAGAATTATTTCACTCGTATACCACTTATGATCACAGAGTAGGAGAAGTACAAGATATTTTAATAACCGAAGAGGCAAAAAGTGGCACTGAATTAATTGGACATAATAAATACTATGAACAGGTTAGTTAAAAAAGCATTTGTAAATGTAATTAATTGTTAATATCTCACTAACAAAATTAACTATTACATAATTGTTGTTAATAGAAGTTAGAACAATTAAAATTTAGTAGCTTTAATCTTCAGAAGGGCGTACGTGTGTCATTTACTCTGCACTTTAAACAAATTAGTGCCCAATTGTTTAATATGGCCTTGGGTTTTATCGACACTTATAGATGTTCTCTGACTACATATTTAGATCTAAGATAGTGTAGTTAGTAGAGCAATATGAACACATTTTAAGGAAGCTTCTTTTTAGTTTCAAAATCTACAAGGTACTTTGGCTTCTATTTAATTCTAATATTATTTGTCATTGCCAGAGGTTCTTCAATACATTAAAAAAAAAAATTGTATTTTCAATGGACATAATATTAATGTTCCTCATTGAGAAAACTTTTATAAATACACAAATGAGCACAAATATTATGTACATGGTTCTAAATAAGATAAAAGATGTCATTGTACGTTTGCTGATGCAATATAATTTTATGTGTCCACCTAGTTTTAAAAATAAAAATTCAGACAATATCAATTTTATAATGTAAATCAAATTATCTCTGTGAACTTTGTACTACCAGGAGTGGCCTAGGATTTGGTTGTAAAAAATACTATATGAAATAGATTATGCTGTTTAAATAAAAATGGTTTCACATCAAACGTTTTAAATACAGATGCAAATGGCATCAAATACCCTATTTTTGTTTAGAGCTGGATTAGAACATAGACACTCCTCCTAATTTATTTACCAATTTTGTATGTCTGTATAAAAATATATAATAAATTAATTTTTCTTTTTTTATTACGTTTATTAGAATATCTACAATCTGTAATGAAGGTTACAATTAGCATATGAGCTAAACAAATAATAATAAACATGATCCGAAAGCTTGAGATGAGTTACCCAGCAGTAACACTTAGACACAATAAATAGTTGTGCTTTTTTTGACAAACAAATATTATGAGTTTACATTTTTTATTATTATTTTTTGTGTATCATTTTAGTTAAGCCAAATTACGACCTTTTAAGTTTTCCCGGTAGATTTCCAGGCATGTTTACAGAGTTAAGTAAAAGAATAAGTGGATCCTGGTGGTTCGTAAGGCCACCTAGATGTAGGTACTTCAGAGATAGTCTGTAGTCCAAGATCTAAGTGTAGTGTGTAGTTTGATACATAGAAAGGTGCATTAGTAATTACACAAAGTGATAGAGACTGAAACATTTGCATTTTGTCAATTTTAGATATTTTGCCACACCCTATAATGGGGTACCGTAAATCCAAATAAGCTTTAGGGGATTTTGTTGAACAACAGTTTATTATTCAGGTTAAGTTTAGCAAAATAATAAATTTAAAATTATTTTAAAGTCAATCTAAATGAATAATTCCACTTTACTAAAATTAAGGAAATTACTCCCCTCCACTTTATCTAACCACACTCAAGCCAATTTTTTACATTCTCATGAAAGCCACTGTTCTTTTTTAAAATAGGTCTTTGGCACATGAAACTCTCAAACACTTCTATAACATCTTATTGTTATTAGCTGTCTTGTCATGTTCTTCAAAAAACTCATATTTTGTTTATTTCTACTTATCCTTGGTACCTTTCCTTCAAGTGCTGCTCAAGCTAATTTTTAACTTATTTCAGATTTTAAATTTTGAACATAGTGAGGGAGCTATTGATTTTACTAAACTGTTTATTTTTGCTTTATTTCTTTCTTTTTTCTGTAAACGATTAACTGAGAAAAAAATACAGTTTTTTCACTATTTTGTTATTTTAAGTAAGTACCTACCTCGTTTTCTGGTATAAATATGGCTCTAATTGAAAAACCACAAGAGACCATATTTTTGTTGAATTTTTTTTTTAAATAAACGCCTTGAAATCAAATTTAAACAAAAATCGCAAAAAAAAAATGTACGGCACTTCAAACTATATATTACCGAACTGCGCTTGAAATCGTCTTTTGTCAACAATGGTGTATTGTTGCTTACAGATGTAAATAAATTAAGCTTATGTATCCTACTTTTCCAACTTCCTTACGTCCCCAATATATTTTTTTTCCTGTCAAAGTTATATTATCTGCAATACATCATGCACCATACCTCTCAATTGTTTACCTGTGTGCATCCAAGATAAGACAATTTGGCAAATTCTTATTTAGAACTCCTCTTACTGTTTGAAACAATTTTACATCGGCTTTCAACTTGATGCAGCCACATTGTTTATCTCTTAAGACAAGTAGAGATATCTGTGAGAGTATTTGGATTTTCTCCCACAAGAAGCATGTTGAAAATATTATAAATACACTGGCTATTCCACTAGCGTTGCCTATGCCAGACAAATGTGTAATAAAAACGATTTCCCCTGGATTTTTAGTTTCAATCCTCATCATTATTACTGTAGTTAATTTTTAAAAATTAATTTTTTTTCATTTTCCTTTTCAAACTCTTATAAATTATTTATTTGGTTGCTAAACAATGAAAAATACCCGATAAGTTTATTTTTTTATCCAGCTGTAGGTTAGATCTACGTCTCTATTGGTCAGATTAATGTTTTCAATTGCTTAATAGGTTCTTCGCAATATACTCTTTCATTTTAAAAAAAAACCACATGATGATTATATGACTAGTGTCAGAGTCAACCCTTGAAAAAGATTTCCATTTTTGCTTTTATATATTGTGTATGATGATTTACTATGACTGAGACTTGTTAACATTATTAGGATCTTTGTTTATTAATTTTATATGAGATGGATGCTTTAATTTTAGGAAAACTTACACGGACTATCCTACTATTTATTTATTTTTTGTTTTTTAATTTCATCCGTATCGCTGTACTTAAAATACTTATAATCCTGTATCAGCTACATAGGCGCAATTTCAGTTTTTAACTTGGAGGGGCTCAATATTTTTAAATGAAACAGATCCACATCTGCCCCCCATTCAAATACCAAAATCATAGTTATCTCACCAATTTTCATACGCATATTGCATATTGCATACGGGCATACGTAAAATAGAAATGAAATACAAGTCGACCCGCAGTGTACCCCGCCACTCATGGGAGTAAAAGTTTTTGTAATATGGGTAATACCCACAAAGCCATAAAGGACCAACACCATACATATATTATATTTTCTATGACTAACACTATGTCGTTGCACGGGCTCGTTTCCATTATTTCCATGTTTAAATTTTAGAAACTATTTTTTTCAAACAACGTTTAACATATTATGTAGATTAGATAATTAATGAAGCATTTAATTCTTAAATTTGAATACAAATTTTTGGAGGGGCTTAGCCCCTCCAAGTCCCCCCCAAATTGCGCCTAAGATCAGCTACCTTTGCAACAGCATCTATTAAGTGCAATTGTTGAACCTAAACAATCCAGGAACTCATTCAAACACACACAAAAAATTTCATCAAAAATAGTCCAGTCATTTAGGAGTTCAATGACAAACACGGACAGAAGAAATATGGATATAAAGATATTGTCATGTATAATATAATGTTAAGTTTTATTGTCCATTTACTTATACAAATGATATTCAGCTATTTCTGAGCTATTTTTATTTACAAAAATAAACATTATTTATGGTCAACAATATTTCTAACAACTAAAGAGAATTTTTTTTTCTGATAGATGATAAATTAAATTTGCAGATAGGAATTATATCTAAAAAAAAAAAAGCAAGATTTTAAATCTATGCCCCACACACTGTAAGCATATCAACCGCCACATAAAAGGTACACATAGGAAATATAATAACATCATAATATCCATTTTAACATTCTCATAATGAAAAATTTGAATCAAAATTAGTATTTGGACCATAAAAAAAATATATATATGAATTATATTGAGGATTCCGTAATGAAAATTTTGAATTTAAATAAAAAATTTTCAAATTTGATGATTTTTCAGTCATATTATAAAAATTATCCCTGCAGCTTACTTGGGCATATCATGAATATTTTCCCACCAAACTTGAGAAAAAATGATATAGAAATATCAAATATCTGCAAATTATCACAATGATAATGCCATGTGAACATACTCATAGTAATACAGGTGTTTAATTGTAGTGTTTAAACAACCAAAATTTAATAGTTTTGTTATTAATACTGGACTCATCTTATACTGTTATAGTGTGTAGTTGTGTACGCAAACTTGAGATTATAATTTTTGCTGCATACACCAAAAACACTTGGTGTGTAACAACTTTAATTAAAATTAGATGTCGGAATAACGGATATTTCAAAAATAATCTTTTTAATTTAAAATATGAAAAGGCTAGTTTGTTTGAAGTTAGTACATATTGTCATGGTCCTTATTAACATATGCTCAATGAAGGGAAAAGAAAAACAAAAGGGCATTTTTTTGTTCTATACACAGAAAGTAATAGTTATGCACCTAAAAAATAAAATTTACATGATAGATTATCTTGTATACCAGGTGAATAATTTAAGTGGGTACACTCATTATCTTTGAAAAATATTAACTTTTTCCAGAAATCGTTTTCTAGAATATTTAAGAAACAAGCTGCTGCTCTACAATTTTATATTTATTTTATTCTATTTTTTGTCACTCCTATTTATGTAGGTAAAACCATTACCTACTTTTAATTTTCAAATGGCAACCTATATTAAGAAGTCCATAAATAGATGGAGTAATTAATCAAAAGACATTTTAGTGTTGAAATTTTTGATTTCCGTTGATCAGTTGATGAAATATTCCATTTTTAAGTTTTGGTCGGAGGAGAGAAGTGGATAATTATCAAACCGTAGTGCGCCATACTGCCACACAAATGATACTTCACCACTCCCCCAAAAATAAGGGTGAAAAAAAATAACAAATATTGTAGAGCTGCTTGTTTCTTAAATATTCTAGAAAACAAATTTCAGAAAAAGTTAATAAACTCTGGGATAATAAGTATATTTACTTAATTAAATGGAATACCTGGTACTACTACAAAAAAAAAAATAAAAAAAAAAATACTACATTCCAAGTATGAAAAACTAGAATTTCTATTTATAAACATATATTTGATTATATTTAAATTTGCCCATGCCAATAGAATGAATTTTGGTTTTCAAATAATTGCTAAAAATTATTTAAACATGAAATTTTCTATAATCAAAATATATGAACAATTAAATTAATGGTTTATTAACTTTGGAAAAGGTTAAAAATATCTTACCTTATTTAATTTGGTTTAAAATTTTAAACTGTTCTGAGGTTTTACAAAATAACTTAATTTTATTACTATGTCATCTGTAATTTATAAAGTACCTTTATAAGTACTTAGGATCTACAAAAAAATTTAACTGTTTGTTTTCAGGTTTTAGTGCCAAAGGAACCAGAATTAATGGGCAAGTTTATTAAGGTAATTGTGAAGACTGCAAAAAAACATTGTTTGATAGCTGAAATTATCAAAAAACCAACTATTTTTAAAGATAGATTTCAAACAATCAATAATATTTATTCAATATGGCCTGTGTTTGCCTTATTGATTTGTGTTTTAGCAAGGATAATTTGGTTATTAGTATAATTTAATACATAGTATGTAGTAAGTACAAAAAAAAAATTCATAACACATAATTATGGTCTCCAAGTGACTTCAACTTCATCTGTTCTAAACCTAGGAAAAACAATTACAGTTTATAATTAAATTAAGATTATATTAGATAGTTGTAATCTTAATACCTTTGGGTACAAAATGTATCTTCCCATGTAGTCTTATAACCACTTTTATACATCAATGCTCCTGTATGAGCAATCATTACTCCATTATCTATACAAAATCTAATAAAAACACAAATTTAAATAAAATGTATATTTTACTTTTGTTAATAGTTTTTTGATTTATAAACATCAAAAATGATTTGTAATTTTTTTTGCAGTCTTATAGTATGATTTTGGTGGTCAACTTTTGAGATTCATATGGGAATCTTTACTTTTTTTTTCAAACATAATATATTTTTTAATACATTATAGTGATTGAATAATATTTATTTATTCATTTTATGTTTATAAATCAAACAACATTTGAATTATTCATTTTTGAATTTTTTTAAATTTTGAATCCCCCTGTCTATTTGTTGCGATTATATTAGGTTTTTTTTGGTTTAAAAATTGTTAAAAATTTTAATTTTAATTTTATTAATATAGTATAGTTTATAAATAGTATAATAAGAAATCTGATTTATTTCTTGGTGTATAAAAAAATACGTACTCAAAGTCATTTCTCACTTCCACAAGTTACAGAATATTTATAAATATTTTTGAATAGATAACCTAACCTTTGTATGGATACAATACATAGATACTAAACATATGAATAGGCCACTAAAGTAGTATTTTTGTGGTCATGAATATTGGATTACACTGTAATAAAACCAATGATAAAAAGGCCTACATTATTTCTACTATTCTATGCTACCCGTAGTCCTATTGTCTGATCAAGACCACTAAGCATAGAGCCAAACCATATTATCTTTAATATCAATGTTTCAATATTATTATTTAATCTATAATAATAATATTTTAATAATTTATATCTATATCAAAAATCATTTTATTAAAAAGTTTAATTCAAAATAAAATATGTTGTACAGTGTACCTACCTAATTAATATTTCTTAATTTAATTTAATAAAAAAACTTAACACTTTATTGGTACTCTATTTTTAATTTATGTATATTTTTTTTGTCTAGTAAATAAATATATTGATTTTAAACACTAATTTGTTGTACAGTTATATTAATACAATTTAATTTGTGTATGTCAAATGAAAAGTGTTTTAAATTCAATATTATATATTGAAGATTATTATATAACAGCATAATAATCTTTAATTTTAATGCGATTACTGAATATTGATTATTTAATTAATTATCTTACCGTTCATCAGTAGCATATAATATAGCACCTCTTTCATCACACATTATTTTCATCATTTCTTGTAATCGTTCATTACAGCCCACACCACCAACTATGAGGACTTCTTTAGACTTACAATGGGACATGGCTCTTTCTAAAGAAAAAAAGAAAATAATGTACCTCATCTTTACAAGTAATTAGAAAAAAAAAGACAATCTGTATACTTTGTACTTTAAATTTTAATTTTTTTCTGTTTTTCTCTAACCAACCATTAATTTTCCCATCAGAAAAGTTACTGAAGTTAAAAATAAGTTGAATAAAGTTTTTAGTAAAAAACAAACAAATATACACATTATACAATCAATATTAAACAATTTTTCTATAAGGCATCATTAAACAATAATATAATAATACATTCATTAGTATTATAAAAGTATAAAATGCTATTTCTATTATTATAGAATTAATACTATAAATAATAATACTTAATGTAACTAATTATAATAAATAAATTGGTTTTTTTTTTCGCAGTTTATTTTTCCCATAAATTGTTTTTCCTACATTTTAATTAGTGAGCAAAAGTAATCATTAAAAACAAATTTTCAATCAAATTTAATCTTCCAGCTTGTTTCTATAAACATAAAATTACTGAAATAAAATGTAATAGTTTTAGGTAATATCACTAATATTGTTGTGAAAAATAATAGAAATCATTCCTTTTACAATATCTTTAATTTGGAAAAAACAAGACAATTGTATAATGAAATACATGTGTAGTTACTGGCCTGTTTTGAAATTTGGAATATTTTGAGATGGTCATTTCAGTAACCCTATATTTTCAATATAAATTAGATTATTACACTACCGATACGTACCTGTTGTTTCTATTAACATAGCAAAAAGAGTTTCTTGAAGTGAAAAACATAAATCTTCAGGGGTATATTCACCAGATGATAACAATGATTGTGCTTTTTCTTCTATGTAAGAAAGTATGCCAGAAAATGATACATCCATACCTTTTACTACATAAGGTAATTTATGATATTTCAAACCTCTACAAATAATTGAACAATTATTTAAATACAATTATAACAATTTTGTTTTATGTTAATCAGAATAATTACTTTTTAGCCATTTGTTCAATATTATATCCAGGACTAGGATCATTGGATAGTTTTAAAACTCTTGCAAATCGATCCAAACAATTTCCTACAGCAATATCTATTGTTTCACCAAATATTCTATAATGATTTCCAGAATATGCTATAACTTGTGTGTTTCCACCGCTAACATATAGAACAGTAGGATTGTCACTACTAGTTATTAAGCGACCCATTTCAATATCTAGCCAATATAATTAAGGTTTGATTTTAATGAAAAGTTTATAACAAAAATAATATTATGTAACATATGGTTAAAATAATCAAAGATTGAACATAGAATATTTAAGTTAAATAGGTATTCTGATCTATCATAGTTGATTTTTTAACCAAATATATTAAGAGTGAGTATGGAAAGTGTAAGATTTTGAATATGAACATCATTTTATTTTTTGTAAGACTTAAAAAAATAATCTCATAAAAACAAAGGACATTTTATTTTTTAATTATATAGGAAAAGTCAAGTGATATTTAAAATTATAATTCAATAAACTTATATTCTTTTTATCATAACATATTGACAAACCATTTATTCTAGTTAAGAGTTAAAATGTAACAAAGTAAATACAAATACTTAATGTGAATCTTCTTTTCTTCGCTAGTAGGTAACATTATTGTATTCACATTATTTATAAAAAACGCTGTTCTTTAAAAGTAAACATGAATTAAGTTCATATTTTCAATGCACTTGAATTTTAATTGGCTAATTCATTTTACTTCAAATACCAATTTTATATTGAGAATTTTGCCTGTCGTAACACACACGGATTAAATAATGTCTCCAGACTTTTAATTTATAAATTAATTAGTGCAATAATGAAAACAAATGTTTGAACATTTCTATAACCTCAAATAATAAGTTTAAAAATAGAATAGATCAGTTTTGTTACCTGGGTTTTTCATTTACTTTATTTATTTGGAATTAATCAACCATAAATGCTCTAAACAAATTTTTTTTTTGAAATTTTATATAAAAAAGCTGTCTTAGAATAATGTGAAAAGGTACTGCCAATGTTATAGGTGAGAAGTTGGGAAGGTAGTAAAGGGGAAATTTAATGTGTATCTGAAAGCAACGATAAACCATTGCTATCACACACATATGCATAGGAATTTAAACAAGGTAAATCAAAAACACATTTGTGGTACACTGCATACAATAAGATAAGAGTCAATAAGATCATGAGATACATTCTTTTATAGCACTTAAAAACTACTTAAACTGCTTGAATATGCTCTAAAAATTGACAAGTAAAAAAGGATTTAGATTTCCTAAATACTAAACAATACTTATGGCTCTGCTAATTTTTTTAATCTTTTAAAAATAATGCAAGGGCTAGAAGTACCAAACCTTAACCATGATCATACCTTTAAAGCGTGTTCCGATTGATACGCTATATAATAAACAATAGCATTTTATTATTTTGATCACAAATAAATTTAATTTATGTGTAAAAAAAATGATTTAACTTAAATGGCACGGCTTTTATTTTATTTACTATTTTAATGCTATATTAAAAATAAAAATAGTTAAAATAGAAGTTAAGATGGATCTTGTACACTAATTCTTGTTTAAATTTATTTACTTCTTTATTTGTTTTCTCTATTTTAAAAAAATACTATGTACATGTAATAGTGACAACAGAAACAGTGTAAGTATGTTAAGAGCGGTAAATGGAAAAGTTGGATAAAATGTCAACGGTCTATTCAAAAGGATACGTGCTATACAATGATTAACTGGTATTAAAGGTTTGTTCCAAAGTTGAGCAACAGTACGTGCAACAACTGCAACACTAGCTAAAGGGGCACCAATTCCAGGTCCTTTAGTAAAACATACAACATCAATCTCTTCAGGTTTTAAGTTTGATATTATAAAAGCTTCTTCTAATAATGATATTATATTACTTTGATGATGCTTGGCAGTTTCTCGGGGTAAAAATCCTTAGGAAAAAAATTTGGGCTATTAATATTATTATGTAACAGATAAAAAAGTACGCAATTACAAACCTTCACCCGGTGGTGTTATATATGTTTTTCTACAATTTGATAGAACTTCACCATCTTTAACAATTCCAATTCCTAGTTTATTTGCACTACCTTCAAATCCTAAACTAATAACCATTATGTTAAAATAAACTGAATTATATCTTTAAATTTCATATACAGTCTTTAAAGGAAACATTTATTGACGTACGAAACGAAAAGTATTTAAGAAGCCGTGATACCAAACCTGTACAAATGCTACAATCGAGTAACGACTTTCGACAATTCGAGAGATGGTGTCGCGCCGTTTTATCATTATTTTGATGAAATAACAGTGATAAAACTTATCAGTTAAAAGCCCGACATTTTTTATAGACAAATTATGATTACCTATCATGGAAGAAAAAAAGCATAGGCATATTAATAATGAAATGAGTATTTGTTCATAATTTTTTACATACCACCGAAGTTTATAAAGGTTTAGTAATAATTAGAGAAGTATTATATTACTCTATGGTTTATGTTCGCTAACATAATAAAGGCTATACGCACCTTATAACTAATATACCAATTTGACCATGTACTAACACAATGGTCTTCAACCGGTTGGTCGCGACCCAAAAATGGGTCGTGTAAGCTTAAAAATTGGGTCGCGATATATTTTTCTTTTTAAGTAAAAATTAAGTTTATACAATTATATAAGATATACAAATAATTGTTTAATTATTAAACTTAAATTATTATATATAGTTTATTATTGTAATATATTATGCATAAACAATATTATATAATTTATATTCAAAAATATAATAGTATAATGGATTTCAAATCACAGTATATATTTCATATACTGGTATGATTCTACGTAATATGACATTAAATGTAATAATTTACTAGTAAACCGAGCTAGTAATAAAATAAATATATTATTATCGTTAAAAAGTCCCGTAATCTATGAACATTGTCGATGTTGTCTCTGTGTTTAAAGGCGAATAAATGTTAGTCCCGTTATTATTCTAATCATATTTACGAATCCGTTAAAAAGTTTTCTATTTTTATTTATTCGGTTATAACAGTATTACTACAAAGTATTAAGTAATTTTAGATTTTTATTTTTTTTGTTTTTCTACAAACGTATTTCTTTATGTATTCCTTATGTAGGTCGCGAATAATGTACGTTTAAAAAGTGTGGGTCGTGAGTCCAAAAAGGTTGAAGACCACTAAACTAATAAACAGTTTACATGGTTGAAGATACTCACAGTCCATCTATAATTATGTCTATGGTCGACTTTTACAAACGTATACATTTCACCAGCTCTTTCCCCCATTCGGAAATATCAATTTTTTTATGTGCTAATATTTAGCATGTAATCAGCATGCATTTGCAAGACTGGTCCCGAAATTCACACGATAATTTATCGTGAGTCAGTTTTTACAATTTTTATAATGGAAAATAGTGAATTACAAATTATTTTAAACAAGAGAGGCAGAGTTGGTAAATTTTGTAACTTCCAAGTACAGGTTTATTGGGTTGAAAAAAAAAGGCGAATTGTTAAAATGGCGATGTACAAAAAATGATTTTATATCAACCTTTTTTATTTAATTTTTTTTATATATATTCGATATTTAGGGGAACAAATTTTATTTGTAATACATACTACACTAACTGATCCAGCAAACGCTTTCTTTATATGTAATAATATGTGATTAAAAACCAATAAAAGATTTATGTTATTATATATTCATGTTCAAGTGTATTTGATTTTTCAATAATAATATTCTACGGTACAAAATGTTAACGTCGTAACTATTTTCGTACTCAATCGTGTTGTTTTTTGGGGGTATTTTGGGTTTCTATTGTTTAATTGCAATCGTGCTCAATCGGGTTCCAGCAGGCCAACTCGCCCCTAAATATAGGTAGGGAAGAGTAGTGGAGTATCAATTGTGTAGTGGCACGAGGCTCTCGTTTTATTAGTGCTCCCTTTACCTAAACTTAAAAGTATAACTCGATAACGGATTAACGGAAATCAAAAATTTCAACACGAAAATTTATTTAAAGTAACTGTTTAGTAGTTCCCGATTCGCTTGTTTGTTGAAAAGGTGAAAAACAGGGACTGGAACCGGAATCGAAAGAACCAGTTTTCGAGGAAAATTTGAGAACCAGAACCTTAATTAGAACCAATATTTCCCAATTCAGAAAACCGAAACTGGAATCGGATAATGTACAAATATTTTCGATTCTTTTGGGTTCTTATCGGTTCTAAGAAATAACTAAAGATTTTATTTAATTTACGTTAGTTTTAATCAAATAAATACTAGTGTATTTTTCATGAAAATATTTTTATTTTACATTAATAATTAATAAATTATTTATGTACTTACCCATAGTTTTTTTTAACTAGAAACAATCATATGATTCGACTGTCAACGATTACTTTTATCTAAAATACGTATTTCATTATTTACATTTTGATAAAGAATGATGGAACACAATATTATATTAATATGGGTTTTTGCAGTAATTCATTATGAAACACCTACAAATAATAATATTTCAGTAATTTTATTATTTATAGTTAATCGGTATTTTTGTCTCAATCGTCTCATACACGAACATAGCCACATGCACGAGTCATTAAATCATTTTCTAGTTTCTACAGTTGTTTCAGTAGTGTTTAATTTAAATACCTAATTAATATATTTTTTTTTCAATATGGGCTGAATTTCAAAATCTATCGTAAAAAATTAGTTTAATTTTAAAAATATAGAAAACCTTCAATTTATAATAAATACTCAAGTAAAATAAAAGTAAGTGTGATATGTTATGCAATTAAACATCTATACATATATAACACAATTATTAATGAATACATTTATCCATTAGATATACCATGTATCTCTGTTTGTTGTTTTATAAGGTTATTTTTTTTGAAGTTTAATTAGGTTTTTAAAAAAAAAAAAACCTAATAAGCAATCGATAATGCTATTTTAAAATATTAATTTTTAATAACCGATATTTACCAATATTAATCAAAAATTTCAAAACCGGAACTAGAACTCTTATTTTATAATTTTAAGAAACGGAATCGGAACAGGAACCGAAAAAGTCATCAATGTTCCAATTTCTGGTGAAAAGCATACACTTTCTGACGGGTTAGGATTTAGATTCCATTTATAAAAATAGTCACTCATTATTTTAAAATCATCAGTCAGTACTTTCTTCCCAATTGTCATGCCTTTGCTCTGATATGCTAATGTTATATTATCTGGGTATTAAAGTTTAAAACTGGACATAACAGGTAGGTGGTGTATATAAAGGTTAAATAACGTAGGGGCTAACACTGAGCCTTGTGGTAATCCATCACTAATCGTTCTCCATCTGTAGGAAAGTCGTTAATCATCGTCGTCAACACTTGTCCAGCAGTTGTTGCACATTCAATCAATGTCACCACGTCATTGAAGTGGTTTTAATTGTATTACAGCCTTCACACGGCTAGTTATTAAATCTGCTTTTTTTGAATATGTTGATGTTCTTCAATATTTTATAATATTAGAAATAAAAATTGTAAATTTTAAATTGCAGCGATATGCAAGCAAATTCATGCTAAATATTGACACATAAATAATTTGAAATTTTCAAATAGGTGGCGAGACTGTAAGTATAATACAAAATTAAATTTAAAAATTATAAATTTAAAAAAAAAATATATATTTTATTTTATAATCTTAATATAAGAACTTATATATTTCGATTCATTTGTGTAATATATATAATATTCGGAATTTTCAAAATAGGTTAGCCATAGATAAAAGAAATATGACACCACAGACTAATACATAAAGCCAGAACAAATACCTTTAAATTGAATTTATAAACAATTTCAACTAGGTGAAGTTTAAAATTTTCCAAGTTGGTATACTGAGATTTAGATTTTTCGGTCATTTGAGGTTATACTTCTTATCATACCGGAAGAACTGATATACACCCGACAACAACCGAAGATTTATAGATGATGATTATGACGCATAGATAATTTCTTTATTATCTATGAACTTACGACGATTTTATTACGTTTAACAATTTCTGTTAAAAGATAAAACATAGGACCATGGTTAAGTTCGAGTATACCTACTATAACCTAAATTAACATATGTTTTTCTTTGAAATTATCTATAATTCTTCAGAATTTTTATAAAATAATACTTACATTTTGCATAACACAATGCAGTTTGCTATTGTTTCGCTTTAATTTTTTTATTTGGTTTGGTTGTTTATTTATTTTATTATTTGTACAGAGTTTGTTTTTTTTGATTCTTAATTTTTTCTTAATATGAATATTTAACTTTTACTTAATGTGTAAATTTGTTGTCAATTTGAATATTAATTGTTTTATTTACCTTCTAATTTTAATGAATGTAAATTATTAGCGATGAATGAATTTAGTATATTTTGCTATTATAAAATATGTTACAACACGTTTAAAATGAAATGGTTGAAACTAAAATATAGATATTATATTTTGATCTAGATTACCTAATATTTTAAAACGTACCTAATAAGATGTCGTCAAACAACACAATTGAAAATTCAAAAAATACTGGTTTGTAAAATCTTTAATATTTTATTACGTATTTTACATGTTTAATTTTCTTAGATATGCTTACACGGAGTTACTCTGATCGAAGCAATGATCGAAATAGAGATGCTAATAGTAACCGTGAGCGTGATTATGATGGATTAAAACAACAATGCGATAAAGCTATGCATGAGTTAATGATGTTAAGACGGTAAATTATTTTAACCTAAATATAACATAACAGAGTGAATATTATAATATATCTATCACACAGGCAACACGGGGAAACAGTACGAAGGTATGATCAAACAAGAAAAGAATTGGAGTATTATCGTGGTCAAAATCAAGTTATGATTAACCAAATTGAACAAGCTGCACAAGAATCATCTTCATTGCGTGCTAAACTGGCTGTTGAAAAACAAATTTCAGACCGATCTCAACAGGTGTTTAGATTTTTTAAGTTCAGAAATTGCTCAATATTTACATTTGTATAAATTAAGTAAAATAAACATTGAAATCAGATTTTTGAGGTTAAATATTTAAAATTTATTAAAGAATGTATTATTTTAAGATGTTAATAACATTTTATGTGGAATGAACAGAAAAATTAAAAGATTTTTTTTATATTTTACTTAATTATTTAGTTCATAATGCTATGATTTAGTTTGACCAAGTGGACTTATACTTTCATATGAGTTTCAAAAAAATATAAAACATAAGTAAATGATTTAAATGTGAAAAATGATAATAATATTAATTAATTAAATGAAAATGAATGACCAAATTTGTTTTACGGCAAAAATAGAAATTAACTATAATTTCAGGCACTTCTTAAAGAATGACCAAATTTAAATTTTACATATTTTTTGCAGTATTTAAAGTACTGTGTAGTTGGTTTGCCATATATTTGACTAAGTATAACTTCAACTGTCTATGATAATATATTTTTGATATTTATAAAATATATTATTTTTTTAAGTACAACCTGTATAAATTTAATATTAAATACATTTAAAATTGAATTGTTATTTTTTTTTTAGGATATTCGTGAAGACGATACAGCAAGTGGTGATTCACTTAATGATCATTTTATGTCGTATGATTCAAGGTTAGAAGATTATGAAGCGTTAAGAAAGGGATATGAAGACTTACGCACTACTCATTCAGCAGCTGTTGACCAAATGGACATGATGAAAGATGAAATTAATCAACTTAAAAAACAATGCAATGAATTATTCAAAGAACGGGATATAGCTCTTAGAGAAAGAGATGGATTAAAACAACAGTGTACGGCGGCTATACGTAAATGGGATTTAACACTTCGAGAACGTAATGATCTTCAAGAGGCTATACAAAAAGTCCAACAACAGCACGAAGAAGCTGTCAAAGAAATGAAAGCAGCTGTTGCGTATAGTGTTAAAAGTAGTAAAGAACTTAAAGATTTGAACAAAGCTCATGATGCAGCTGTTATAGAATATAGACTCATTATGAGTGAACGTGACAGTGTTCATAATGAACTTGAAAAGCTATCAGAAGATTTATCTCAAGCTTACAATAAAAATAAAGCATTAGAAAATGAAATAAAATCTTGTAGAGATGAAAAAAAAACACTTTTATTGCATATTGAATCATTAAAACGTGAAATATCATCAGCATTACATGATCGGGATAAAGCACTTAAAGAATGTAATGACTACCAAGAAAGATTCGGAGAAATAACAGCTAAAAATGAGTCTCAAAGAGAATTTAAAAGTCATTTTGATTATGGTTTCAGTAGAGAAAGAGAAAATCGAAATGATTCACGAGAACAAGTAGCTTCGTTAGATATATTTAATTTGTGTCAAAAAGAACGTATGGATAATTTAGATCAAGCTAATCAAGAAATTGAATGTTTAAGAAAATTGGCTGATAAATATCGTGCCAGATTAGACGAATCATTAGAAGAAGCAGAAGTATCTAAAAGACGTCGAGATTGGGCTTTTAGTGAACGAGATAAAATTGTAATGGAACGTGAAAGTATACGAACCCTCTGTGATAGTTTAAGAAAACAACGTGACGATGCTGTCAGTAAGTTAGCTCGTGCCATGAGAGATTGTGATGATATAATGAAACAAAAAAGTGAAACAGCTAAAGAACTGAATGAACTTAAGTATGAAAATAAAGAATAATATATTATCTCATTTTATTGCTGTTATTTTTAATTTTTCTGTAGGGAAAAAATGGAAGCCCAATTGGAAAAAGAAGCTCGTTTATTACAACTACAGGCAACTGGTCGCTACAGTCAAGACTCTGCTATAGATACTGATCTTCAAGAATGGGACACAGAAATTTTAAATATTGACTTAGTAAGTAGTATTTCACAATAGCATGAGTAGTTCGAAAAAATTGAAAAATATTATTTAATATAAAATATAAATTAGTAAAACTAATATACTTTCAAGTATTTTATAAAAATATATATAACAATTCACACTTACAATACATAATAGTTTTTAATCATTTGTGTTATTATTTTGTAAATTAAAATAATTTTATTCATAAATAATAACAAAATAGTTAATTTAATTCATATTTACATCTTCTTAAAGTTATTTATTTAGTCTTAAAATCAGGGTTTGACAAAAAACTAAAGTTAACATAGGTTTTTTAAAGAATATTTTCAGGGTAGTTTTAAATGATTTTTTTGAATAAGTCTACTTTACCTGATACCCTTTACATCTTCACTCGCCGAATTGAGGAATCTAACAATCCATTACTAGTGGGTCTAAACTTGATACTGCCACAAGCAGGATAGTGCCCTAAATGTAAACCTAAACCTCATCTTGTGAGATCAAATTTTCAGTGAACTACATAAACTCTGTAGGACTTGTCTTCTTAGTATTCAATTCTGAGATTGGTTTGTAGCATTTCCCTATTCTTCCCTGTTACTTGCCTTTCTTTTTGTTTCTTCATAAGAATTACACCCTTGATCCCTTATTATTTGTTGCATATACTATAAACGTGATCTTCCTCTATAATTTTTACCTTACATACATCTCTCGATTTGCTTACTACAAGCACTTGTTTTTTTTATGTTCATTCTAAAATTGAATTTTATTAGTGTTGTATCCAAAAAATTTAGCGTGAGGTTTAAGTCCTCTTCAGATTCTGCTATTAGAGCAATGTTGTCAGCGAACTAGATTAAATATATATTTTCTGACCGCTAATAGAGATGCCATTTGGATTTACTTTCATTTAATTTATAGCTTCTTTGATGAATAGGTTGAATAAATAGGGTGAGAGCGAACATCCTTGTCTCATTTCTTGAATTATTTCTGCCTCTTCCTTGTGGCTATTGATATCTACTATTGTAGTTCGGTATTTGTATAAATTAAAGACGAATCTTCTGTCTTTCCAATCTATACCAGCATTTTTCAGGCTCATAAAGAGCTGCTTCCAGTTGACATTGTTGAATACTTTCTTGAGATCTAGTTGGTGATCAAGAAAGTTGTTTTTTGATATTCTTTATAGTTTTTTTAAAAATTGAGCAAAACCGAAAAATACACTATAATTATCCTCAAATTTACGAAAATAATTTTTTTATTATTTTAATAATATATTATACAGCTTGATAATAAAAAAATTTATTAATATTAATTTATATTTAGGGTGTTTTAGGGTCAAATGAAGATTTAGGGATTGATTTACTTGGTGGGAGAGATGATCCATTGTATCCCAATGATAATGCAATATACATTTCATCTGTCAATAAAGGAAGCATAGCAGCGAGAAAACTAAGGTTAAATATTCACACTAAATACTATACACACACACATAAACACATATGTATTTATTGAAATAAATATAGTATATTAATAATAATATATTGTATTTGTAATGTATATATTTATGTTTATTGTTTTAGAGTTAATGATTGTATATTGAGAGTAAATAATCTTGATTGCACATCAATTAGTAAACGATTAGTTTTGGAGACTATAAGATCATTAAGCAGTGCTACTTTAGTGGTAAGACGAAGAAAACCCGCTTCTCCATCTAGAAGTCTTTTCACAACTCAGCTACAAGTTAATAATTATGATCATGGAATTTCATTGGAAACTGGTATATACATTAATAAAATAACACCAGGATCTCTAGCTGCTAAAGATGGAAATTTGGATGTTGGCGATAGAGTATTAAGTGTAAATAAATATTGAAATTATGAAAAATTAAAAATAAATAATTTATCTTTATAATATGTTATATTTACTTTTAGATTAATAACACCACAGTGGATAATATAAAAAATTCAAGAGAAGCTATGTTGCTTCTGCATGAACCTGGTGATGTACTAACAATTACAACTATGAAGTCAACATATTGTGCTGGAAACTGTGGTTCTGGACCAAATCGTGATATTTATAAGAAATATACCAACAGTACAACACAAACAGATAAATCTAGTTATTCAAGATATCAAGAATCTTATCAAAAACCCCAGTACATTCAGTCAAGACGAGTGATGCTTGATGTACCAGATAAGGTGCATAGAAATCCTTCTCCTGTTAATAATTCTATATCAGAACGAGATCAGGAAGATGCTATTGCTGAGTTAGATTCTGTAATTGATGCATTTAGACCTCACCCAGCACCCACTACCACTAAACATCCTAGGTAATTATTTTATTACATTATATTTATCACGATTTGTAGATATTTTAAGTAATACACAGATATTTCTAACTTATGTTTTTTAGTCGTCATAGAAAGTCTAAAGAGTTAGATAAGAATGGTGGAACTTGGCCTAAAGCTAGAAGCGGTCCTGTAATAGAGCACGGTACTGGTACAATCCTTCATCCACGTAAAAATAAAGAACGATTGCCATTATCAGTTCTTTTAAATAATCCTCCATCTTGGTCATCACAAAATAAACCGAAAACTGATACTTCGTCAATAGATTTTTCTGTCAGGTCAACATTTTATTTTATTTTATATCAAATTAAAATATAAATTAATAATAATAATAATAATTACTTTTTTAACAAATTAAATAGATCTGGTAATGCTGGTAAAGATGTTATGGAGTATTATGCTAAAAAAAAAAATTGCAAATATACCAATAGTGATACTGAAAGTAATGCTGGAGATAGTCCTGCAGCAAAATTGTATGGACCACCATCTTCTAATGCCCATCATTTTTTCACACCTCAATACACTAGGTATTCTCAACCATCGCCATCTCATAGCGGAGAATCAATGTTGTATTGTTTTGAACCTCCTTACAGTCATATGTCACAAGTACAAAATTTTGTAGTAAATTTAGATCTTTATTTTATTATTAATTTGTGTTTTTAAAGTTTCATCACAGTCATTCTCCATCTGTTGATATGCATTATAATAGACATACCACCAGATCACCACATCGCATAATGACTAATATGGGTTATCGTGGTGAAGATATGCCCGAATCTTATCATGGTTATGAAGTTGGTACATTTCCTAGAAAAAGAGAGAACTCTAGATTTAGGTATATTGTTTATTTTTTTTTAAATATAATATTTTACATTGATATAAATATATAACTATATAACAAATTATTACTATAAATATGAATCATTAGGATAGCAATTTTACATTCTCAACAATATACATGCCCCAGTACAATATAGTAATAATAGCCAAATTGAATTAAACAAATAGATAGATTTAATATTTCACTATTATAATTTCATTGGTTAAATATATATTTATATATATATATACAGGGTGATTCACTAAGCGTGCTCACTCAATTTTTATGATTAAATTTAGCATGTATTGGAATTATTATTTATTAAACATTATTGATCAAATATACTTAGACAGGTAATGAAAGGTATCCTGTAATGTGTTTTCGTTTTTCATATATGTGTAGTTTCTTTTTCTCTATGATTTCAATCTATAGATTAGTTTGCAGCTCTTCTCCATTCTTCTCTATTATACGCTGTTCATTTCTACCTATGAGTTGCATCCTTGGGCTTTTATTATCTGTTGGATATATTTTAATATTGGTCCAATCCCTCTACGCTTACCTCTATAATCAGTTTTATCATTCCATTGTGTCACATTATATCTATTCGTTCTGTCTTCTAACTAAATTATTCCATAATATAAACAATTTTATCATTGATAATACTGATTAAAAATCAGAAAATTGTGTTAAGTTAAATTCTAAAAATCTAATTTTTATTTTATAGTTTAATAGATTTGATTTTAATACATTTTACTTTTAATAATAATAAATATTTAAATAAATAATTATATTCAGATTTAAGACATATTTTTTTCATAAAATTAACTATCAGTTGAGATTTTATAATGCTTATATAATTACATCATTTATATAGAATACCCTCTAACCCAAGTGTTTTAAGTAAGAGTAGTGGTGGTGGTGCAGCTGGTATCTCAACAGGAAGTATTGATCGATCTGTTAGTAGTGAAAGAGACAGTCCAATGCCTACTTTTCGAGTTGAAGTTCTTAATCCTGGACAGATATCTATGCCTGCTAATAAGCGGCAATCCTTACCTGAATATGGTTGGGCAACAAAGTTAGTATTACATCAATTATTAATTATAATACTAGTTAACAACTTCCATATTTTAGATATTTGAAAAAACCATTATTGAGAGGTGTTGGAAGTGGTCCATTACCTGGAGAATTAAGATGGATTAGTATAGAAAAATCTGTTGAACCACTTGGAATTCAAATATCTTGTGTTGATAGCGGTGGAGTGTTTGTATCTACTGTTAGTGAACATAGTGTTGCTTCCAAAGTTGGCCTTCAAGTTGGCGATCAACTGTTAGAAGTTTGTGGCATAAACATGAGGAGTGCAACTTATCAATTAGCTGCAAATGTGTTGCGACAATGTGGCAACTCAATTACAATGCTAGTTCAATACAGCCCTGATAGTATGTTTTAATTAATACCTTAATTTGATGTGGCATATAGTATTTTTTGGTAATTGAAAAACGCTATGTTTAGAATATCAAGAACTAGAAGGAGCTGAAAGTTCAACAAGTAGTCGTTCAGAAACTCCAACACCATGTAACTCCCCTTCTGTTAATAGAAAGTCCACTGGTGGTTCAGTTATAACTCATGGTATGGCTACATTGACTCGTCGCAAGAGTGATCGAAATACAGACAACAGAAGTTTAAGAGTGTATGAGCCACGCTATTTAATTATGGAGACAAGGAAATGTAGTAACTTGGGAATAAGTTTAGTTGGAGGAAATGCTGTTGGAATTTTTGTACATAGCGTAACTGTAAATTCGTTGGCTTATAATGCAGGTTTACAGTAAGTACAATTTGTAATTTGTAATTTTCATTATAAGTTTATATTTTGTGTACTGACATTTAAATTTACATTTATTTATATATTTTTTGTTTTACAGAACTGGTGATCGTATACTTGAATACAATGGAACAGATTTAAGAGAAGCAACTGCTGAGGAAGCAGCTTATGAATTAGCTAAGCCAGCTGAGAAAGTCACAGTTCTTGCCCAGTATTTAATCGATAGTGAGTATTTATATTTTTACAAATTATTATTATTTAATTGTACTAAAGCATACATTTTTTAAATTTAATTATTTGTTATAATAATAGAGTATAACGAAATAAAAGATAAACCTGGTGATAGCTTTTTTATAAGAGCATTATTCGATCGTACAGTTGAATTAGGTGATGTAACTAGTAACTCTTCTCAACTACAATTTCGAAAAGATGATGTTCTTTATGTGGATAACACAATGTACAATGGTGTTCCGGGCAATTGGCAAGCATGGTCAATTGATCACAATGGCTATAAGCAACAAGTTGGCATCATACCTAGCAAATATAAGTAATTATATTTCAATATAAAATGAGTGTATTAAAAATGTAATGGTTAAATTTAATTTTCTAAAATAGAGTCGATGAAGAACTTGTAATTAGACGTAGCGGCGGTGAACTAGATGTTGATGCACGACGAGCAACAAGACGTAGTTTTTTTAGACGTAAAAAACATCAACGCAGTAATTCCAAAGAATTAGCTAGTTTTTCTAATATAAACTTGGGATGGTATAGTAGTGACTCTGGTACTTTACATGATGATTCTCTTGTAATTGCTTCTTATCAAAGAGTTATCAGGTTAAACTGTATGTGTAATATCATAAATAAAATTAGCAGAATATTAAATTTCAATTAAATTTGTATTTTGTCTAGCTGAGCCAAGTATTCGACCAGTAATGGTAGTCGGACCTCTTGCAGATTGTGTAACTGATAAATTAATTGTAGATTTTCCTGATTTATTCATGCGATATATACCAGAGGCAAAACACTGTTCTCAAGCATTTATGGAAAAAGGAGTTGCTGATAGTATTTATATAGATTATCGAAAAAAAGGATCAGTTTATGAATGTGTATCTGTCTCTGGACTTAAAGAAGCCTGTAGCAAAGTAATTATTTGAGATTATTTTAAATAAACTGATATTATAATATTATGATATTTATTTCACAGAATTGTCATTGTATTATCGATATCGGTCTTACTAGTGTTGAAAGACTTCATCGTCATCATATTTATCCTATTGTTTTGTTGATTAAATTTAAATCTACTAAACAAGTGAAAGAAGCTAAAGACTCTCGATCATCGCATGATAAAATTTCTGCTAAAGCAGCAAAAGAAATGTATGAACATGCATTGAAGATGGAATCTGAGTATCGACATTACATTTCTGGTATGTTTTTATTAAATTATATTGTTTTAAAAATTATGCTAAGAATGTTAAATGTTTAATGTTTAATATAGCCGTTATACCCGCTGGAGTTAATGTGGCATATATGTGTACACAAATTAAAGCGGCTGTTAACTTAGAACAAAGTAAAACACTTTGGGTTCCTTCTCCGACACCACTTTAAGGACTGCACAAATAAGTCTTTTGTGGATCATTGTTCCGTCCAAAATAATTTTATTATTATCATTATTAGTCTAATTTGGTGATTACCCATGACTTTTTGTTTTAAACCCCCCTTCTATTTTGATTGGTTGCTGGTTTTTTTTTTTTATACTTATATAAATATTATCAAGTCATATTTTTTATACCATGGTATAAATAGCAATGAGTAATACAATTTCATAGATTTATTTTAGTTAAAATTAAAAATTAATAAATTTAAGTATATATATTTTAATAATGTGATGATACATAATAATTTAAAAAAATTATTTACATAAAAAGAAAGCTATGTATAATTTTAAATTTCAACTAAATTTGAATTGTCAAGAGATCTTATAAACAAATAAAAATTAATCTTTATTAGAACACTACAATCACAAAACAATGTCTTGTATTAATAACAATATTAATCATGATAAGATCTTATTTTTTATCATAGGCTAACATCTGTTATTTATGAGGACATTGTAAAACTTTGTAGTATTTTGACACAATTTATTAAAGTTAATAAATGTAAAAAAAAGTTATTTATGGAGATTTAAGTATTTAAATATTTGCTTAGTTTTTATTAGCAGCCCAAATGCAAACTATATTAATGTAAACTCAAATATAACTAATTAATATATTCCAGGGAATGTTTTTTTCTTATATATTTATTTATTCTTTTATATTATTAATTACTTTATATACATATATATATATATATTAATAATTGTAATAAATATTTAAGCAATATCTATCAAATAATATTTAATTTAACTATGAAGTGTAAAACTATTCTGCATTTCAGTCAAAATTGTCTACAATGTGGAAATAACCAATATATTTATTACAGGGTGTTAGGTACTTATGCATTGTGAATTGTGTTATATATGTTTTTATAAAATACTTGAAAGTATAATAGTTTTACTAATTTATATTTTATATTAAATAATATTTTTTTAAATTTTTTAGACCTCTAATAATAAAAACAAAAGAGTATTATTTAAATACTTACTACTATATGCGATAGAAGATTTCCTTATCTTTGTTTATCAAATTTATTATATTTTTGAGTTTTTATTTGCCTATTAAAATAATGTTAAATATTTGTTAATTATAAGTGAAATATTATGAATTATACTTAATTGATATAAAAATAAACCTTGTTATAATGTTTTTGCTTGTTTATTATTTAACTAGCTGATCCTGCACGGTGTTGCCCGTAGTTTTATTCCTTTTGAAACAACATTAAAAGTCACCACTAAACTACATATATTTTTAATACACTTATTTGGGTTATTTTGATCAAATATAAAATATAGCAAATACCTAATGTGTTCTACTATGTTAAAAAAAATACCTTTTGTTTATTTGTTAGAAAAAAAGAAAATTTTGTTTATTTATTAACTTTTTTATCTCAATGCTAACAGATAAGCAATGTTTTAAGTTTTTTTGTTAGGTGTGTAAATACCAAGATTTTTCGGTGTTCCAACTCTAGAGCAAGCAACATAAAATTGGCCGTGTGAAAAACAGGAATTTTGTAAGTTCAAACCAGCAACACTTAGAGATTTGTCTTGAGCCTTGTTAATGATTATAGCAAAAGTCAGACATACTAGAAACTGTAATCACTTGAAATTAAATAGCATCGGTTGAAATCATTGGAATTTGTGGTATTAGCACATCTTCTCCTTTACATTTGTCACTGATGATTATGGCTTCAATTAAATTCGGAGATAGTTTTTTAACGACAAAACTTGTTCCATTGCATAATTTCGGGGGATCTAAGTTGTGAATGAGCATCAATGGTGAACCAACTTTTAAAATTAAAATGCGTGGTGGCATTCCAGATGGTTCCAAAGTTGAGAAACTCTATTGGATAGTTGAAAGCTTGTTCCTCGTCTATAACTATGTCAATCAATTTGTACTTGACAACTTCACCCAATAGCTTCAATTGAATCAAATTGTTTATTTTGTTGACATCATCATTCTTCGGAGCTAAAATTACTCGTTCACAAAGCCCATCATGATTTTTGAAATTGTTTTCAATATCGGGAAAAACTTTTTACACAACATTTTGAATTTCTGACTGCATTTAGCAAAAGATGTTTCACGTGTAGTGGGATCAAACTAAAGTTTTCCATCGTTAATATCCATAAGCCGTTTTGCAAATATTTGCTCAGCAGCATTTTGAAGTAAATGCACACACATATTTTTCGACAATGTCAACATGTTTCCAAAGACACGATAACCATAAATGATAAAACTTTCTGATGAGAATGATAGATCAGTGTTTTTGTATTGACAGTCTGTATTAAGCGCCAACTTCACATCAGTGTGCTTAAAATAAATGTAATGCACAAATTATGTTTTTCATTTTTTTGCGAGTATTGCCACCCTTTGACAAGGTTGTGAACAATCCATGTCTATAGAAAATATAAAAATATAAACATTTTTGAATGAGTAAAGTCGAAAATCGACTTCGTGAATGAACCGAATGTGCCTATTGCATTATTTTAGTAGTCTTGCCTTTTTAATGAAATCAGTTTGGGGCACATCGGTTGGATCAAAGGTCTTCAACTCGCGGGCCGCTTGCGGCTCTCGATCATATTTGTAATATAGCATTTCTTTTCTATTTCGATAAAATTAGAGTGGCCATAAGCCATCGCTATCAAAAGAATTGGGAAATATGGGATAAGATAAATTAAATTACCTACTCTTTTTGGTAATACTTACACTTGTGAGCATATATTTTCACGAATGAAAATTGTCAAATCGAAAACTAGAGCTCGGTTAACTGACGTATACCTAAAAACTCGCTGATAATTGCGTCGTCTCAAATCCAACCAAATATAGACAAATTAATTAGTGAAAAATAATGTCAGTTATCAGTTATCACACCAAGTACGAAATAAATAATTTGTAATTCGAAATTGAAATATATTAATCTATATATGTTTTAATAATAGTAAAATTTAATTTTTGTATAAATACACTTGTTTACTACGAATGCGGCCTGCAAGATTTATAGAAAATAATATGTGACCTGATACATAAAATGGTTGAAGACCCCGGGTTAGATGTTTTCAAAATCTATAACGGGCATTGGTAAGAACAATTTTTGTGTTTTATAGTTATAGATTATTTTCTTAGATTTAGTATCAGAAACAAGTCCAAATATTATAAAAACGTTAAACAGAATGGCTTGAAGGTACTCGTAATAGATCGTGGTAGATTTATCTAATTTGACGATGATTCGGGCGTTACATTATATGTTCGGGATGTACCTCCGCAACCTGCTGTCAATAGTCGCTGCTATCAATATCAATATATTCCGCCCGTGATATTTTATTTTATTTTCTAAAATTAATTTACCTAGGTATAGCTCACATCGGCTGGTGCTTTATTCGAATAAAATAATGTCGACAATAATATATTAAATTTATGGGGTACTATTATAGGCTTAAACGCACCCTGGGTGTGTAAATATATTTAACTCAGTACTTTTCCTAAGAAAGTTCATGTTCCTCAATTCTTCGGTCCATTGCTTTATTATTACCATTTCGAGCCCTCCCTCTGTTTTGTGTTCGGTCAGCCCGCAAAGATGCCGTCGTTTTTACTACTCGACTTTCAATTTGAACTCCGGGGACTGGTGTGGTCCATTAGTTCGTTGCATTTATTATCGTATTGGACCCTAGGAATTTTTAGGTCCTCGTGTGAGTTTCTATGGAAAGCGCGTTGGCATGTAACAAAACGAATAAAATAAATCTGATAAAGAACTTATGGAAAATGTAATAATAATCTACAGAAGCTATGCAAATATGTATATATACATAGTTGCGTGCCCAGGAATTTCCAATGGGTCGGGATGTACTTTGACTATGGGAATTGGTAAATTCTAAACCTAACCTAACCTCTCAAATTTCACTTGGGTTTTAAGGCGCATACATACTAGAGTAATAAAACGGCAAATATGCACCACGTAGCAGTTCGACAAATTGGTACATCAAATATTCAAACGTGTAACATGTAACATTGAAATTTGACTGTAAAATCACTTGAAACAGTGATGATTTTGTTATCATATGATAACATCAGTTCAAAAACAATAGGCGCATTGTCTAATCGGCCAAACCATGGCCAAAGAAGTATTAATTGCGTTGTTGGCTTGCCCTGAGTCACCTGGCTGCTTGAAAAGTGCATCACTTTGGCCTTGCATCAAACAGCCGTTCAATCAACGTACCTAATATAACAAACATTATTTTGATAATTTCATAAAAAAATATATTATTATTATAAATAATTTTTTTTTCGTTAGTAATTAATAAGTATTTAATTAGATATTTTTAAATTAGTATGAACAATTTTAAAAAGCTACAAAGTATGAGAAGGCGACTGCTCAATCCGCCCACCCCTCGGAGATACTGCGGTTAGATTAGATTGGGTATATATAACAATTTTAAAATATAAGTAATAAGTAATTAATATAAATATTATGATATAAGGGTACTGGGTAGTTAATTATAATAAAATAAAGTAAATAATTAATTATAAATATAGTTCTATAAAGTATAAAGAATGGTAAAAATGGAATCCAGTAATATCTTTTTTAATTTATCTAAAATGCATACTTTGCATACTAAATTCAGAATATTTTGTAAAGGTTATGTTAAAGAGGACACCTTTAAAGTGCAGTTAGAGCTAGTGTGACTAGTTAGTTATAACATGACCTCTTCAACCCCATAATATAATAATAAATAATATTTGTTTAAATTTTTTAAAAATATCATATGCATATTACGCATATAACGCCATAATGGTAATAATATACAGTTAAATTGGTTTTTATCCAAAAGTTCGTTGCCCTTTTCGAGGTCATACGCCGCAATTATACCGAAATACAATAATCATTTTTTTATTAGACTAGACAACACAAAATATCGTAATCCTAGCTTATATTAGCTATTGCAAACTATTAGGCATAGCCACAAAGTACCTTCGTGTATAAGAATACAAATTTTATTTCGAAACCGTTTTTTTTAAAAAATTTTAGCAACATTCATATAATCAATTATTTTTGTTAGACAATATTATATTGTTGATGCTTAAAAATCTACAATACAATAAAATATTATCGTTATCTAGAGCCCATATCAATATTTCAGATAGAAAATTTAAGTTACAAAAATGTAAACTCATGAAATCGTAATGCTATAAATTATTTGCCTTTGCTGAAGTAACAACTAGATAAAATCTGAGCAAGTTTTATAGGAGAAATTTTGTTCATAATATAAAAGTAAAAAAAAAATGTTTTAAAAATAAACTTTATTGTAAAATCAAAACATTTCTCACTACGCTTAGTTTCTAAAATACTGTTGTCCCTCGTAGAATGTTACAACACATAATAATAATATTCTTTATTACAAAAATACTCCATTAATAATATTTTTATACATATAATATACTAAATATATTCGTCTTTTTACGCTTTGTTTTCTACCAGAAATATTGCTCCATTAAAAAAACAACAAGAGATCATTGCATTTTTAATCAAGTTAGTGAGTAAGAAAGTTATTTTTTGATTTTCCATGTAGTCTTTTTCTTAATTGAGCAAAACCGGAAAAAAAACGTAGGCTTAGATAAAATATACGAAAACAATGCTTTTATTATTTTCAATTTTGTTTTCTTCTAGTAATTTAGATAAAAATATTCGTAAAGACTTTACATTTTTACTGAAATTTGTCTTTTTTAGACGTGGTAAAATTTTGTCGATTTTTGAGATATTTGTAGGTATTTAAAATTTTAATATTGCAAACTTTGTACGTTATTTTTATTTAGTAAGTATTCTGTGGGTTTTTCACATTTGTTGAGAAAATCTAAAAATGATCTCTAAAGTACTTCTCTAGTCAAATTTTCTTTTAGATACATTGCTATCATTATAAATTGTAGTAAAATTACTTGTAGAAAAGTTGTTCACAGGAAAAAAGAAGGCTGTAATATTTTTTACTCCCAACACATACATTTCTTACATTCTCCCGTTTTTCCTCAGTTTTTTTCGGTTTCTTACCCTCAAAAACATCAAACTAATATGGCCTTGAAATT